AATTTTTACAACTGCCAGAATTTTTAACAAATGGGGAGAGTAGTGGTTGGTGTGTCACTCAACAAAGGTAAGTTTTTAATATTGCAAGTGATCATGACTACGTTGGTGGTGAACACTCCTGTGGGATCACACCCCCACCCACTTGCCCAAATATTTGCTCCTTCATTAGTTTCTCTCACAAAATCCTTGAAAACTACTGTGCATTACTACAGAAAGCTTAATATATTTATATACAGGCCACTCTATAGTCTTCTATTGGTTATCATATACAAATAAACTTATAAGCTTAATACAGGCTTATGAACAATATACAATTGATTGTTTGAACCAGCAACAGCAGCACAGAGATGAACACATCACTGTTGTTCTGTACAATCTACACTGTACACAAGAGCATACTGTCAGGCCAACCAACCTACAATATAAAATAAACACACTGTACAAACTTGTACTGTAAGTTATTTGCTAAATAAATACACAAGAACACTAGCCAGTAATGACCTGTGTACATAATTCTACAAAGTTTTTATAACTTTCAGACAAAGTTACAAAGTGCTGTGTGAGACTAATACAAAATGTGCATGTTTGCCTTGCTCTCCAAACTAGCTTGTTTTGCACTGCACACACACACACACATATACCATTATAAAAACATACATCATGCACAGTGCTGTAAAGGCCTGACAGCAAGTTTCCTTTACAATACTATACAGTGACAAGAACATCATCAAAACCTATTACAGTATACTTAAAAAAGTGGCTCCAAATTAATGGTAGAGAGATTCAATATAAAGTACATAACTAAAAGATATATAACCCCAACTCCCTCCCTTCCCATCCCATTTGTACAAGCAGCCATCAATAGCAGGTAGCAAACTTCAGTGGCCAGCAAGGTACTTATTAAACCTGACATGTGCCAGAACTTGTGGTCTGTGTGATACACTGATCAAAATTACAGTGCCAGAAAGAGTAAATTATCATCACAAGTAACCATCAAGTGCTGGAGAAAAAGGTATACCTACCAGCGAGGAAAGATACCAAAGCCAGTGTGGTGCACCCTTCTGGTCCTGTAACAGCAACCAGTATAATAATCTCACAAAGTCTACTACAAGGCATGGAATACACAAAGATTTAGGCTTACTGCCAATGACTGCAGCATACAATACATAGAGGCCTCCTCAACTTCTGTTTAATTTATGCAACATTTATGATGAAAAAGGAAACACAATAGTTAAAAAAATAGATTCAAATGCAAAACTGACAGATGTCAATATGGCAACTACTGTAACAGTAATGAGACATTCATAGGAAGAAGCTGCAGCAACATTCACCAAGTTCTCTTTTTGGGAGAGGAATTAAATCTTTTCCCAGTGATAAAGATCTGACCCCATCTTATACTATAACAGTATACATGGCTCTATGTGTATGTCAGTCCTTCATTCAAAAGAAGCAGGCTTATCATCAGCTTTAAAAACAATGGGTTCTAAGATGAACTGGGATAAATAGCAAGAGCAATTACAAGTTAATTCAAGTGTTAGATATATCACATGCAAGTATTGTACCATATGCATTGGTATAAGACATTGTTACCAGAGATTTCTAATTTGAAATTTTGTGTTGGGCCACAATGGAACAGACAACCAAATACACCTCATGCATAGTGCTATGCCTACATATTCCTCCTAACAACCTGTAATAATCCAGAGACAAAACAAATGTATACTATCAATACCAACAGGGCAAGACTTGTAACACAACTACAGTTGATGTTATAACATAAAGACACAATGAATACCTGGCTACATATTATATAAGTTGACACACAACTAAATTTAGCAGTGCAACCTGTTGACAAAGCTGGGATATATTTCTCTTGGTTGTTTATGAGTAATACATATAAAATGTTATACAGTATTCTCATGAGGAAATTTGCTCAAAGTGCATCTGCACCAATTATCACATAATAAGAGTCACTTTGTCAGCAAAAAATTTATAGTACAGGTACAACATACACAAACAATAAACAAAATAATGTCATCTAGAGAGAGACAACAACAGCAATCATCAAAATTATTAACCAAAATGCACCGTCGAAATGACATCAGATACATATAAACCAACAAACCATGTGGGACCATCCAACATTACTGGTTAAGTGTGGTAGAGAGGGGGAGGTGAACTGTATTAGCTGAATACTGGAAACAGGGAGGTAAACTCTCCCGGTTGGATAGAATGAAATGATCAATTCATGAAGTGCCAATATGAAGAAATTAATAAGGTTATACTAGATCAAGGTAACAGTAACAGAGCTTGAGACAGGACCTATGATTCTTAAAAACCCATTATTGATATCACATTACAATTCATGCTTCACAATATCCAAAGTTTGGATATAATGTAAATAATGATATATACGCCACTAACTTTCCACTACTATTATGTTAAAGAAAGTCGGCTATATGTCACTGTACTAATCAAGGCTTTGATTCTTTTTGCCTCATGATGTGTGCCACCAAGTTGTGAGCATATAGTGAGGAGCCGGCATAGTAGTAATCCAACATAAACTGGCTTTCTTCATCATAAAATGGCTTTCTTCAGCTCATATTGAAATTAACTTGTGACACATTATCTTAAATCCTCCAGTTATATTAGGCTCCTTCAATCAATTAATTATTTCATCCATCCATCTATCAATCAACACAAGTAAACCACAGCAATAAAAGCAAGGTGCTACATAAAAAAGTCTTCCTCAATTCCTTGTTACTGTACCATGAATTTAGTGTACCAAGGCCAAAAAGCACCACTACAAATATTTATCTAATAATACTATTGGTTTGGCAGACTTTATCTCCAAATTAAATTTTTCTTAGCTTTTAATATAGTTCTTTATCTTTTTAGCTTTTGTTATAGTTCTTTATCTTCTTAGCTTTTATTATAGTTCTTTGTCTTCTTAGCTTGCATTATAGTTCTTTGTCTTCTTAATGTTGAAAATCAACTTTTATCAATAACCAAATCTAAAACATATTCTCCAACCATGGGATATAAAACACGCACACAAAATTTAAGGTTGAATTAAGTGAAATAAAATCCACATAATTATGAGATAAGCTTTAGCCGTGAGAAGGAGATTAAGAACATACCTTTCAATTGTATTTCGTATATACCTGTATGTATTTCATGTTATTTTCGCATATAGAAAAATTTATCTGTATGAATAATTTTCTTTTGGGAGAATAGCACGAAACAGTTCAACGAAAACGTATCGACGAAAAATTTTGAATTGTGACCATCCAATCAGTGCCCAGTGTATATGGATGTGTAAAGTACTATTCATATATATGGCAGATATAATAAGCATGTGGATACAAAGAAACACATCTACATAACCCTCACTACAGTAAATTACCCTACATTATTGCCTTTGTCTACAAGTGATGTTACCTAACAGCATCCAGCTGCAGAAATCATCACTACAAAATCATAATACTGACCAAATATTGCTTAGTAAGTGACTCGGACTTGACACAATAAATATTTTACCGCGAATTGTAACTGCCACCGGTCCTTCTTAGCTGCTCACATAAATAACCACAATAACACAAAGCTGCACCTCACGTAAAATCAGCACAGTACAAACAACTTAACAAAACCGGACAAAAACAAAACAAATACAAGTGGATATAATAAGGAAAACTATTAAAGCTGATGAAGCGGAGAGAGTCTATGCTTGTTCTTGATTGAGTCCACCTTGTATTATAACAGGAAGAGATGAGATAAAAATGAAAAACATTAAACAAAGTAAATTAACAAAGATATAACTCACTAAAACCTAATTATCAGAGCATATAACTTATTAAAACTTAATCAACAATGAACTTTAACATTCTACATATATATATATATATATATATATATATATATATATATATATATATATATATATATATATATATATATATATATATATATATATATATATATATATATATATATATATATATATATATATAAACCAAAATACAGTACAGGTGAAGGTTTGGCATCCCATTACTGTATCAGTAGTATGACTAATACACCCAAGGGCCAGATGTAAAAATTCAACAATGATAGTGACTGTGGCCTATTGTGACTGATGCTTTATTGTGACATATTGTAATGTCTTTATATACTGTATATATATACTTTTTTCTTATTCTTGATCCTCTTTCTTGCATTCTAAGTACATCACTCACCCATAACTCAGTATTTAGTGCTTTTGTTTATCTTAAGATTAATTGATTCTAAACTCTCTCTACATGTTCTAATGATTGCAAACCAGTTCATTTTTTTTTATTTCAATACTTAAATCTAATAAACCTTCAACTATCTTGTTCATCTAACCTTAAACTTCACTACAACTATGTATCTATGCACATCCAAGCTGCACTCATTCTCGGTACCGACAACTAACTACTGTATCACTTTAGTCTATACACGCTGCTGCTGCTCTTGTTTCTTATGCACACTTTCTTGTACACTAAATATCACAATATAAAACCATTAAAATAAATGCATACCTAGTAAGTAAAAAAGGCATATTATATACGCATCATAACAAGAGATTAAAAATTCTACAGTTTTGATTTTAAAATATTTCCCAACAAAACCTAACTATAGATGATGTCACATATCCTAGACAATCAAAGTATTTCACCGAACAAATACATCAGATTGTTAATTATGACGGACATTTAATACAATATCAAATATGTACACAATGTACCTCGGGTAACAAGGCAATCATTAAGTTTCATAACTGAGGAACAATTGTACGTCCTGACTTATGGTTGTGTAGTGGTTGCAGCATGATAATGATGGTGCAATGGTGACAATGGTCGTGGTGGTGATTGAGGTAATGGTAGGGGTAGTGGTGGTGACTGTGGTAATGGTAGGGGTAGTGGTGGTGACTGTGGTAGTGGTAGGGGTAGTGGTGGTGACTATGGTAATGGTAGGGGTAGTGGTGGTGACTGTGGTAATGGTAGGGGTAGTGGTGGTGACCGTGGTAATGGTAGGGGTAGTGGGTGTTGGTGGCAGTGGAGGAAGTGGTGATGATGGTCGTGAAGGAAATATGTTAAGGGACATTTGTGGTCATAATGGTGGTGGTGGTAGTTCAGGTTAATTAATATTAACCAGTTTAATGAACCCCATGAGTACAATACCAACGCCCTGAGTACAAAGAATTAGCTCAATGAGAAAGATCTTAACCACTGGTGTTTGATGACTTATTCCCTTGAGTACAATGTCTTAACTCAATGAATAGATGACTTAATCCCTTTAGTAGAACAATGTTGCACTAAAGGGATTAAGTCATCATACTCACAGGGTTAATGTTTGGGTCAAGTAACATTATCCTGGATAAATAATTTAGTCATCTGGTATTAGAAAAATATTGACCTGGCTTCATTAAAATTTGAATCACATGCTTTCATTTCAGTGTTCATAGGAGCAATTGTCTTCCCAATTCCTGAATAACTTACAATACATAAGCCACCGTCCCCATGAACTTAGCTTTTCAAACCCTCTTTGGGTATGGTACATATTTTGTGAAAATTGTGAGTAGTGGTTGTAATGTTAAAAGTGATGACAATAGTGTGAAATGGTATGGTTATGTTGGTGTTGAAATATGTAATGACAAGATAGGTTTTGTGATGGGGTGATAAATGTAGTGTTAGTGAAAATTGTGAGAGAAAGTATTATCACTCTCAATTATGTGGGAGTAGCACAGGGGTTACTACTTCAAGTATAGTGTGTGTTGATTCTCCACTGTGTTCATCTCTCCAAGAAATAAAGGCCATTAGTCTTATATTTTCTGGAAACAAAGTTTGAGCAACAATACAGCAGTACCATATAGTGGTAATGTTACTGCAATGCTGCTGGTGTCATTAAAATTATCGAGTGATTTCTTTTGTCGTGCTTACAGTTTTGTGACCAGTTGTGCCAATTACTCTGATGCTACAATTTTCAGAGGTACTTGTTAGTAATACAGGAGACTCTCTACTATCCACAGTTTAACTAATCATAAGCATCAATTATTCACACAAAATTTAGCCATCCTAGTACAGCACTTTCCATGGTTTTGCTGTCTACAGTATCCGTAACATAAATGGACTACAGGTATCTGTGACATACTCAGTATTCACGTATCACTCAAAAAAAAAAAGCAAACTGGATTAAAAGCATAGAGCAAAACTGCAGTATTATGCAGTGGCTGACAGACATTTTAAGAGAGTGATTAACTAACAAACTTTCACCTGAATGGGAATTAGAGCAAACTATTGAAAATGTAAGTGAAGAGGTGAGTGTTTATTGTAAACTGTATAGTGTTAATAGTGAGTTTAAGCTGATTATGGAAGAAATAAATGGGAGTGGTTCATACGACAAATATGGTGCCCCAGATTTCACGTGACAGAAGGATTTTTGTATATTTAAACAAAAATACTGTACTTTTGAATGAAGAACCTGAGTCTGGTGAATTAAACAGTACCTTGATGATCACATTTCAGGCTTAACCTTTCACCTAATATCACATTGTTGTAAATGGATAAGAGACTATTGTAAGTTCCTATACAAAAAGACGAAGCCCATACAGCAGCCACATTACACATACAGTAATGGACAATTTTGAAAAAAAAAATTTCCCATTTGAGAACTTACACAATTTATATCTCTTTCCCAAAAGTAATGCACTCACAATATCTTCCTGGTCAATAAATGAATCACTCTGCTTGATAAATTATGTAATGGATAAAATGTATATATATTTTAATTAGTTATAAAATCAATGAGATGAAAGTATTTCTCTTAAAACAATTTCTGCTTATTGTTTGATATAAACTAAATCAATCATGCTTAGGTGAAGGGTCTCAAGACCACGAGTAAAATAAGACTACTGTATTGTACTCTCGCGTGGTCAGCTCACATATAGCTTGGTTTGAAAGGACTTTGAGGTCAAAATCCTTTATGGTAATGAAGTTGTTAATTCAACTATACTTCGTTCTTACTGCTGCACATCGCCATGTGCAGGCGTGTGCCCCTCCTCCAGGGATAGTAGAGAGCTGACTGTAATTACCTTAGTAAAAAGTGTGAGAGTATGATGATAAATGAATACAGTGCAGTGTTTGTCAAGAGTTAAGTACAAAATATTGGTTAAGTAAGAGGTTGTTCATCCACACTTGAGTTGTGATAAACCAAAGAGGAGGCTCCTGGCAAGTAACACACTTCTCTTGCTAATAATAAAATTACTTCCTCTTTCCAAATTTCAATATAAGTGAACACAATTTCTGTGGAGCAGTTGGAAATCCCTAAAACCTGGTAAATGACCTATCATACTACTCAGAGAAGCTCTGTATATGACCCATATACATGATGAAGCTAGGAACACCTGCGGCTGTACACGGGGAAGTGAGTGCTCGAGACTATACAGAGCAAGAAGGGCTTATTGGCATTACCTCAGCCATCCCCCTACCTAATGTCTAAAGTACACTAAACATCTCTACAGAAAAATTATCTGTACAATTGGCCAAAAGTATTGTTAGTTTTATCTATCACAAGCCTTACAATTTTATAGCATACTCATTTATATACATCTGACCCAAATTATGAGTAAAAGTAAGATATATACATGGTATTGTATGTACAAACACACTGAGTTTGTGACTAGACCTAAATGATCATTATTAGTTCTCATTAAAAGCGATAAAGCAAGTCTCTAAAAATGAAACCATCTGACATTTAATATTTCTGTTTGTCCCAGAATGATTGAAATATCAGCCAAGTCTCGTATAAATCAGAAATGATTCGAGATTGTCAGAGTAAATATTTCAATGTTCCAATGAGATGAAACACATCATTGATAACTATAAACTGTACTCATGATTCCATTGTAATTTATCATTTAGTGTATAAAAAGCACATGAACACACATCACAAGAGACAGAAATTTAATTGGGAAAAAATCATACAGTATTCCCAACTAACTTTCATCACAGCAAAATAAAATTATGAAAAACACTAGGTAGATAAAACGTCACAGTTCTTTAAGTTTCAAACACTGTGTTATGCATCCTCTACAGTTACTGCTCCATAAAGCTTGCCCCATCACTCCTTGTAAGTGATCTGCAACTCTTGATGGTACCTTTGGATGTTTTCCACGGGCAGCTGACTGTGACGACTGATAGAGCAGCACGAGAGGATGCACCACTATGTCACCTGACCCTGGCGATAGTACTGCAACACCAGAGTTCCCTCGTCTGGGTCTCGGGTCACGGAGGGTCCGTTGATGTCTACCCATGGGTGGCCAAAACAACTGTGGGGACCAGGACAAGAACACTTATTATCTATCTCTCTAATTGTCTTTCAATATTTGTGTGTCTCCTTCTCTGGTAACCTGTCAATCTATGCTACTGGATGTACTCTATGTTATTGATTTGTTTGTCATTGTTTGTTCTTTTTATTTATGTACTTTCCAATATATATACAAGTCCAGGTGTCTGTCTATTAGCATATCAGTCTAAGTTTATTACTCCATCCATATGTGGCAACAATGTTTATCTGTAACTGATGGTCTCTCTGCGTCTTTATATGGAAAGAATGTTAAGAATACCTATAAGAATACATTCATATTTAAATACATATAATAAAAGTCATAGAAAAAAATAAAGAATTGATGCAGAAATCCTCACTTTCAGCTAAACACAGACTGGACAGTGGCCAGGCACAAAACAGACATGGCTCTGTAGTGACACAATGTATAAAAAAAAATTCTGAGTCACTCATCCGTCCCTGCAGCAACCATGGGAGACAGAAGGGCAACAGAGTGATTGGTTTAACTGAAGGTTGAACAATTCTTATATTCTAAAGATAATGCCATTATTTCTCACTTATTTTACTTGGTCATTATAAAGTTCTATATTCAATCACTTCACTTCCTCAGCAAACCTCACATGCTATACTGTATTCAATGTACATCTTCACACACTCGTTTCCCACTGATTCACCCTTCCTGATACACACCATTTCTTCATACATTTTATCTCTTAACGTATCTCATAACTTTTCCAGCAGCAAGTAAATAAAAATTAAAATAAAGAAAGAATACATTGAATATATTGAGTTACAGCGTATTATGAGGAATTTTTTTTGTGAATAAGGTAAAATAAATTGACATACCCATAGTATACCCCATGAAGTATAACACCAGTGAGGTAACTGATGGCACACAAGACGGCCGAGATGATGATGAAGGTGTTGTCGTATTTTACCTTGTCCAAGCCCACAATGCCTAAGGAAAGGAGCACCAAGTTCTCTACAAACGCCAGGATCAGAAACAGCACCTGTGGAAGACATGAATTTTCACTCACAACCTGCTTGAGGGTTCTCTGCATATGTTAAAACAGACACAGCATCCACAGCAACCAGAAAAAATTAAATCACTCATTAAGTGTCAAAATGTTCTGTATAAAGTGCTAAACTATAAACAGAATTTGTGTTGGTGAGTTTACCCAAAATCTTCAGAATGTAAGACATGTCCCAGTGTTGGTTAAATTTATTAAACGCTTATTTGTTTAATGGTTCTCTGCAAATGCCATAAACACAAACTACATCTGGAGAGAAGATAATGCTACAATCACATATTAAGTTAGGTTAGGTTAACTGCTCAGTAATGTTAATGGTGTCATTAGCTTTGAAGATGTCTTTACCAATAAACAAAAACTTAACAACTTTGTTTCTCTTCCATTGTGAGATTTCTGAAGAAAAAAAAATTTGCTAATGTGTTTGATGTAAAATGATACACTAGTAGTAATGTGTTAACAAATGAAACACAGGGCCAGAGAGAGAACTTTCCTCCAGACACTTTGTCACAAATAACTTTTGATAAAGTCCTTTGTTACTTTTGATAAGATCCTTTGTGACAAAACATCAGGAGTAAAGTCCTCTCTCTGACCCTGTTTCATTTGTTACCATATATCCATTTTCCCAAATGAACCACATTCATTTAATACAAATACCTGGAGAATAAAAATATCATGGAGAGAGATAATAACACATAACTTAGGTAACACAGTAAAGCCAATGTGAGGGAAAACTGGAAGCCAAGATATTTGGATTGTGGGAGATTTGGGATGAAGTACACAAACTACAAGAGCATTCATTATACAGTAATAGTAATTATAAAAGAGTCACATGGGTCCAATTCACTCACCTAATTATTGTTTCTGCAAATAAAAATTCATTAGCCATAATATGTTGAAAATTCCACATTTTTTTATTGGCACATGGTTATAATACTGTATATCCTTACAGGCCAATACTGTACTAATAATTACATGTGCAATCCCTCACTTTATATAATTTAGTTCAAGGAGTCTGGATAAGAGCTTGAAAGAATATTTAAAATTTGGACACTGCCTATGTCAAAGTAATCTTACACTTACTGAGAATTTTTTTCATATACCACAACTTATTGCACATCACAACACTGCTAAGGACCCCTTCAGAGATTTCTTATGACAATTTTCTTTCACGAAGAGTTCTCAACAACCTACACCCCTGATATATTTACCTGAATAACAACAGTGGAATGTCGACGAGAGAGCTGCTTCTTCACGGCGGACGGTCGCTCCAGACGGAAATACACCAGAGTTGATGCAATGGTGCCCAGGAAGACGTAGAAGTAGGGGCGGAGGTATGCCAGGAAGCAGTGGCAGCATAAATTATTACGTACAGGCAACACTGACCTAAAACAAACATGTATCTTATTCAGGTTACACCCATGGTATGTATCAATGTATGTATGTACTGGGTATGTATGCACATTTTTATATGATACATATGTATAGTATAAAATAAGAGCCACCATCATATCATAAATAAGACAATAATGAAATGAAATGGCAAATTAAACCTTTAGCAGTTTAGTTCATCCTCTATGACTTGACAGTACAGCAGTTGAGAGTTCTAACTTATCATATGGACTGGCTATAACGGTTCATGAATACAGAGACAGTTATCAACACTTCTGAACCCCTGTAGTAAATATGTCATCAGCCAGTACTGAAAGCCACATTCTAAATAATTTACCATCAGTGTGTAATGGGAGGCTACTGTACTGATTAGCCTTGAGGAGATGAGCTCAGAGTCTTTCAAATATGAGAAGATAGCATGAAGGTAAGTTAACCTCTTAGTAAAACAATACAGTAACATACACACCTCTCCTCAAGCTTCAACTTGAAGACCAACACAATAACAAAGTGGATACCAAGCACCACAAACACCTTCCATGTGTACGCCAGAGTGAAGAGTGTACACGCTATTGCCCTTGACACAACCTGTAAGTATATAGGTACTTATTAATGCCTACCATGTCAATGAAGATGAAACATGTAAGTAAGAAAATGTATCTAAATTTCTCACACCATTTGAAGGAAGAGATACAATTAGCACCAAGAATGGAAACAAACTTAGAGATCAGGTCACAGTTTATCTTAAGACGGGGGATGTGTTGAGTTATGACACAATGAAACAAACTTAGAGATCAGGTCACAGTTTATCTTAAGACGGGGGATGTGTTGAGTTATGACACAACACAGTTCATTCTTTCAACTGTATATATGTGTAACAGGTGTAGACAAAGTTTGCAGTAACAACTCCATTACTCCATCTAAACTCCAATATCATTCTAAAGAGGAGAGTGGTATATGGGTCACTCCCCACAGGCTCTGCTATAAGTTAGACTTTCTAGTTAAAACCCTCTACACTGTGATGCCAATTCAGTGATCCATGAGCCAGATGTCAGCTATCAAAAAAATGAAGGAGTTGGAGACAATCTTCAAGTATTAGTGTAGAAGATACATAATTGGGAGTTCGATTTTCACACAAAAGGGTAAACGATACAGTACTCGTCTTACAAATTCTCCAATGCCTATGTAGAATTCTGGTGTTTTGCATTTGAGGGTAACAAAATAACACTGATATTGTTAGAACTGGTGAATCAATAACATTATAAAGTTTTTCTCCGACTGCAAAGATAATGCTGGTGGATTGGTCTCATTCCGACTAATTCTATTAAGCTACTTATTTTGTGAGAGATAACAAGAAGAAAACTATGTGTATATGGTACTTAGAAATGAGTTTAGAGTATATGTGCTCTTTAAAGGTAAATAATATTACCACAATAAACTTACACTACAAATAATCACTAAATAAACAGCAGACTAACAAACCTGGAAGAAAATGGCAAAGAGTAATGGCAGAGCGTTGAGGATGGTGAGGCCGCCCAGCTTGGAGAAACGATGGTAGGAGGTGAATGACCAGGTGAGTGACACTAACGATATGAGGACTGAAAAAACTTGCTTTGACAGTTGTGTCTCTGTCCCATGAGGAGATAAAGAGAGGATGGAGCCCAAGGTTACGTCCTTCACCTGACAAAAGAAATAGTAGAGTAAATATTCTTGAGATGGTCTATACTGCACTAGTAAAGGAAGATTACAGCAAGGGATTACACACAACGGAGGAGAACTCTTTACACAACTATAAGAGTTAATGTAGATGGAAGCCACATCGATGGATCAACTTACTGAGGCAAGTACTGTACGGTATATAGCCAAGAAACAGCGTAGAAGTCACAATTAATTTTGCATTACTTTAGAACCGGGAATAAACAAATTATTTTTGTTCCTGTTGAGGTTTAGTGCACCTGTTCCATGTTATTCATTTGATAATAAACTAAGGAAAATTTGTAGGACCAAACTCAACCCTCATACATGGGAAATAATGAATTTTACCAATATTACCTTTTAACTTTCCAACTGTAACTTACCTTGTCTAGCTCATTGTAACGAGTGCCAACTATATACAATTGTAGGATAAGTTGAAATGCCGACTCCAAAGTTGCTTCCATTACATTAGTTATGGCCACTCTCATCTGTGCCACGTGCTTCAGGTCATAGTATTTACGGATCTTCATATCTCGCATGTGGTGCCGGTAAGTCTTTGTGTTACCATGTGTTGGAAAGCTGTTGTATGACTTTGAGTCCACCTGCAGAGAAAAATGGAAAGGAGAATTGTATAAAAAAAATGGTTTATTTTCTAATATTTCATCAGTACTTCTTGACATACACACGAGGAAAACTACTGTAATTATTAATTGAAAGATAAAACAAAGGATAACTGAAGAATTGATCCTAACACCTGCATCCCTTTTTCTGATAGATCTTATAGCCAGGAGGGACTACAGGAGTAAAATACATTTATATTTCCTCCTTTCTTACCAATGTACTCTTTCCCTCTGATCTTCCACATTATATTTGTCCATGTACCATCTCTTACTTCACTTATTACCATTTTCACCAACAAAAATCTTGTAACACAGGTTGCTTCTTGGGGTGCTCTACAGTGATGTCCTGAGCCCACAGCCATTCAGCCTGGTTAATATATCATCCCCACCTCCCCATTGCACCCATCCGCCCATAACACGGGAGATCAGGTGCAACAGCTGTGCTCTAACTGATCAATGAACCCACTCCTTGCCATGATATTGGCTCTGGCAATTGTTTCAAAACCAATCCATCATCTATGATTCAGTTCCTAAGCAACTAATCCACTAAACCCAAAGCCTTTACTTAGATGATGACATCAAGAACTGCAGTAGCTCTCACCACTAATCCCTAATGTACTGCAAGAAGGGCATGACACTTTTATAGTGTAAGGCAAAGAACTAAATAAAAAATAGCAGACTGGTTTGAAACAAGATGGCAACAGTCATTATCATGGTAGGTGTGTGGTGACCATTTAGACGTGACCTCTATAAGGCCTCCTTTCTTTATAGGGGAACTGTTGCACCGACTCTTAATTCTGGGTTTGGGCACGATTGGCAAGTGTGGATGATTGGTGTGTCCAGTGGCTTAATTCTATTTCTCCAGCTGAATGACTGGGGGGAGGGGGAGAAGTCACAGAATGTCCCCAAGTAGCAGTCTGTGTTACCAAGAGCTGCTTGGCAGAGGGTGCTAGCCAGAAAAACTTGATGTTATCAGAACACATCAAATAAAGTGATTAAATGAAACACTGTAAATAACATAGGATCAAGGACCTGATTCATACCCCAAGTTGAACTCACACACCCATCCATGTTATTGTGGTTCCTTGCTTATTCAATACAGCAGTGGAGAGTATCATAACTGCTCCCTATGAGAGAACAGTACAGTACTGCAATGAACTTATGCAACACTGTAATGGTCTTAAAGCTATGGTTGATGGTATGTGCTGATGCTGCTCTCATGACTATAAGAGTGTTTCAAACAATGTGAAGAACATCAAAGGTGTGCATGTGGATGAAAGAGTAAATCTATACATGGATAAGAACAAGACAATTTTGTATGAGAACAGAAAGTTGTCATCAGTGTAGATTAATCATTCACGTAATGACAGTCTAACAGAAACACATATATTACCAGCAATACCTTAATGACAGCAAGTTGGTCCAGTCTTATGAGAAGTTATTACAAAAACTCAGCTGAATAAGGTGGTGTGGTTTGTTTATTTTAAGTTCATTACTGCCAAGTGCACAAGAGTTAGCATACATGGAGGGAACCCAGGCCACCACTCTAGCTGGGGACTCTATGCTTGAGATACAATGCTTTATCACTGAGCTACAGAGTCTATATCCTTACATAACTCAAGTGATTATGCAGATCCTCATCACTGCCACTCTCTGTCACTCATTTGTTCCCATAACTATCAAATAACATCAAGCAGTAACTATATGCCTTATTCTTAACACCTTAACTAATACTCCAGACTACAATCATTACCACACATCTAACTCTTCACACACACACACACACACACTACTATATTCAGCTATATATGATACATGCACTACAATAACAGGAGCAAAATTAAGAGGAAAAGTAATCTTCAAAGGACCTGAACAAGACAGGGAGTCTTCTCAAAACATAAATATTGCATACAAATGGATTAACATAAATGAGAGATTGATCCTGAAATCCCATTCATAGATGAGCACAGATCAGGCGGCTTAAATATGGTCAAAGGGCTGAAAATCCAGTTGTTATGGTTCTTAATGTAAGTGACAGGAACTCAATTAGAACAAGTCCAAAATACAGTATCTAACTAATTTATGAAATATTTCTAAATTAATCATTCTTTCCCAGTCAAAACCATAGGTCCTAAAAGGGGCTTATTATGAAGCTTCAATTATCACTTAAAGATGAAAATCAAGAGTCTTACCACCATGCTAGCACAAATGCTCAGTGATCGTCATGCACAGGATACAACACGGCAAAGAGAGATCACTCACTTTTGTGTCCAGTTCCAGCTTGCACAAGCATTCCTAAGGGAGTAGGCAGGGAATCTGTGTCACTAGATCTGTACTCAGCTACAAACCAGTATTTCAGGATTAATCTCCAATTTATAGCTTATGTAAGTCTCAAGTAACTCTAGTACTGTACCTAAAACCAGTCAGAAATGGTAGGTTACAGAATATACCAAGTCCCACCATTTTAAGGAGCTGTAATACCTAACCTATGTACAGTATGTATTAGGAAGCTACTCACCTGGTCTCTTGGGCCACATAGTTTTAGTAAATAATTAATTCTATAAGGTATCTGATGAAAATTCTCATTGTAGCCCAAACCTGTCTACTCTGGATTACTGTTTACTGTACCACCAAAGTTGTGCTTTATGAAAACTATTGGGCTGTACAAGCATAACCACCTTAATAATTAATGAATATATGCTCAAGAACCCCCATCAATGATCTAATGATTTAGTCAGTCTACACTGCCTAAGGTGAGTTGTGATCCATACAAATTCACGAATTGCCTTCACTAAACCAAGTGAAAATTGAGAGCCTTTTTCCAAATCTGCATTAATGGATATAAATACTCTCTGAGGTAGAAATATAAGTATGAATGGTAGTGCAGTTGCCTTGATGTGGTGAGTGCTGATTGGGCAGTCAAGGCTCTTATGGGTACAGTACATCCACCCCCCTTGGAAAGTAACTATTTTATAAGTCATCCTTGCCTGAGAATGACAGTACTGAGAGAAGGGAAGACTGACTGATAATAGTTACAGCTTAACCAGGCAGCCCGGGTGTGCCCAGACGTAGGGACCGGGCAAGTGGTTTTTCATGTCTGTGTGCCCGGCACTTGCCTGGCAGACAAGCTAATACTTAGAGGTAAATACCTAGGGTATTTGTCAGGTGCTGCATGGTCCCCCCTCACCCTACATGTTCAACCAGGGAGGTCCATCAACAGACCACTTGTCATCAGTGTACCCGGATTTGTGATCTATATTATCAGGTGTAGGTAACTTATCTCTACATTAAGCAGCCAACCAACTTTTTGTCAGTGAGTGTCAAGTTGTGTACATTCCTAAGGAACCACCAGGCTGAGTGGCTATACATGTGAGGTGACAGGAGTTATAACCTCACATGGCATAAGATCATGGGGGGCAGGTTAGGTGCTGCCTCTCCTTACCCACACACCCTGCAGGTGTGAAGTGAGATAACAGGAATTATGACATTACATGATAAGGGTTACTGCCACTGATACCAGAAGCTGCAGTTGTCCATTGAATGGAGAAGAGTGAGGGTACAAGGCATTTAGATGGCCACTTAGTGATCATTGATACACACAATAAATTTGAATGTTTTAAGATGTTTATTTCACTTTTCTCATAAAAAAATCCACACAAGCAAATTTCCTCCACAAATCTGTCAAGGCAAGTAAAAAAATAATAATTTATCTGGCCAAGTAAATTTCAAAAGTTACTTGCCTGAGACAAGTATATGTTCCATATAATCTGCACAGCCTGAGATTAACACTGGCTGACTGAGGAGGCCCTGTGTGTGGACCCAAGAAACCCTATATCATGAGAGCACTCTGGCTGATGAGTCACCTGCATGTTATATCTGATGAGAGTATTTTCAAATACTGTAATGACAAACAGGCCTGCTGCTGTAATCTGTAATTAGGTCCTGCAGGCAGGCATGGTTTACATGGGGTTGCCACAGTTTCCTGGCTAGATTTGGGGGGAGGCAAAATCCTCCTACTGGAAATTCACTTCATTGACCAACTAAACCTATCTGAGCTATCCACCAGCCTTCAAACTATCTACCTCTTTCAAAGTGGGCATTATTTTACTTGCAGCTACCAAACAGGGAGGTACTACCGCCTGGGAAGATATTGGAAGCATAATGTGTTGTCTATGGTAGACCCTGCTGCCATATGGCATCACGAAAATTGTGACCAAGTCCCAGGTTGCTGATCTGACTTCCTCATTTACACACACTTGCAGGGTCTCAATTGTTTCTCTTACTATTGACAACACAACATACATATATTGTTCCTCAATTTTGATTTTTTTTCATTTTGTATTTCTTTGTGGTTCTTTACTATTATTATTGTTGTTATTATTATTATTATTATTATTTTTTTTTATTATTATTATTATTATTATTATTATTATTATTATTATTATTTTTATTATTATTAGTAATTATTATTATTATTATTATTATTATTATTAATATTAATATTAATATTAATATTAATATTAATATTATTATTATTATTATTATTATTATTATTATTATTATTATTATTATTATTATTATCAACATTTTCGCCCCCAGGCCCCGATGTGGGTCAGTGACCTGTGCCTGGGTGGGCTAATTCCCGTAAAAAAAAAAAAAAAATCTCAGGAATTTTATACATTGTTAATAAGTAATTCTGACAATTCTAAGACACTTTTCTTCAAAGGCATTTCTGGCGCTAATTAACATTTTATTATGTATGTTCATACGTGGAGGTACACACTCAGAACATCAACGACTGTGGAGCTCCCCAGTAAGGTTAGGTTAGATTCAAAACTGTTTTTCCGATGGATTTTGATGTGTTACAAACAACTTTTACCTTGATTTTTATTGCAAACCTCTAGATCTGAGATGGGTGGGTGGGGGCTTATCTCAGAAACTATTGATTTGTGCCAGAAATGAAAGTCAAATTCATTTATAACACATCAAAAACCATCGGAAAAACAGTTTCAACTTCGATTTCACAGAGTGGTAACAAATGAAAATGTACCTCAAAGTGAAATTGGTTTGGTCAGTATCACTCCTAGTGTACAAAAAATGGCATGACAAAATTTTATTTAATTTATAAAAAGATGCCAAAAAAAATTTCTTATCAATTAATAGTTCAACATGTCTAGATTATGAAAACTCATTACTTATCATCTACATATATGTAATAGTGTGAGCACTGCATGCACCATTCAAAGTGTGGAGTGTAACTCAAGATATTCCATTAAAGATGATAGCCCAACACTAAGGACATTGTTAATAGCACTTAAAGAGTTAATTACCCATCAACCAAAACACAATAAACTCAATAAAGCGATAATATTTATTCAAAAGGCAAAAGCCATCATATGAAGGTTTTCCTCAATTATCAAGAGCAAGTAGGAAGAGCCCACAATCCCTATGAACCCTTCCAGGTATAAGCCAGGGACAGTGAGCCTGAAGCAAGTCCATGTGAGTTGGAACCAGTGGTTGAGGAGCTGAGACTTGGCACGGGACTGAGTCAAAGGCTAAAGTATATTACTGAACAACATTACCAATAATTAATCAACTGCTGGACACGCTAAATGGTTCCCTAATCTCTTACAGACAAACACCAGAGAACAAATAATTACTTTCAAGAGAATATCCTGTGTAGGCTTATCAAGCTCTAAGGGAAAATATCCTGTGTAAGCCTATCAAACTCAGGCCAGACAACCTTACCTATAATATAACTATCATACAATACTGTAAGTTAAGCCACAAAAATTGAAGATATGAATAAGAAAGCACATTGTAGGGATGTTATAAAGGCCTGAACTACAGTCAATTCTCAAACTGGATTAACATATACTGTACATATATACTGCTGCAATGGTACAACTGACATGAAAAACACTATTAGTTCTTCAAGACTGTGTGACCTAAACAGAAACACAATTGTAAAAATATATATAGATCTAAAACGAAGAGGAGAACCAGGGTAAACACAAACATCTTGACCATGTGGGCTTCTTTTAATCGCTAACGTTTCGGAAGTAATCGTTTTCCATCATCAGAGCCTTTTTCAAAACTTTTGTGTTTTTAGGCTCTGATGATAGAAAACAATTATTTCCGAAACGTTAGCGATTAAAAGAAGCCCACATGGTCAAGATGTTTGTGTTTACCCTGGTTCTCCTCTTCGTTATAAAACTACGCTTTCCACGTAACAAGTCTATCGCTGAAGTTATATATAGATCTATTTGTACCGGAAACTTAAATAAGTGATCCTGACTTACTCTGTTGTACCCAACACTTGAAGTTGCAAAGTGTACATGTTTAAGCAGCAATTACTCATAAATTTCAGCCTTAATTGGAACTGTATATAAATAATGCTTCATAATATGCTCTTATAGGGCCTGTGATTGTGATCAGTATGGATTACCTAATATGGAAATATATCTTAATTAGCTATTTTGGAGTCATTCTACTTTAGCTCCAGGGGCTCCAATACTTGAGGCTACAATCTCTTAGACTGTTGTGTTGAGTTGCCTGAGATATGCATAGGCTACATGTTACACTAAAATTGCTAAGAAAGTGCTCATTCATGCACTATATTGTGAACACAAACCTCCTGCATTTGTCTGGCAGTCACATTCATGTGTTTCATCTGAGCATAGGTATTCTCCAGGTATGCCATGACGGGTGCAAGGGGTGTCAAAAAGATGATGGTGTACACAGACATCCGTAGGAAGCTGGGTAAGCGACGAAACACTGGAAGGATGTCTGGCTGTGTGACGTGGATATAAAGGTTCCACATAGACAGCAGGGTGATAGGTAGCAAGATGAAGAACATAGTCAAAACAAAGTTAATCTTGTACTGGGAGTCCGTGATGTCCTCGAAGATGTCCATGAACTTTCTTCTGTACTCCTGCAACAGCATTCCACATATAAGAATAACCAGTGGTAAACAGGCCCATGAAGGTGTGGTTAATGGAAATACATAAGCAAGATGACAGTCTGTGGTCTTTGGAGGGAACTTACAAAGAGCCATCCTGTTTTAACAGTACATTAAATGTTACATAAGGGCTATCTACACTAGTTTCAATTTACTGCTGATTGTTAACGGCAGTATCTTTCAACTTTGAAAACAATTAAATTTATTGATATAAAATAAAACATGCAATGACATCATGAATACTGGTGTAACTTACAAGGATCAATAAATGAGCAAGAAATACTTGGCCATGGATATATCTATTAAAACAAAGGTGTTGAAATGATTTAGCCAACTGTGAGGAATAAATATGTTGTAAGTGAATAAAAGAGTAAATGAGAGGCAATTAGAGACTGTCCTTAAGACAAGATGACAAACTGTGCACAATGACCATAATGATTAACCACAAAAAATTAATTCATTGTAGGTCATGGTGGCTTGTGTGCCTGTCATTGTTCATGGTCAGACAACCAACAGTGAGGGGAGCTGTGGTCAAATGAATAAAGCTCCTGTCATAAGGGTTGCTGGTTTATGCTTGGAACACCCCAAGTTCACTCAGCTGTGAATAAATACCTAACTTTACAGTTAGGGTGTGAAGACAGCTGAGTGCAGTGCTAGCCATGCTGCCTCATTATGTGCTGAAGGCTTAGTATTCACTATGGTGTATCTACATTACCTTTAATGGACATTCTTGCTTATGGGACCAAATTTTGTAGCCAACAGTGTCAGAGAAAAGTTAGCTTGTGTGCATGGGCAGACAGACAAGGGTAACATTAAGTTGCTTTTCCACAATCATGGCATGACATTAAAAATGGGAAGATGAGGGAAAAGATGTAGGTGAAGTAAGTATTATCTAAAGGGATGTTATTATGGAAGGTTTACCTTGGCTGTACAAGACTTATGAACACCACTGCTTTAGACACACACAGCAAATACCTTGTATTGTGTCTAACAGATGGTCACAAAATAACCCAGTCATTAATATACAGTAAACCATAAAACAAATTTTAGCTTGTATATCTCAGTATGATGCCTGAATTCATAAATAAGAAATGAATCTTGGATCAACTTTTATTCCAAAAGGGAGTACAGTTCAGTACCTTGAAATGATAATGATCTTTACCGAGATCAAAAGCTAAGAATATGCTAAACAAAGTGCTTGTGAGTCAGCACATTTTTAAGATCAATTAAAGTTAATCAAATATATCTCTTCAAACTCTATCTCACCTGTTTAACAGTGGTCATCCTAAAACCAATATCAGGAATCCCCAAATTCAAACATTTATGGTCTAAAACTACTCTTTGATTCTCTGAAGATTTAGGAACACTGAGAAGCCTTCACCTAAAACATATCAAAACTAACATCTGAATTAAATTTTATGGAACATTTCAATCCCCAAATCCATTAGGATAAATGAATCTTGAGTTATTAAGTGACTTTTCCATCCTCCATCTTAAAAAGTCCAAAACTACTTTAAAAGATCAGGGATCCTGTTTCCACAACCCCTAAAATAAGCTTGTCTGTCACCACTAGAAGTTCCCTCACTCCCGATACTCACCTCTCTCTCCTTCCTCAAAAGACACTGACGAAAAACACCACCATATCAACTAAACTACTCGATGATTATATGGTTATCACTTTCTAATCACCGTAGATGAGAACCAGAACTGTTTGTCACCTCAATAACAACATTGCCCTAATAAACCACCAGGATGAGTTGGTCAAAAACAAACTTTACTACGAATCACAAGAAAGTTTTAAGATACAGTACAGTGAAATCCCAAGAAATCCAAATCCAACTTCCTAAATTAACTGAATTTTGAAAGGTTTAACTAAAGGACACACTTGAAATAAAAATCTGGACATGAAGTGAATATAATCCCAGGCAAGCTCCAAATTTCTTTTATTTACTGGGAGTTTTGAGTTTAGCTGCTAATACCAATATGCCTCTGTAAGGGGTAGAGTTGTTGTGGAGGATAAGGGTAACTGCCACAACTGTTATAGTTATATACTGATCACTCTAGATAGTCTTAGGTTATAAAGTTCCAATATGATGGCAACCCAATCAAGAGTCACAAAGATAATGATATGAAACCACTGGAGATAATGAACCTAAGAACATAAAGTCTCTACTGCCAATAAACTGGCAATTGTAAGAATATAGTGAATGGAAAGGGAAACATGCTAGTGTGAGAAATTTTATAAGAAATGAGCAGTGGAAGCTGTTAATGAGACACTGCTGAACACTGAGACACTAGATATAGAGATACTGCACTGAGTATTAAAAATCTACCACTACCATGGAGAAGCATAACACTGTTTCTGGTCACCTTCACCATCTATTAAATACTGTACCATACATGGCTAATGAGGAGCCATGAGATAAATGTATGACTGACCTCTTCAAACTCAGCGAGAGCCTCTTCATCCTGAGTTTGGTTGTCCCCCGAGTAATCTGTGAGGTTGAGGTTGAGCATGTAGTCCTGGTAATACTCCACTGCCAGGAGGATGTCCGTATAAACGTCCAGATAGTAGAACACAGAAGGCAGAAGAAAACACGAAAGAAAGAACCAGAAGTTCCAGCAGTGGCGCTGAGCTTTAGTAGACTCGTACATGGCTTGCAGTTGAGTGCGAGCCTTGGAGCTTGCCTCTGTTGTCCCGAGCTGCACTCGGAGGCACAGTTCAGCACTGGCTTTGGTGGTGTGGAGGAACTTTTCACACTCAAGAACTCGTACTACTGCGTTGTCGTACTGTCCTAGGTTATTCCTCTCTGTGTAGAACTGCAGCAATGTTTCACCGTTGGTTGCTTTGACGTGTACCTTACGTACTAAGCTGTACTCCAGAAACCTCTGAACAATGTCATATCTGTAAAAAGAAATAACTAGTGGTACTCTTTCTCTTCCTACTAACTGCTCTGCAACAAGATGAAATTAAGGATAGTTACATGGGACTGAAGTTAAGATGTTGTTATCTCTGGATGGGAGAATGATGACAAAAGAAGTGGTAGAGGAGTTATCACCATGATGAGTGAATTTTGAAAATTATATTCAAACCAAACATGGGTACACCTACAGGTATACTGGTTGTGTGAGAGATAAGTGAACATACTGTGAAATATGAATGAATAAACATGTTACAGTACTTGTTATAAAGCTGCTACAAATATCTGTCTTTGTGGGAGACAAAAGGAATTAAGGAAAAAAATGACTCTTCACAACTTTATTGTGCAAAAAATTATTCTTCCAAACTTCCATCTAAAGCAGTCAACAAGAAGAAACAAAACACAGCAGACCCTAACATCATCTGGGTTAATGCTTCAGTCACTATAAGGATAATCCTTAACTTCATCAAACTAACCCAACTGTAGGCTCCTACCTGCTGGCATTGATGGCATAATAAATTGGTGTGTAGCCTATGTTATCACACCGATTGATATCCACATCACGTTCTTCTAGCTCAGAAGTAGTGAGAAGCATGTCAATAACAGTGACATTCCCATTCTTAGCTGCCATGTGTAGTGCAGAGCCGCCACGATTGTCCATTATACTGAGACGCGTACCGGCGTTGATGAGCTGTTGTACACAAGCCAGCTGGTTACTGCGGATGGCCACAAAGAGCGGTGTCTCTCCATGGTTGTTCTTTACATCTGGAGACACCTACAACAAGGATTTTTATCTCACTAAAATTATCATTAGGGTAAGTTGTAATTAATATATACTGTACTACTGTCAAGTATAAAATGTATTTGTATCATTAACACTAACATAGCCTTTCCTGGAAGCAAATTGGCAACATTGTGCAACAGTACAGTATTTGCACCTTATGCTCACATATATCAAATACAGTACAGGGTATATGAAATTTTCAAATAACCTATAAGAATTTTTTTGCTTTATAAATAAGACACAAAGAATTGAAGGACCAAAGAGTGTCGTTTAATATTGTGAAATATAACTTCCAATTTTCTTTCTAAAAATTACACACTTAAAAGGTACTACTGTAACAAAAGTGCCAACCATTTGTCTACAACCCACTGAGGACTTTATAAAAACACAGATGAACCCCAAGTCCCCCAGAGACCAGTAAAGCCAGGAGCTGCCTTTTAAAAATTGCTGTTTTTTATTATTAGTAATTGTACTACCTGGGAGATTCTTCAGATTTAGTGGATTGTGGTATATCAAAGATACCCGCATACCCAAAATCCCCTCAAGGACACCACAACCTATCCACACTATCTGATTCGTATAGTTAGCCTCCTCAATAGGGTACATCAGCTAATTAGATATAATATTTGCCTTCTGTCCTAGGACTTGTTGATTTGTCCCCTAGTCAACCCAACTGTGACCGGGTACCTAACTTAGGACAATGTGTTCACAATATATGTTCAGGAAAAATGTCACATGTTTCGTATTTTGAACTTTTTTTTAATAATAAATATTTATTCCAGAGCTCCTAAGTCAGAAACTATGGAGCCCAAAGTTGCAAAGGTTTACTGTGTTGACTCACCTTAAGGGAGAGTAGCCTGTGCATCATGTTAGGGTAGCCATGCTGAGCAGCCAGATGGAGAAGAGTAAAACCATCTGAGCGGCTGGCATCTAATGCACAAACAGCCGTCTCTTCAATCACTTTCACGATACACAGCCCCACTTCCTCCCGTGTTATGGAGCGCCAGTCCTTGTCTGGAAGAAATAGCAACATTATTAATATAAGCAAGTCTAGTTCCCAAGCACTATGTCGCTCTTAAGAATCTCCTTCAACCTAAAATTACGAACTAAATGAATCTCCCATATTTTCCTTAGATATACAGTACTGTAATTATTTATCACTATCTATTAAGGCCTGAGGCCCATCACCTGTGTACTGTACAGTGGTATATCCGATAGGCGGAACAATTGATGCAGAGCACTTCCGGGGACGAGAGATTTCCGGTTAACCAGAAGACTTTCTCAAACACGGAAAAATCCCCCATCCCCCAAAAAATTTCCGGTTACTGGGAAAAGTTCCAGTGTCTAAGCTACGCATCTTACAGACACAGACACTTGCCCACATCCTCAGAATGTTTCTGTGTGCCGGGGAAAGTTTTCCAAGAGTCTAAACTACCGGAGTCTGTAAAAGCAGTTCTAATTAAGTTAGAAACTCCATTTCTTTACCAGAATAATCCAGAATAGTTTATCTAGAAGCTTGGTTAAATAAATATATTTAAAAACTAAAATTCTATATGATATGGCCATGAATGAAGCTGCGTGTTACAACAAAGACCGGTATTTTTCATTCCCATGGAGGTGTGGGGCATTAGTGGGTCTCATGACCTGAAGATCTCTTGAATAAAGACAAAAGCTAAAGTACAGTATTTTTTAGGGAGACTGTGAAAAGTGTAAGTATAAATGAGCAGCGATGTATCCCTTAACATTACGTAACATAACATTTTAATCCATGGAGTGAAGAAGCAGAAAGGTGTGGGTGATTAGAAAGATGGAGTGAAGAGGAATGGTAACATGCACCAGTGTTGTCAAGTGCTCCACTCCTCAACAGCTGATCATTTAATTTGCCACAACGCAGTCACACACTTGTGTATCGGTTAAACACACACAGAGATAGGCAGTACAGGTACTCCTCGACTTACGACCACCCGGGCATATGACCGCCGCAGTCGTATAAAATATTTTTCAAATTACGTATTTTCGAGTCCCGACGTTAGTGATTGCGCTGTGTACTGAAAAAATTTTCGTTTGTAATTCCCTTTAAAATGGCCGGCAAGCGTAAAAGTGAGAGTTTTCGTGGTGCTGAGAAGAAAAAGAGACACCCATTTTAGATTTTCTCTGTATTATTTTCGCATTTTCGACTCACCACCTGGTCGTCGGTCCCTAACCCCGTCGTAAGTCGAGGACTGACTGTATCGCGATACATGTATTGGCAATATGTATCAGTCCATACATTTGTATTGGTATCGGTATCGCCTTAGTTACTCAATGAAAGTATCATTGTATCGGTATCACTAGGGCCCTTTTCTCAAGATGTATACAGTATAAAAAATGATACAGTACATCAATACATAAATGGAAATGAAGGGAAATTTGAATTAATAGATTTATAAATTACAAAAAGTTGGATGGTCCATTATTTTTTATTTGTATTTTTTCATAAATATAATTATATTAAATATATTACAGCACAGTATTACCCCGCTTAACGCGCTTTCACTTAACGCGTTTTCGCATATACGCGGTGCCTTGCCAAAGCTGAACTTTCACTTAACGCGGCATTTTTCCACATATACGCGGTGAGTGTCCGGCTCGAGAGCTATTTTTAGATTCGCACCACCCCCCACCCGCCACCCTGCCTGACTGCCTGTTTTAGCTCATAAAATTCATACAAATTACCCAGCCAGAATATAATTTACATTGCTGGAATTCTTATAATTTGGTGATCATTTTGAATATAAACAACATATATTTTGCATTAAACATACAATTTTTAGATAAAAATTGTTCTCTAGGTAATTATGTTATCTTTTGTCCAAAATATATGACATTTATATTCAAAATATTCCTGGTCTTACAAGGAATCCAGCAATGTCAATTATATTATCCTAACTTTAGTTTGAGGTATTATTTATTAAAATTTAGTGGTTATCCCACACATCTCCTTGGGACGGTTGGTGGGGGGTGGGGGGGAGGGAGGGACCAACCGACCGACCATCTGTTACCCGGTGAAGAATTATTTTTTTTTAACTGAAGATATTTGTTTTAGCTCATAAAATTCATACAAATTACCCGGTCAGAATATAATTTACATTGCTGGAATTCTTATAATTTGGTGATCATTTTGAATATAAACAACATATATTTTGCATTAAACATACAATTTTTAGATAAAAATTGTTCTCTAGGTAATTATGTTATCTTTTGTCCAAAATATATGACATTTATATTCAAAATATTCCTGGTCTTACAAGGAATCCAGCAATGTCAATTATATTATCCTAACTTTAATCTGAGGTATTATTTAATACTAAATGTTAAAAACTCTTGAATGGAGGATTGGTGGGGGGTGGAGGGAGGGTTGGGACTGACCGCGCGGTTGGAAGAGGGGGGGAGGCAAGGTGGGGTACTTTGATTGACAGATAGTGTTGAAGAATATTTTTTTTTTTTTATTAACTGTAGATATTTGTTTTAGCTCATAAAATTCATACAAATTATCCGGCCAGAATATAATTTACATTGCTGGAATTCTTATAATTTGGTGATCATTTTGAATATAAACAACATATATTTTGCATTAAACATACAATTTTTAGATAAAAATTGTTCTCTAGGTAATTATGTTATCTTTTGTGAAAAATATATGACATTTATATTCAAAATATTCCTGGTCTTACAAGGAATCCAGCAATGTCAATTATATTATCCTAACTTTAGTTTGAGGAATTATTTATTACTATACCTGGTTTTCCCCCAAAAATTTCTCAGAGGGAAGAGCCAGTGAGTGTAGTGTGAGAAGAGGGGGAGGGAGTTGAGTCCATTATTTGAATGGACATTAACTTGGCGACTGTATTTCTCTATTTCTCTTAAGTATTAATTGTGTGCATGTACCATCATAAAATTAAGATGTTATTTTTACTACAACATAGTTATTTGTCGTCAAAAAGTGGAGTTTGGGGGTCGGGCTGGGTTCTATTGGAATTAATCCCATATGTTCTGTTATTCACTTAACGCGGTTTTCACTTAACGCGGGACCCTCTGGGTTCAATTGACCGCGTTAAGTGGGGTATATACTATAGTTTAAAGATCTAATACAGTACTGTACAGTCAGTTCTGCTATAACGCGATAGTTGTGTTCTTGTAAAACATCGTGTTATAGAAATTCGCGTAATAGAAATAAGAGGGCTTATGGAGAAAATAGGGTTAGGTGCAGATTACTACTCGAAATCGAAAAAAATTTAGTAGTTAGCCTAACACAAAGGATAGCACAGTCTAAATAAATGTTACATTCATATCTAATAATGAAATCATACAGTAAATGTAACACTTTACCTTGAAAAAATATGAATATAACTTGATAGGGGAGAAGGGCGATTTTGAGGTTGATAACATCGAGCTTCTCTTCAAGGGTTATAGCCTTACTTTTACGATCATCACCGGGAATGCGATCACCAGAACGCTTCTTGGAGATATTCTTCTTTACCATATTCACAGTTAATACCACAAAATTGGAGAAATAGTAAGCAAAAATCGCGTTACAGCAAACAAGCGTTCGCGTTATACAAATATCGTTTCTCTATTCATAAATCGCGTTAGAGCCAATTTGCGATGTCAAAACACGCGTTATAGCAGAACTTACTGTATTTACATTTATATCATATAGTAAAAATAGGTAAGTATATTATTAATTATTTCTGTTTGTATGGCACATCCTCAAACTATAAATGCCAATGAATATATCACTTCCTCTAACTAGTATAGCTAAATTTACAGGGATATCTCCGTTAGCCGGAACAATTGGTGCAGGGCACTTCAAGGGAATGAGAGATTTCCAGGTAACAAGACGACTCTCAAAGTCAGAAATAAAATCCCTCATCCCCGGAATTTTCCGGGTAACGAAATTTTGTTTTCAGAAGTTCCAGAAATTGAGCATTACATCATCTCTCAAACCCAGAAAAATATCCCCTATCCCCAGAATTTTCCGGAATTTTGGGGGTACCAGAAAAATTTTCTCAGAATTTTCTGGAAAATGCACCCCTCAGAAAATAGTTCCCAATGCCGGAATATTCGCTTCTAAATCTAAATTTGTCTAATTTAAAACCATTGCTACAAGTTCACTCCTGGTTGGCTATTACCTTTGTTTAGCCCTGACTTCCATTTATACACCCTGGTCATATCGCCCCTCACTCTATGTCTCACGAGGGAGTGCAAATTAGGATGCTTTAACCTGTCTCTGTACTCAAGGTTCCTAATGCCCAAGTTTAGTCTTCTCATTCTCCTCTGAATGCTTTCTAGGGATTCTATATCCATTCTGTAGTACGGTGACCAGAACTGAACCACGTAATCATTTATTCTCATGTAATATGTGGAAAATTAAGTACAGGTTGACAATCTCTTATCCGAAATCCTTGGGGCCAGAGGAATTTCGGATTTCGGAATTTTTCGGTTTTCAGAATTGTTAATTATTATTATTATTATTATTATTATTATTATTATTATTTTTAATGTGTGTTAGCCCACCCGGGCATAGATCACTGACCCACATCAGGGCCTGGGGACAAAAAATATAATAAAATTGATAATAGTTGTAATAATAATAATAATAATAATAATAATTCATAGGTCTAAGTCGTGTTTCTAACTTTTGATCTTTTTTTCATTCTTGTATTTCTTTATTATTATTATTATTATTATTATTATTATTATTATTATTATTATTATTATTATTATTATTACAGTACTCCTGTATTATTGTTATTTTTATTAATTTTATTATTATATAATATTATTACTATTATTATTATTATTATTATTATTATTATTATTATTATTATTATTATTATTATTATTATTATTATTATTATTACTGTTATATTATTTTATTTTGGTGTATTTTTTTTTAAAAAAATTTTACTATGAATAATTATTATTATTATAATTATTATTACCATTATATTTTCGCCCCCCAGGCCCTGATGTGGGTCAGTGATCTATGCCCGGGTGGGCTAATCCGTTTAAAAATAAATAAAAAATAAATAAATAAATCGGTTTTCAGAGCTTTTCGGTTTTCCGAATTTCGAATAAAGGGTTGTCAACCTGTATAAAAATATTATATTACTAAATTTAATATTCAGACTGGTGATATTATTCATTAAGTAGATTTTGGGTTGACAGATAATTTACTGTAGATAACAATGAATCTTAATGTTCAATTCTTGCACTTCCTCTTACTCAGCCACAATACAACCTTGTTCAGATGGTTCACTGGCAGCTGTCCTCCACACCCACAGACTCCTTCATCCTATCCTTCTGTGTCCTTCACCCCCTCACTCATCTTCTTCAAGTTATCATTTTCACCCAAACTTTAATGAGCTGAATGAAGAATAACCTCCAATACCTTTCATGTTTTTATATCACATTCCTCTACAGTTCCTCCCTGTTGTTACCCCCCCCCCCACACACACATGTAATTTGCTCCATTAAAGAAACTAAAGCTATGAGTTATTTTTGCATCAAACTGTAGTAAACTGTAAGCTGTGGTAAGTTTCCTCCTCTAAATCAAGTATGTAATAGAAAGAATTTAGAGTCTTGGTGGAATAATAATAGGCCATAATGTGGAATTAAAATGTGCCGTTAGTTCCAATTTATTATAAACAAATTTGTAAAGTTGTGGTAAACAGATTATATCACCCATTTCCCCATGACAGCTGCTTCCATTTCCCCATTACAGCTGCTTCCACAAAACAGACAAAAGCTTGACTCACCGTCCTCTGACAACGACACCTTCTCCTGCAGCAGTGTGTTAACAATACTGGTGTGTCCTGCCCAAACAGCCAAACCCAAAGGAGTGCGACCCAAACGGTCTCCTGAATCAACCTGCAAATAAATACAATACTCTCTCAGATATGAAGTTAATTACTATCTAGAGCAAAGTATGTCAGACATGCATGAAGTCTAACAGAAACTTACAAATATATAAAAGAAACATGACCTCTAACTGATCCTGGTACCAAGTGAGGCTGGAACTGTTTAGCTTGATTTAAAGACTGGGCAAAGTTTGGTGCTCTGTTGTTATTGGCTACAGGATCTGGCAAAGTTTGGTGCTCTGTTGTTATTGGCTACAGGATCTGGCAAAGTTTGGTGCTCTGTTGTTATTGGCTACAGGATCTGGCAAAGTTTGGTGCTGTGTTGTTATTGGCTACAGGATCTGGCAAAGTTTGGTGCTGTGTTGTTATTGGCTACAGGATCTGGCAAGGCTTGGCATAATATCAGGAGTTGCTAAATGACCAAGCACAGTTTGGTTGTTTAATTATACAATATTTCGTAAGAGAGACAGATAAGGGACTCACATAAATTATCTTGCAGAAGTGAGTTAAACTGGTATTGACATCATTTAAAATACCAGGTAATTATATTGTGGAATGTGTCCTTAACCAAGAATCCAATTTAATAAGATCTGAATTGCCAATCAAAAGGAATTTAGTGTAAGTACAGTAAAATTAAATTAAAATCTGTAATCCTTTAGACTAAGCAAGTTCAGATTTTGATTTTTTGGGGGGTTGTTTGTTTTTGTTTTTTGTTTTTTTTTTAGGGGGTTAGAATGTGCACCAGATGTTCTGTTGAAAACTTATGCTCCAAGCTGGCATTAACACGCTGAACCATGAATTTTAAGAATTGTAGGATTTTAGAAACACAAATTTTAAATATACTTGTGTATAAATTACCAAGCTTACAAAAGGAAAGATTGAGGGATATACAGTATATAATCAACTTGGTTGTGAGCTTCCTTTGTTAACTTCCCTGTCTACACTAATCCTCTATTTCTAAACTAAAGAGGCAGCAAGATATATTATGCACAGGATGTTAAGTTCTACATGTAAAGATAATTATCAAATACACAAACGATGACTTACAACAAGCCCTCGGGCCAGTAAGTCAGCCACCAGGTCATCATAACCCTGACCAGCTGCCCAGTGGAGGAGTGTGGATCCTACATGGAATTTGATTATAGGTTCCACCCTTTCCAATCCTCTCTCAGTGCCTGTGGGAACCACATATTAATATCAAAAACAAAATTACCATTAGGGACCCCAGTGTGGCCACCAAACATAACTCTAGATGGTCAACACCAAGTTTGTATTTCCCTTTACTATACTGTACAATACACAATACTGTATAGCTAAATATTAGGACCAATCTGTCAAGTAGGTTCTGTATATGGGCATACCTGTAGTATATCAAAATTTCCACAATTTCATATATTTCAAAGAAAGGTACAATATTTCAGCATTAGACTCACTATTCAAACAATAATATTAAGCTATAAAACCTCATAATATATAACATGAATTCTGTTTTACTGAGCTGTTTATTGAAAACTAATTTCAAAAAAATCATGCTAATTATACAAGAGATGAAAAAAATATGAATTTTCATCTTTAAATTTTATGTTTATAGCTATGTGTAGCTAAAGCATTGAAGGTAAATACTACACAAAGAAAAAACAATTACTATCACTGCCATAGCGTCTATGGAATGCAGCTATACAGACTTGGAATTTCAAGGCAGCCACAGTGATCACTGCCCACTGACTCGTAGTGAAAAAAGGAAAAAAAATCCCAGCCATTGTGATGTGACTCTCTTCTATTTTCCCATAGTCCTTTTTCTGAATTCCCAAGCCCGTGTACATACAGGCAAATTACAGTACAGTATTTATAAGATGGCATGAAACTTTTACTTGTACAGTCGGGGTCAAAATTTCGCTCCCTCTCAAAATGAAGCGGCATCGGCCCCGAATGAGATAAAACAACACACCCGCACCGGATGGCAGTCCAGTGACTCAGTATCATTAAGGGCAGCAAACTTTTGTCCTCGACTGTACATGAAATAAAAATATGCATAAGTGCAGGAAAAGATTGCAACAGTGATGAGTTATAGTTAATGGCTGTTGTTGTTGAGAACTAAATTCCCTTCACCAGCACCTTACCTCAGCTTCACAACCACAGAGCAGAGAATTGTATTGAATGTTTGGCCAGTTTAATTACACAAATAAACAATAAGTCAGTATGAGCCACTGATAATACATACATTAGTACACACTTGAATACATAATAATAGCTATATATATAATGATTACTGCAATGAATAAATGGATCAACTGAAGACATCAATTAGGGATTTTTTTGTGAGAGGGAACACCACAGCAGAAGACATCTTGTACACCAGTAAGAAAGGATGAGTGACATTGAAGAAAAGATGATCATATGTACAGTCACCTGCACTTACACTTGCTACAGTGGCTGGGGCATTTTGTGAGATGTGGCAACTGTGGATTGCTTATCTAGAATCCTTAGGCAGCTATTATGAGGTTCCTTAAGGCCACCCCAAGAGTTTTAATATGATGTAAACAAACACAGAGTTGCCACATATCACAAAATGCACCAATCACTGTACCAAGTATAAGTGCAGGTGACTGTTCAAAGCATTTGTTTTCAACCATACCACAATAAAGAGTTCTGAGGGACCAAGAAACCTCCCTCAAAGAGAGATATCAAAAGAATGACTAATCAACCTTTCCTATGACAATGTGCTTTACAAAATGCTAAAAAAAAAATTACAATAACCTGTGATGGAAAAGCAAACTGATTATAATTCACAGGTGAGAAATGAACATCAGACATTTAAATTTCTAAAGAATAAAATCTCAATATTGGGAAAAAACCCTGATTATACAAGACAATCTCAAAATGCCATGTTTCTCTATGTCAATACAACAACTCACTGAGGCTAATATGATAAGCGACTAACTACAGGTATATGAGTGTGTAAGAAAAATAAGTTAAAATTCAATCAAATGGTGTACATCCCCCCCATTATGAGAAAGTTGACAGCCTCATATATTCAACCAAAAAACCATGAACCGTCTGCTCATAATATATCCCTAAGAATATGTACACTCTCTCAACAACTACTCTGCCGTGTTTCAGGAAAATTCTCAGAAGAATAAAGAAGCTTATTATACAAAATAGACCTTAAGTATGTGACAGGTGGATTAATGTGCAATATAGGATACTCTGAACAGTGCTCACTGGTGTGTGCATATTTACAAAGCAAAATAAAAATACAAATTTAAACACAGCCAACATCTACATTTGCTATGCAGTTGTTTACTTTGAGACAGGCTGGCACAGTCACCCACAAGAGACCTGTCGACTCTCTTACTGTTCCATGAACCCCAATATAAAGACTTGTGAACCCAAAGCAGTAGACACTGATGCATTATTCTGGCCATAAATGCTTTAGATTCATGAGTCTGAATCTTGGGGTTCATGGAACAGCAGGAGAGTCAACAGAATTTTTGTGGGTAACTGTATACCGTATGCAAATTTTCCCTACATATTCTAGCAGCCTAAATCTTGAAACAAACTATGGCAGTGGTCCAAGAACAAGCCAAAACATTTGCCAAGAGATAATGTATATTGGTTTACCTGTCCCACAAGTGAAGCATCAATCTTGTTTACATAAACTGTATAAAGAAACACAAACAAAAATATAAACACACAAATATCTGACAACAGAAAAGAACTTGTATAAGATTAAAAAATATAGACAAAACCAAAATAATAAAGTTATTGGCCAAAAACCAAACATAAAACAACAAACAGTGAACTTACACAATCATAAGAACAGAAACACACCCATAATACCACACACAAACAATAAAATATCACATACCTGCACAGCTAGATCCAACAAGCAACTATATGTATTAAACATATATTAGATCATGCAGCATAAAACATTTCAAGCACTGACCATTTCAGGACACTCTACAGTGAGAGTGTACACAACTAGAGCTATGGTTACATTTACACAGAGGTAACCTTACACCACCACTACTTACGGCACATCCCTGTGGAGAGAAAAAAGAATTATTACAGGCTCAAATAATACATAATGATGGTATACAATTTTCACAATACTGTACCCATTGCTGGACAAAATTTCATGAAGTCAGTGTTGTACAGGACACACATTACAGTTCCTTTCTAATTCCATCATTTATTAAAAACTCATATTGGTGCAAGAAAAGACAAATTAAAATCCAGCATCATTAATATACAAAATTCTTAAGGTTGACCAAAACAATCCTGAGTTATCCCTGTGATCTTAGTACACTTGTTACACTCCATATATGAGGTACTACAGTAGGGTTAGTACAGTACATCCATAAAAGAACAACAAATCAATATTACTATTCCATACAGAAGAAAGATGGAAACTACCTCAGAGCACACAGAGTTATGCACATGTGAAGCTTCTTGTAAAGACTTTAATTACTTTTGGTTATAATTTTTAACCTGGACACTATACGTCAATTTTTGTTATGAATAATTCAACTGGGTTATTCTCACAAGTAACAAATATATTACATTTTAGTACTGTATCTACATTATCAGCTACATCAAACCAAGAACAATTTGTCATAAAGTTAAGAGGATAGAAATATGGTGCTTTGGTCTGAAAAGGTCCTCCATATGCCTTAGTACTGTAAGTGACTAAATATTATATTGTATCCCTACATAGAGGACAGAGCTTTAAAAGAAGGTCAAGTTCCACTGGCCACCCTCACAACTCTCACTGGAGGGTACAAAGGGAGGAGTGAAACATGAGGATGATGATAACAACATTGACACAAATGAGTCTCATGGTCCAACTTAGAGAGCACACATTAATTATGCCATTAAGTGAGGGATTTGAGGAACCACATGTGAGGTGTTTCTTCAGCCCTTCCTTGTCACTTCCTTCACTGTATTCTCCTCTACCAGTTTCTCCTCCTTTTTTTGTTGAGAAATATAAGATCAGTAGAGAGACACTGATGGCAAAACATGATGACAAACATGAGGGTGAACAGTGATGAATGACACTGAATAACGTGCTGGTGAGAAATAGTTTCTTGTTAGCTTCAAGTTAAAACACAAATCATTAAAACCAAATAAAGAGAGGCAAAAAATCACATAACATCAGTGTGTTAATGCACTTTTCTATCTTAATGGTTTCTCACACTGAAACTTTCCATGGGTAGAACACACAGAGGGTTGATTTGTCTGGGTCATCGGGTAATTTGGTGGAAGTGATTTGGAGCCGCTTGACTCACGTAGGTTGTTGGCAGGCCATTCGCTTGATGTCAGCGAGGTTACATTGACGCTCGAGCGAGGCTTTTCCTTCCACTTATTCCCCTTCACTGTACTGTCATCTCTTGCAGAACTGAGGTCCGATAAGCTAGCTTGTGCCTGGGTCGGGCTCCACCGATGACGCTTACGGAACAGCGTGTCCAGAGAAGGCGTGCGCCATGCTAAGCTCGATCCAAGGATGTGCATTGCTTCCGCAGACATTTGACTCGGGCGTCGACGTTTTGATCCACCTGGGGTACTTAAAGTACAATTCTCTGAGTCCACACAAGAACACATCTAACACAACAGTAGATGGGGAGACAAGTACTCAGATAACCGTAGTCTATATCCCTGTATATTTAAACACACAGTATACAAAAGACAATGCTTAAAATCTAACTCACAAGCCTGTGTAAGAGCACCATCAGGCTATCAGAGAACACAGTGGTGCCAAAGAGCAACAGGTTGGGAGCCCTGCTGTACATCTTCTCTATCCATGCTTACTGAGACAATCCTCATCACTATAAAATCTACATTACTCCATGGAACCAAGTGGTTACTGATACACATATGAGTCTAATACCTTGCTGGATTTGGTAGTAAGTTCTTCAATTCATAACCCTTTAAATATAACTGAAACCGTTGAGCATAAAACAATAAAATGTTTCTAAATATTCTCTAACAAAATGGAATAAAAAAGTATACCATCAAACAGGGGACCAACAGAGCTTCTTGGACTCACCAGAAGTCGGAGATTTAACAATCATCTTTGGATTCGCTCCACGTGATAGTAAGAAGCGGACAATGTTGGTGTGATCTCTGTACGCTGCCACGTGTAGCGCCGTTACCCCCTGTAAGACCAAAACATTATTCATGACCATTTAATTACCAATACAAAAGTTATTAAGGTCAAAATACCCAATACTGTACCAGCAAAATGAGCTGTACTTATGTTAATGGTTTCTCTAAAATAAACTTTCTGCCCAAGAAGAAAAGATCCTTATTACTCCAAGCCAAACATCTCTAATACAGTAGAACTCCAAGTGTTGTTTCAATGGGATAATTTAGTTTGGTACTTGAGAGAAACACAAAATACTAAAAAGACTGAGAGTCTACCCAGATGCACCTCAGCCCATCTCCTAGAATAAACAAAAAAAATTTTTTGTAGTATTATGTTAAAAGAAACACTCATAAATCAACACAGCTAAAATTAAGGGATGCACAATGGTCTGTTTACTGGCTGGGAAGATGGGGGGAGGGAGGTGAGGTGATATGTTTGACAGTTGATGCCAAGGTCTAGTGCTTATTTATTAATCTGTCCCTAAGAGTGACTTTAAGTTTTTCTCTTATAAAATGTCACTGAACTGACATGAGAGAATATAATTAACATTGCTTGAATTCTTATAAGACAGTGATTAATTTGAATATAAACATGCTATAGCTCGCATTAGACATACAAATTTTAGTTCTAATTTAAGAATTTTATTAGAGAGAGCAAAAATGTTTATCTCTTGAGCAAAATATATGACGTTTATATTCAAATTATTCGTAGTCTTGCAATACAAATTATATTCTCCTAACTTTAGTCTGTGACATTATATAAGATAAAACTGTAAGCCTATAACCACCAAACCCTGGCTGGGAGGGAGGGAGGGAGGGAGGGAAGGAGGGAGGGAGGGTGACAGTGACATGTTTGACAGTTGGTGCTGAAGGTCTAGTGAAGTATTTATTTGTTTATTTATGTCCTTTAGCTTGAGTTTGTGTTTTTTACTTATAAAATGTCATAGAAGTGACCGGGGAGAATATAATTTATATTGCTGGAATTCTTATAAGATAGTGATTAATTTGAATATACTTTAATCATGCTATAGTTTGCACTAGACAAAAATTGTAGAGAAACATTAGGCGCAAAATTTTAAATATGCTGCGCCAGATTGACTCGCGCAAAATAGGAAAGATTCGCTTTAAATTAAAACATTGTCCTTAATTGTGGGTGTCGCTTTAAATTAACGTTCTACTGTACAAGTCACCTACAGAGTCCCTAACTAACTTGCACACTATCTAGTTGGAGTAGTACAGTATCAATATAGGTCAATTTAATATACCTGCAATAAACAATATACAAGTTCAAGAAATTGTGAATTACATCATCTCTCAAACCCGAAAAGAAATCCCCCATCCCCAGAATTTTTCCAGGTACCGAAATTTTCTCAGAATTTTCCAGAATGATGCATTATTTCATCTTCCAACGCCAGAAGAAATCCCTCATCCCAAAACTTTTAAGAAAATGTGCCCCTCGGAAAATCGTTCCCAAAGCCGGAATTTTCCAGAAAATTCCGGCTTTGGGAACGATTTTCCGAGAAAATTTCAATTCCGGTTATCGGAGAGTTGTGGTTAAGAGAGATTGCGGTTGATGGAAATATTACATCCCTATACTGAAGCAAAGGGTATCACAGTTACCCTAGTGCAGTACACATTCTCTTAGTCCCATTATGCCTTCAATAATGACTCTCATACACTTGCACAGAGACACTGAATATATTGTTGATTCTTGTTTCATGGTTACAATTATTTTCATCACCTTTCCCTTTACACGTGGGTCACTACAGGCATCGCTTGATTTACAAAAGATCGGTTTACAAAATGGTTTTCAGGAACGGAACCTTTATGTAATTAAGGGATACCTGTACAGTATTCACTCTTTCTGCCACTCCTTTGATGAAGTCATCTACTTACACAACCCATTTATACAGTGGTTCCATCTAGTCATGATGCCTTACTATTCTTAAGTTTGTTTACACTGTGTCTGTCCTCTTTTTGCTCTCTTTAACCCAGAACCTTCTCACTCCTCCAAGTCCCAAACATGTTAAGTCCATCATCCTCTCATATTCCCCAGCTGCTCTGGTATTTATTCCCATCTTTTTCAAACAGAATATCTCCTCGTTCATACTAAACTCCCATTCCCATCTGTTCTCTTGATTTTCTTATTAATTTTTTTTCAGCACAACTTTACACTCATTCTACAGCCTTTTGACAACCTTTCTCTTTATCTTTCATCTGATAAATTTCTTTATAATTTCCTTCATTATACCAGTACTACTCCTCCCTTCTCTCATTAATCCCAACTTACAACTGACACTCATAATGTGGATAACCTCCTGAGGAAGCCAAGTTCTGCCTTTAGGTACTCTGGTAGGAGGAATCTTTAGGGACATTTGTCAAGTAACCAACAGACCATAACAATCATATATACAGTAATACCCCGATATACGCGGTTTCGCTTTACGCGATTCCACATTTACGCGGTACCTCGCCAGAACCGGAATTTCATTTTACGCGGTGCATCTACTCATATACGCGGGTGAAGTATAATTTTTTTATTTAGCTCATAAAATTCATACAAATTACCGGCCAGAATATAATTTACATTGCTGGAATTCTTACAATATGATGATCATTTTGAATATAAACATCATGGATTTTGCATTAAACATACAAATTTTAGATCTTATGTAATAATTTGGTTTACACAAAGCAAATATTTTCTCTTTTGTGCAAAATATATGAAGTTTACATTCAAAATATTCCCTGACCTGCAAGGAATCCAGAAATGTCAATTATATTATCCTAACTTTAGTCTGAGGTATTATTTATTACGTACTATACCTTAAAATCTAGTGTTTTCACCCAAACATTTCTCAGAGAGGGAGGAGCCAGCGAGGTTGGGAAGAGAGAGAGGGGGGGGGGCGGGAGTTGAGTCCATTATTTGAATGGACATTAACCTGGCGACTGTATTTCTCTTAAATATTGTGTATGCATACCATCATAAAATTAAGATGTTATTTTTACTACAACATAGGTATTGTGTCGGAAAAAGTGGAGTTTGGGGGTCGGGCCAGTCTCTATTGGAATTAATCCCATATGTTCTGTTGTTCACTTTACGCGGTTTTCACTTTCCGCGGTACCCCATGGGTTCAATTGACCGAGTAAATCGGGTTACTACTGTATTTCAAACAAATCACAAAGGTTCATACATGAGGATCTCCAATGTTGACATCAGCCCCAGCCTGCAGAAGAAGGGTAACAGCTTGCAGGCGACCCTCAAAAGCTGCATGATGAAGGGCAGTCCAGTGTGCTGCATCCCTGACCTCTATATGAAGACTGTAACATGAAGAAGAAAAAATGGATAGAAAAAATGGATAGAAAAAAACAATTTACACTTCTTTCAAACACTAACAGTTGTAAGGTAAAAATTAATTTGAAATGATATCATCTCTTTGAGTTTACACAGACCCAGTGGTGACTAGGTATGAATGGCCACCATATAAATTACAATCAATTATACCCCCATCCTGGGTTACCAACAAAAAATTGATCCCAAACTCTGACATCCCAGAACTTCAGTAACAGCAAAATGGTCGTCCAAAGTTATCTCTATACACACCAGAGCCACCAACCCCCAACTATCTGTACTAATTTGCATCATACTGTAAAAGGAAAAGTCAACACTGCTCAGTCCTATCAAATTATTCTGGTTTCTACATAATATCAACAACTCTATAACCAATTTATCTATGTATTTATCTATTAGCATTACCTCGTTCCCTACAAAATAGACATAAACAAGAACATTACCCATCACAAGACACTAAAACAACATCCATCAGTTACAGGACTCTAAACAATGGTATAATGTCATAATTACCATAAATGGAAGAAAAATACTGTCTGAGTGTCTGAGATATTGTATAATGTTTCAGGAGAATCTGTTACTTGGATGCACACCTGTAGTAAAGACCGCAAATGAGACCTTTCTTATTTTACAGCCTTTACGGATTACCTTACGTTTCACCCCTCAACCTAACCAGCCTGAAGTTTTACCACCCTGAAATTACTATGTGGATGGAGAGGGGGGGGGGCTAAACTTCTGGTGATCGATAAGAGCTAAAAACGTGAATGATCTCATCACTGTAACATCCATCAGGACATCTTGTACTAGATTTAACCATCAAAATTACATCTTGTATGCATATGTGACACAACTTCTCCCATTTCTTACTGTCTTGACTTATTAGTTGCAATAGTTAACTCTATGAATGACTGTCCCTGGTAACTGATTGAAGACAAAAATTACTGACTAACCCACACAGCTTACTACTCACATGTGTATGCTGAACCAATATGATCATCGTGCTGGGTAAGGCAAAATAATCACTAAAGAAAACAGTAAATATGAGTTTAAAAAAAAATAAATAAATAAAAAAAGGAAAGGCAATAACCATGCAAATGTTAGAATGGAATTTTTTTTTTTTTTTTGTGGAGGAAGATGGTGTTAAAAATCTGGTTGAATAAAGGAAAACAAAAACAGAGTTAATACTTTAAATACCTGAGCTACGGACTTAATTCAGATTGAAGGACATACAAAGAAAAACAAAGTGGTAAAGGTGTTGGTCAGTAAAAACACAACGAAAGATGAAAACCCGAGACTAATACAGTAATGTGAGTCACACTGGAAGAAAAACAACCAAATAACTTACTGCCAACAATATTAGAGAATAAAACAGGCAAACACACATAACACTACAAGTGGTTAAAATAGAGGACTAACACATGCCTTCTCGTCCATAAAGGTAACATATGGTAGAATAACTCTGGTCTATTTTTGGGTATGAATTGTTAATCTCATACAATTTTTACTACAGGGAATTAAGTGGCTCGTGGTGATGTAGGTCTTGGGAGTCTTTTTGTCTAGTTCCCATTTGAGGCAAGGTGACAAATGTAATAGATATGACTCTAATACAGTTCCAATAGCAAAACAAGGTGAACTTTCCATCACTAGTCAACAAGGTGTGGTGCTTATGGGGAGGGGGAGGGGGATCTTCAGTTGATGGTGGACGTCAGTAGTCACCTGAAGACTGACCCACAGCATATCTCACCTGAAGTTTAACCACCACAAAGAAACCTGAGGGGACTAATTTTCAGGTGATCCATTAATGTTGATATTTGAAATAGTCTCAACTTCTATAGGTCTCGACTACATCACTGACGGGTAACCAACGTACCCGAGGCGGACAGTGTGAGAGAGAAGAAAACGCAAGACTGCCAGACAACCAAAATTAGCAGCTAGGTGTAGTAGGTTACAGGTGATACCACGGAACCTGACCAGAGCAACGCCTCTACGCCACTCCCCATGCATGGCCAAGGCTTCCACCACAGCAACATGATCACGATCTGTGAATAATATATCAATTATGTTTTCAAGTCAAAGGTATTTAAATAGGTAAGAAAACTATGCACTGTTAAAAAATCTGATGAATCTAATGTAACTGAAATGGAAGGGTAGAAGTACAGAGGATCAGTTGAAAGGTTAATGATTATAGAAGATTAATAAATACGGCCACAGATATTAGTTGTGAAGAGAAGGGTGTTAAAAAAGTTTAACCACACAAGTAAAAAAATCATATAACTCATTAAATGCTAAGGAACCAAACTGTGATTATCAGACACATCAGATTCTCACCACAAGACATGTATGTACAGTATTTTGTAAAAGTACCATAGTTTACAGCATATATGTGCCCCCCATGTCAGCTGGTAATATTTTGGAAAACCAATTTAGTGTTTTTTAAGCATTTAATGTTTATTCTTAATAATATGGAACATGACACATTATAATTCGCTCCTCTGGCCAGTGTTCTTAAAATGAGGATAAAATACCATAAACTGAGCATGTTAACACCGTCCTTGTTGATGTGTTATTATCAAGTTGTTGTTGTTTTGATCGTTACTCACTGTATTAAGATGTCCTTACTACGGTAAGCACTGTAAAATATATGAAATGGCAACTGAATACGTCTCTTCGTTGCACAGTGATAGATGGCATTACTGTACATACTAGTGAGACTACAAGCAAATGGTGACGGTTGTCGGCGTTATTTACTGTTATCATCATAACTTAAAGTTTCTTTCTAAAGGTAAAGGATGTTTCATAATAAAAATACTGTAATAAGATAAATGTGGCAGGGAGGACATTGTTACACTTGTAAGAGATGAGAAATGGTTACTGATTAGCTCTGAAGAGTTGGGTGCCGTACGGAGGATAATTATCTTGTGCTATTCAGCTTTAACATTTACATTAATTCCCTTTTTAATTAATTATAAATAATAATACAGTGGTCCCTCGGTTAACAAAAGGTTCAATTAACGAAATTTCGGTTAACAAATTACCTCCCATAAGGATCTTCAATTCGGTTAACGAACAAAACTTTGATTAACGAAATCCTTACGACAAACACGTTTTGTTGTGAGCATCAGCTGATCAGCTGATGGGCCAGTCTGCCAATTCAGTAATCTGTTCAGTAATCTGTTCTATGTTTACATTCATTTCCAGTGGAGTAAATATTATTAGTCATTTTAAAATTTTGTTAACATATTGACAATACATATATGCAGTACAGGGAACTAGTTTTTTGTGCACCCATCAGCTGCTTGACTCAGCCACCAGGCATCAGTTTGGCTTTGTTGACAGGGGAGTGAATATTGATTTTGTTGGTGTCTTGAATATTTTTGCAGTTTTACATTAAAATTATTGGTAATTCTGAAATTTAGTTAACATATTGATAATATATAGCGCAGTGCAGTGTTGATTTAAATAAAATAATCTTTAATTACACCTAGTGAACTTAAAATTTTAATGGTGAAATTACTGCATCAAGCATGGGTCCCCTGAAAGGTGAGTTCTCCTCTATCCCCACTTCCTTCTCTTCACCCTTCTCCTCCACCCCCACTTCTAATTCACATCATCATCATCAACCAGGAACCTTCTACATACACACCTCGAAGTAAGTGTACTTTACTGCATTTTTTTTTACTCTGTATGTACTTTTCGGTGAGCTGGAACCAATTACCCAATATCCCATTGAAACAATGGATTTGGTTAACGAAATTTTCAGTTAACGAACGACTCTGTGGAACGAATTGTGTTCGTTAACCAAGGGACCATTGTAATGTAACAATAATACTGTAAACATGTTTAAGTAAACAATATCATTTTTATTCTGGAGTTGGTCTACACAAACTTAGTCAACTGGAGACAGCATCTGGGGGGATTCCCATAACTTAACATATTGGATGCCAGTTTTTTCTTTTTTGCCATTTTTTGGGGAAAAATTGCATTTTATATGCCATAAAATACTGTACTATATATACTTCTACATATAATACACCTCTAAATCACATACAAAAACAGATGGTGATATAATAACAGCCTTTCAGCATTAAATTTTCTGTCTTCATCTCTGTAAAACAAGACAATGGTTCAACTGATCAAAATCAACAGTAACACTAACCACACACAAACCATTCAGCATTGGTTAAATAACAGTGACAACAGTACACAACTAAAGCCAGCTGGGTTGCCTGGTACTGTAGTTATCTATAAAGGTGTGTACAGAACAAACCCAGTCACTCTCTTATACAGATCTGGAACACTGACTTCTTACCAATAATCACATATTAAAAAAATATGCACGGTACTGTACCAAAATACTATAAAAAAAATGTACTTATATAAACTCATTATAATTTATCTGCCTAAAAGAAATATTACCATCAAAATCATTTTTTTTTTGGTACTGGTAATTATGATACTTCACAGAGGAACAGGTTAGTTAATGAAGACTTTTTTTGCATTTATGCTTCAACTGGTGATGTATAATGACTTCATCAGGAAGGTTCACAGACACAGTACTTACATGTGGCAATATGAATAGGTTGCCAACCTGACTTGGCATCCTTGCAGTGGACATCAACACCAGCATTCAGCAGCACCTGAGTTAGCTCCACATTTCCTGTAACAAACATCTGGCGTGGTCATGCACTGTAGTTACGACAAATGAATCTAGCTTGAATTATATGACAATAGACTGGGCTGACAAAATGACCTCACCAAATCTTACTTAATCTCCAACTAGAATGGGAAGGAAGAGGTCCGCCATGTATGACTTTTGACTTATATAAACTAGTACTGTACCTCCTCTAGATGGTTAATGTTCTTTCAATGGGAATCATCTTTTCTCTTTTTAACATTATCTACAGTACTTCAGAGTTCATCAGTTCATTCTAAAATCATCATTTCCCAACTACTACTTTAACAATTTTACCAATACAAGCACAAACAAACACAAATCTGGAAGTTTCTTACCAGTGCGACAGGCAACCAACAGAGCATGCTGAGCTTTTTTGGAACTTGGGTCGAAAGTCTGTCGAGAGACAAAATCTTTGACCGTGCTCACGTCCCCCTGTAATGCTGCTCTGGTAAAAGGGTGGCCGGAATCTGGGTCATCAGGCCACAGTGTTGTGAGGTTCTCTGGGTCATCGACAGTTATGTCTTCAGGTCCTGTGCCCGGGTCTTGTGACTGGTTCAACCACCCCATTAAGGAGGCACTCGCATGATTGCTCTCTGAAATGTCAAGAAAACTGTAAGAAATATTGAAATCTTCAAAAGCTTATAAAAAAGTTCTGTTAACCAAAATCCTATCATGTAATACAGTATTAATTTATTGTTCATTAATGAAAAACATTACATAAAATAGCAGCAGGAAAACCCAAACTGCATTAACAAAACTTTGAAAAACAACTATACTTGAATATTACTCTCTAGATCAGATGCTGCTGCAAATACACTGTACAAAAAATTAATGTGATGCCAACAGTGATATTGCTGGCAGTTATATTCCTTATCATACGTGGTTGTGGTGGATATAAAGTAACACACAAACGTGATCCACAAGATGGTGACTATATGACAGGCATGAGAGTGGCATTAACAAACAAAGAGGTGTTTTGTGATAAAAGAGTGACGCCACACTCACACCATGCCGTGCACCCCCTATATGGACTGTGAGGTGGCATGCAGACGTCAAGGTCAAACCAAAATACAACTTACACACCTAAACACCTCCTCCTGTTCACATACAAATGACCTTTAGTGAAAGTACATGAGTTGTTGCTACTTCCACACTCATCATAAGAGGCAGACAGATGAATGGACAGAGGATAAGCCTTCATTATAGACAGTATATGATAACACTAGGGCAGATGAACACAGCCCAATCCTTAACATCTTACCCCTATATCAAGAAAACGTCTCCTCTGTTTATACCGATCAAAAAATGGCAGAGTTCCCATAATGGTGGAAATACCTGATGTTTTAATGATCACTCCCATCCCATAATACCCGTCCAGCATCATAGTCAATAATAATCATTTAACACCAATATCTTGACACAAAATATCCAATATAATCAATCCTATCCAAGTAAATGATAACCAGTATACTGTATTGTACCTGGATTCAGCACAAGCACTATAACAATGTCTGAACTGTCTGCATATATGAGTATTAAAGTTGACCATTATATAACCCAAAACCCTCCCATTTCTGATTCAAATACAATCAGATCATGTTAATTCACCATTTTAATCTGATACTGCACAAAAAAAACCTGCTTTACATCACCAAGGAACCTCTGGTGACCGACAGCATCAAGAGTACCTGATATATCAACCAAAACCAATAGGGGGGGACTTGCTGAAACACACATAGGTCATCAAATCATCATAAAGCTGTTTAATGAACCAAGGAGAGGCAATTGGTCAAGCATAGATCAGAAACTGGATAATAGGTTGCCTTATTTCCTCTATCAAAACCCAACTTCTGGATTTGGGGGTTGCATGATGGCCCGTTTCTCAGACAACACAAAAGGAACAGCTGATTTAGAGGTAAGGGAATTTTTGGACACATTTACAGCCTGAGTGACAATAAGTCTTCCTAAGTTCTCTGATGTACCCAAGAACTTTAATCACTCCAACAGGATGGATAAACGAATGAGCAGAGGATATGGCAAAGGGTTGCTTGAATTCCATTGAAAACTGTACATTTTGAGGAGGCACTATCAAGCTAATGCTGTATCTAATTCACAAAATATTTAAAACAAAAGAAGAAAGACAAATTACAAGCAAAGTTAACATCTGAAGCTGAGTAAGGCAAGTAGGGACAGCACTTCAGCCCATCAAATTGTTAAAAAAAGCAACAACAAAAAATCCCTATTGCCTCCACATGCAACTACTGTACTTGATGCTTGTAGTACTCTACTTTGAAAGGATAAAATTGGAAAAAATTACAGCACAGACACATATTCTGTTTGAGAAAAGCCCACACCATTTTCACTGAGGTTTTCTATGTCGTTTGCTCAAGGAGACAATGGTAGAATCATTCCACAAGAGTCATTACATACAGGTATTATGATTTGTTTTTATTATTTCAGGACAACAACAATCTGAGATAGAATGATAGAAGTCATCCTAAGTCTCCCACAGATGCTCAACAGATAAGAGTAGAGGCATCAATTGTATCTAAAAGGCACTTGATCTAATGAATGGTTTTGGCACATAGTTTAATAAAGTGATTGTCTTGGTGTATGAAGGAGGTCTTAGAAAGTTTAACTTGAAAGTAACGATAACATCCATGAGCACAAAATTTACATCCTTAACTTAATCATGATCACCGTGAGACAAAACCTGATCAGAGACATAAGAAGGAAAAAACAAATGAAACAATTGATTAAAGAATTTGTTAAGATTTTTCAGCTCCAGAAATTCAGAATAGGAGAGCATCAACAAAGGTTCATCCAGCCAAAAACTGAAGTCCCAGCAAACTAAATATTTCCTCCAAATAAATGCTTCCATAACCTCTTGGTCAACATCCAGATGGTCAAAATGATAAATGTCAACTTCTCTAATAAATCTGATGGTGAAAGTTAACGTCAACTTCCACAAAGTCATCTGACACTGGGTTAAAGTTGGATAAGGCCAGAGGAAGTACTGCACTAGAGCCACTCAGCCACCAGACCTTCGAATTCCTGAGATCTTGCAACATTAAATTAGTCAATGGATGGACACATAAACAGCACAGGACATGACAATACCCTACTGGTCCTGATGACTGAGGGGTAATGAGGGCTTCTCTTTATGCATAGAACTGTATGTGTTCATATCTCGGTTATAAAGACCTATTGAACTCCCCTTCCATATTACCAATGCACTTATCCACACAAAAGCTTATGAGAACAGGATAAATTGGAGAGGAAAAATAATAACAGTAAAATAAGGGAAATAAAGTGAATGAGGAAGAAGAAATAGAAGATGGGAGTAAAGGAAAAAGAGATGGATGCTGGTGAAGATGAGGGAGATAATGATGAAGTGAGGAGAAGATGGAAGAGGGAAAAAGAAGAGAAAAGTAGATTGTTGAATGTCCACGTCTAATTCCTTCCTGAGGTGTATCCATTCACTTTACTTCACTAACTTTCACAAGTGATTGTAATACAGAAACTGTGCCTGGAAACAAATACAACACTGTACATGAAAATGCAATGTGCAGCTATTAATACCTGCTCAAAGTGTCAAAAAAAGAAAGAAAGAATTAATCCTGAAATCCCATTTTATGGCAAAGTCCAAACTGGGTGATTCAAGAAATATAGCCACAAATCCTGGGCTGTAAACCTGAGACATCCAGGCATCATGAATTATACAGTACTGTACAGGGTGATTCTCACTTGCATACAGTAAATTGCAGGGTGTATTACTAGGGTGATTCTAAGCCATAATGTTGATTTGATAAAATGTTGGAATCTACAGCACTTGAAAGAGGTTAAGGTGATGGTAGTGAGGTGGAGTGAAACAGCTGTAGATTTATGTATATAATACTCTCTCTCTCTCTCTCTCTCTGTATCAAATTGTGTAAATTATATACTTAAAACTACAGGTACAGTACACAAAAATCTACAGCTGTTTCAATCCACCTCACTACCATCACCTTAACCTCTTTCAAGTGCTGTAGATTCCAACATTTTATCAAATCAACATTATGGCTTAGAATCGCCCCAGTAATACACCCTGCAATTTACTGTATGCAAGTGAGAATCATCCTGAATACATTTCTTCTTCACAATAAAATTTAAAATAGATCTTTAGAAACAGCAATTAACCATTTAAAATAGGAAACACTGAGTTGTGAACACCAAGTCAGCAGACACACAATTCAACCTCCAACTAGCTAAGACAAAGTGGGTGTCAAGCTCTTCAGTTACAGTTACTTCCATGCAACCTTATAAGAGGGAGAAGGGTATCTGATTGGTCTAGCTCGAGGCTCTGCCATAAGATGGGATTTCAAGACACAATCCATCATTTATAGCCAACACCCTTCACTAAACTACTTATGAATCCCAAGGTCAGCTAGAAACTGAGAGGTGATGGCTGCTTGTGCTCCAAGTGCTAACATAGCAAGTACACCATTAGAAGAAATAAACTATATGTTCTTTATTCAGTTGGGAATTACATCTTGGAAACAATGTTACCAATTTTATCAGTGTCTCAACTAACTTCTCTGTGATACCATCCAGGGACTCGGCCAGTCATCCTGATAAACAATACAGAAAAATACTTTCTTCCTGTGCCTTCTAGTATGACACCTTCCTTCTGAAGTAAAGAACTGTACACTGTTAAAACCTTGTTCTTCCCCAACTGAGGGAGTAGAACTTCCTGAACCTCAAGTTAAAAGGAACAAGCTAAAGCACTCTTCAAATCTATCGAGGTCAACCTGAGATCATTCATCCATCACCAGCAATTCTCTTGTGTTTATGCAGTTAATGACCACAACACATATGGCCTCCTATTATTTGGAGATATGGAAGAGTATCAATACAGTATACAGCAAAGAGACTGTAACCTGATTTCTGAAATACACATTCAGTCAACTCTGAAAAGAACACTTCCTATGTAGCACCAAATTCATTACGGTACTTCTTGAACATAATGTTTAGTAATGATCTCACTCACCCTACTGATAAATTGGTAATAATCTAAAGGTTCAGTAATTCTTGTGTCCAGATTTAAAAAAAAAAAAAAAACTCTCAATAGTCTCATCCACAAGTAATTCCTGGAGCTTAACTCTGATCCCCAAGAACCAATGGAGAAAGTTTAAAAGAGGAATACAACACCACTATAGATGAACTGGACTAAAGCTGAATTGTAAGTCTGCTAATGTGGTATTCATGATTCTTTGCTTCCTTCTTTAAATGGTAAATTGTTGCTTCTTAAGATCCTAAGAACCCATTTAGGACCTGGTTACACAGGTGAACATAGGTAATTCATGAATTAATCTCAATCCATTATGTCTAGGGTTAATCCTGGGTTTAGAACACAGGACTCATGGCTATACTGTAATACACGAGTCATCTAGTAAAGGCACAGACCAAAAATAAAACATGGGAGAGGAAGAAGTGAGGTGTGAGAGGCCAGGGCAGTGTGGGGGTCTAGTCAAAACTGGTGCTCTAGCTACTTCAGTGGCAATTCAGGCCTCAACCTGGTGCTGGGAACAGCACAGTGAGGTACCAGCACACACCATTGAAAAGCTGGAATAAGCAAATACAAAATGAGATAAAAAAAAATATCTTTAACTGTGGACTTGCATCTAATACTGATAAATCACAAAAAATTGGATCAGATCAATGCCGAATCAATGCAATGGCAGCAGAACCCGCACGCAGGTGTCGGACAAGCGTAGGAGTACGGGGTACCTCTGGATGAGCGTCTGTTGGGCGTCTGGTACTGAATGAGGTATGACAAGGGCTGAGACGAGGAGTTGGTGAAGTTCAGGCCAGTCAGACAGCACAATGTTGGGCTCGCTGTGGGTACACCACATTCTCTCATCCATAAACACTAGCCAGTACAGTGTTCAAAAATATACTCACTGCCTACTCATGTCCTCTACTGTACTGTACTTAACTTCATAACTACCTAATAAAGAGAACACATTTCTTGCTACTGTACATTAACCCCTCACTACGAGATGCCACTTTTAATATTTTATATAACTAAACCAAACAATTTTATTCAGCACAGACAGGCCTCCAAACACTAGGAGTTAATAATACAGTAATCATCCACTATATTGCAGTACTGTGTCTGCATAAGTGCCATAATATACCAAACCACATATCTTATGGACTTTTATCCCAGGAAAAAAAAAAACATGGCTGCAGGGTAATTTGGGTCACTGTTTGTGGCTGAGACTTCATGGGAAGGTGTGGTAGTGATGGGTGAGGTCATATAGTGCTGCCTGCATAACCCACATGAGGAATGGAAATGGTGGTGAAGGGTTGTGTGGGAGGAGGTGTTGTGAGTGGTGGTGTGGGAGGTGGTGTTGTGAGTGGTGGTGTGGGAGGTGGTGTTGTCAGTGGTGGTGTGGGAGGTGGTGTTGTGAGGGTGGTGTGGGAGGTGGTGTTGTGAGTGGTGGTGTGGGAGGTGGTGTTGTGAGTGGTGGTGTGAGTGGTGGTGTGGGAGGTGTTGTGAGTGGTGTTGTGAGTGGTGGTGTGGGAGGTGGTGTTGTGAGTGGTGGTGTGGGAGGTGGTGTGGTTCCACTACTTCTTCAAAGCTTCAAGAATGATGGAGAACACTTCGAAGAATTCTGAATAATATTGTTAATGTTATTATCGTAAAGTGGTGAAGTGAACATATCCAGTTAAAGTAGCAGTAGACTCTCAGGTGCTATTCTTTTATTATTTTAAGTACTTTTTTCAGCATAGATACATTCCTATATCTTCTGCTATATGAATTATTCATCACTAGGTGAACTACACAGCTTCACACAGGTGAAGGGGGAGGATATGGTGCATAACCATCCCACGGCCACCTGCACCTCCCGACCAAATTCCAGCTGCCTTCAATACTGTTAATCTATAGGTGGGGGGAGGGGTCATGGGGCTAACCCACCCCTCCTGGAGGGATAGAAGATAGCATATGACCACCTGTGTCTCCCTACTATCTTCAAAACTGTGGAAATGCATAAGGAGTATAACACACACACACATAATGTACTTAATACCCGTACTATATATATATACTGTACTGTATCAGAACTATGAACACTGAATTGACTAAAGTCAGGACCTGGGTAATACGTAATACACTGACCTTAAACCTTGAGAAAACCCACTAGGTATACACGATCTTTCACAGAAGGAAAAACTTAACCCCAGACTTGGACCCCCTGTACCTTGGTAATACAGTCCTCAAACGCCAACAAAATACTAAATTCCTCGGAGTTATTGTTGAAGAGAAAATTAACTGGAGAAACCACATACAAGTCATTCACAGTAAAGTCAATAAACAGTGCGGTATCATGTATCACACTCGACAGTCACTCACTCTCACAGCAATGAAAGAAATCTATCATGATCTTGTTTACCAACACCTGATACACTGTCACACACTATGGGGGGCCTCTGGCTCTTCAAAAACACAATCCCTGATTACTGCACAAAAGAGAGTTGTACGGACAATGACCTACAGTACTTGAAAAAAACAGATCACACAAACGAACAATTTGCTAAATTGAAAATTTTAAAATTAAAAGATATTAACACCTACTGCTGTGCCCTCTTTGTCAACAAATCTATCAATCACTTGCTTGACAACAATTATTTCCAGTTCCAGAATAATCAGAGATACAACTTAAGGCACCCAGAGCTACTAAGACCACCCCCCATGCACTCCTCTCAGTCCCAGACCTCCATAAAATATCACGGTGTGAAGGTGTGGAACAACTTACACCCACCCATCTGAGCAAAGACTACGCTCCCTTCCTTTAAATCATCTCTTAAAAAATATCTATCGTCTAAGTATTAATATTTCTTGTAATACCGACCTTATATACCTGCTTTAATTGTACCATCAAAACTGTTTTATCGGAAATTATCATGTAAATGGATAAGAAATTACCATTGCAATAAATATATTTGCCAACTAGACAATCCTGACAGTTCTGTCCTCTTGTTCAACCTTAATACTGTACAACCCATGTTGTACTACTTCCCCATTATATTTATGTTTTACAATTACACTCTAATTTATGTATACTGTATACTTATAATATAAATAAAAAAATAAAAAAAATAAAAATATATATTGAAGTGATAACCGTGGTAACATTATGAGATGTTCTTATTACCACCATGCTATTGTACTATTCCAGATGATGCTAACTGTTACATAATACTTCCTTGAGATATATATCAGGTGCCTACAGGAGAGCTCAGGTTCTCAACTGGCTCAGCCATGTTAATATTATTATTATCCACTCTGTATCTGTGTTTTTCTGGCTGAATAAACTGTTTCAATTCAATATATATAACAATGAACATTGAGAATCTGGACTCAGGTCATTGGTTACCTGTTTCCAGACCTCTTCATGGCTTGTGACTGTTACAATCATCTTGCCTTTGCCATTAATATGTTTGATGGTATTTCATTATCATTATTATCAAATAGCTAATGTACTGTACTAACAGCAAGTAGCTGAAGTGTCTTTGCCAGCCTGCAATAACTCAAGCACTTCACCACAACATGTAAACACATTCCCTCATTAGTATGACAGGAAGGTGAGAGCCATGACACATACCAATGACTGCAATATAGTGGAGATTTACTGTACTGTACACTTAGTTATTCTTAAAAAAAAAATCTATGCATACACAGAGGGGAAAATGTAATCAAGTCCGTATACAGTATATCTGGGATCAAACGTAGCAGACGTCTATACAGTACTGTACTAAATGTGTGAAACAAACACGGAAAAATTATAAAAAATATTTGTATTAATCATAATGTAAATTGCATTAATCACACTGGGGATGATTATATTTATTGTCATCATGGTACAGCACTGTAATGTGTTCTCTGGAATACCTGTACTGTATTTCATTACTCTTGTCCTGTTCCTCAAAGTGCACAACTGGCAAAATGATGTAGCTATTGGCATTACTTAAAGGGTTATTCTTATATAATAAATTACTTTAAAAAAAATGGGTTTTGAAAAAATGCCACAGCCACACACACACACTGTACCCACATTACCTGCCACAGGAAACATGTGTCTGATGTGTTCGGTGGTCCTGGTATATACAGGTACCAGTAACTCTCAAGCCTAGCATATGATGGTACATTAAAAACCATACCGGTATACCTTCTAAAATTCTTGTCTTCCTGAGATTATTGAGCTACTGACATGTAAGGTACCCCAAAAATCAGTGACTCACAAGATACTGAGTTCAGCTTAATGGCTGTACTCTCCAGTGAAGCAGGTGTTGCATTACACAATTCATTAAATATTTCTTACCATCTACATTTCACTTTCTGGCCTTTTCATGTGCTGCATGAGCCATCTTTATGGTCCATTATGCTTATACTGTACTTTAATTCAGTTTCTATAAAATAATAATAATAATGAAAATTATAATATATAAATAATAATTAAAATAATAATATACACTGAAATAATATCAATATGACTTCTTATACCAAATCCTGTAGCAATCATTTCAGTTATTTCATGGAAGATGAAAGAGAAAGATTGAAACATGAAATCCCATTTTATGCCCAGAGGACCGAGATAAGTGACTCCTGACATTCCAGCACAATGAACATCCCATGACAAGGCCCACCAGTACTGTGTGGCATGAAACACCAGGAAACATAAACCAAAATAAATAATGCAACTGCTGCCAATACAGTCTTCAACTAGTCCAGTCAGAATCCAAACAGAGAATCCACCCAAACTCTGGCACAGTTTCTTGAAAATACAGTATTCACCTGTTTCTGTAGATCCTGTTCTCATGTTTGCTGCGTCCAAAAAATCCACCTTGAGTGGGTCCTAACCCAAGCATACTTACCTGGACTCAAGAGTGTAAAAAACCCTACAACATGATTTAAGTAAGAACAAATATCCCTCTTGCTCTATATTCTAAAACCTAGAGCAGTAGTAATGCTGGTCTGCTGCAGCCATCCCCATGGACTGTCATCCACAAACTATATTGGAAAAAAGACAGATTGATCCAGGTTCACTTATATCTAATGATAGGCTGATACTGTACTGTACAGTATGTATCCTATACAAGCTGAGTGCTTAATGAGCAGCTCCTTTACTTAACTTTCCTGCACTTTACTTAACATTCAATAAATCAAGAATATACAACATTCATAACATCTGGGAACAAATTTACAAATGGCTCAGTACTGTACACATGAAACAGGCCACAGTCAGGTGGGTCACAATAATACTTAGGGTAAACAGAAGTAGGAACTGCACACCATCTAGTGATAGTGATCAAGGAAATGCCTGTAATGAAAATTCCCTTCAAGCATTAGAGAGAAAATACAAGCCCAGCTCTATGAAAATTATATGAAATGTCACAAGAAATTTCATGGTGTAATCTTCACTGAACATTGAGGCCTAGGTAACTTGCACCTTAAATGACCCTGGGGTGATTAGGTGAAGAGCTGCATTGCCAGCAGTTTCATTGTTAAATACCTAATGTATCCTAACTCTGATTACATTGTGCCCACAACACTGGTAAACTGTCATGAGTTTGGCAAGCTAGGATCTCAACCTTCATTAAACAAGGACCACTGGCTCTAACTTTTATTAAATCTTATTTACTATGGAAACAAACAACTGTTCATAGCACCACATACATTTTGGTAAAACTACATCTTCATTTAAAAAAATAAAAATAGTAATGCACCATCACACATAACTGAAAGTATTTATAGGCTCACCAGAATACTACCTGTAGCATGCAACAGTCTACAAACAATGATATTTGAGTATTTTTTAATCCTCCAACAATCAGTTCAACTAGCAGATAAACATTTCTACCACAAGTAGACTTGTTTGGTGAATGCCTAATGTACCTTGAGAGCTGAAGGAAGGATGGTAGTGTATGAGGTGTGCATGCATTTCCTTCTCATGGCCCTCTGTTTCCACGGCGGTGTCACAGCCACCACCCATGCCTCCACCGCCACTGTCGACGGTCATCTTACCATTATGTGTGACTCTGAAATACAGAAAAAAAAAAAAACTTGTGTGAAAATCTTTGGGCATAAAACACAGTGTATAACTATAAATCTTCCTTAATTTACACACAGGATGCAGAGTAATCATTAGGAATCTGACACTGGCCAAATTAATGGTTTTAAGCGATAATGTCGCCTGAAAATAAAAAATATATTAGTAATAATTTACAATAGCAACTTGTGAGAAGAGACAATCTAGGGAAAATTTCTTTCTTACTTCTCGATTATAAGCTGGTGGAGGAATTGCAACTTACTACTTTTGCTTTTCCACAAATTGCATCGCTAAGCACTCCTGTGCTCAGCCATATCGCACACTGATACAGTGTGCACTACAACAGTGTTCACTATAAAACAGTGAATTGAAGCGTTTTTAAATTTGCTTTCTATGATAAATAAGCGGCTGTGAAGTCGTACATAATTACCTTATTTTTTTCTCTCTCCCTAAATAAGACTCAATATATAAGTAAGTGTTGGCAACTTTTAATTATTTACCAGTAAGAATGTTGCAATTCTTCCACCAATTTGGCATTCAGGAGGTAAGTAAGTTTTCTTCTATAAAAAATTTGTCCTAAAACTGTTCCTTCCCACAAGTCAATATTTATTAAACTATTGTCTTAATGTCTTTTAATTTGTATGTTTAATAAAGGCAGTGGATATTTCACTGTGACCGACTAAGTTCCTACTAACACTATTTTACCGTGAGTGCGCTCTGATTGGCTAATTGTCCATTACTGGCGAAAAATGTGAGAACTATACTTGACCACGACTCTGGTGGCATTTGGTATTTATTGAGCCGTGACTCGATCATTGTGTAGCTATAAACATACTTAACCATATTTCTGTTGTACATGGAAACTACTAACAAAAATAGAGGGAAATATTTGTCATAGGTTAAACAGGAAATTTCATATTTCTATTTATATAAGGAGAAAGTTAAAAATCTGTCTTCTATTACGTTTCCTCCGCAAATTTATAATTTTTGAGTATTTGAACCGCTAAGACTTCCCCAATTACCAACAATATTGGTTGTTTAAAGTGGGCAGTAGAGGGAAAGTGTGAGGTCAAATACTACAAAGAACACCAGACAAGCCTTTGAAAACCTGACCTAACTTATGACTGAGAGCACCACCACCACCAGGAGTTGTTCAGTTTTGTTCATTGTTTCCACAATGTTCTCATCATTATAGGAGGCAACATTTACTTGAACCTAATAGAACCTGACCTAACCAACCAAAGAAACCTACCTAACATTACCTAACTTACTAACCGGGGGGCGGAGCGGTAATTATTGACGAAGTATTTGCACAAGAAATGATTATCATATCAGTACTCACTGGTGAAAATAGAATAAGAAAATAAACACCAAAACAAATAACTCGTCGGCGGGTCAGTCGTTAATATTAACCAGAGGACCCCCCCCACCATCACATTAAACAAAAAGTACTTAGTTAGTCAGAGTGAACTCAAGGTAAGTTAGCATTAATAGGAGCTAAGCCAGTCACGGAAAAATATCCACTACTGTACGTTTAATAAATGAAACGGTACACTGCGACTAATGATTGAGACACTGAGGGATCAGTATATTCTGAGTGGTGCCTCAAGTACACTGCACCCAAAAGCTCAAAACATTAGGAAATATGTAATTTAAAGTTTTTAACACATTTTTAGCCTAAATCACAGTCCAACATGCAGTACCTCTACCAGTCTTCATATCTCAGTAAATAAGTCATTTACATTTAAAATCCGTTGATTAATCAGCATTAAAGAGTGAAGATCTACTTGTAATCAATTTCTTATTAAAATTGTGGCCCAGTTTACCCTCCGTAGACATGGTTCCCACCCTCTTTTCACTTACTCAACGCCAAAACCTTCACAGCTATTCCAGCAGTCCTCCTGTCATTATAGTGAGCTCACAGCACCGACGTGGGAGCAGAAAGTCAGATAAACTCTTACCATATATGAGGTCAAATATCGATGGCCACTAGACTGGGCCCAGTCTCTCCCTCCGAGTGTGTTTGACTCAGGCTTCAGTCCCAATTTTCAGTTATTCTACTTTTTTAGTATTTACCAAAAACAAGTCTAAACAAAATTAGATAGACATGATGTTCATTTTATATTATACTTTTAACAATTTATCAAATTTATACTTTCTTTAAGTCCTTTCACAAAAAATAATGAGGATGACCTCAAAATCGGTCACAAGAACTTATGTTTGTATCAGGTGTATGACACACAACACTTAACTGGACTTGGAAAACAGAGAAAAAATATCTCACTTAAAAGCAACTTATTGAGATTATTAACTTTATTTCATCCACAATGTTTTCCCCCGTGGTCAAAATTAGGTTGACACAATTAATATATATATATATATATCCTTACATCAACAACTACAATGAAATAGATTGGGGTGTTTCTTCTTACAATTAAAATATAAAGTTTAATAATTAATTGTTCACCTAATATATAACTTATTATTGCTTAACACAAAACACATGCATATGTACTTCATTAGTTGGATTGGTAATAACCACATAATGTTATTTTACCATTCCTTTACTAATTAGGGCTATATTGTATATAAAAATAATAGTAATATAGGCATCAATAATTAAAATGTATATTATCATCCAAAATATCATCATATATTTTATTTTTATGTATAATGCTAAGTGAGCCCCAGACCCAGCTGGAGAAATAGAGACAGTGTCACGTCCTTGTGTTGATGTCAAGTGTGACGTCACGACAACAGCAGACGACGCCTGTTAACAAAGCAAATACAATATAACAACCAGCAAATATACTGAACCTAACATGTCTAACTTATTTTTGTCACATTTCCTGTAATTTCTTTTAATCGAAATTACCGTAATTTTAAGCACAAGAAGAACTATAATTTTCACGCCTCTTCTGAGTAAAACATGATTGAGAGTTGTTCAATCACTGAGAATGTTAGCACAGTTTAACATGAATAAACAGGACTATTACAGCGATTCATAAGACCATATTATTCATTATCGAGAGATGATATAGAAAAATCAGGGAACTAAAATAGGGAGAAAATTTAATGAAAAATCTGAAAATAATGATGAATAAAATTAATACAAACAACATTGAATCAGGGATGAAGAGCCTCACAGATAAAGTTAGCAGCTATGAGAGTATTATACATCTGTATCCATCTTCCTGGCGTAATAAACAGCTAGTAATTTGTTTAGTTTAACAAATTTATTGACAAAGCTTGGAGTACAGTTTGCCTATTCTGAGTAATTCAGTCAGGTCTTGACACTGAGGGTTATGGTTGTTTGGCACACTCTGTATACATGTTGTATTGGATGTACAATGCAGCTTGGTGCTGGGAAGTGGCAGCATGGTTACAAGCGTGATGTAGAGAGAGCTGGTTGGTGAGGGTGCTCAGAGGAGGACCAGCTTGTGGGTCGCCATGCTCGCCGGCGGGAGCGAGGGCCGCCAGGCAGCGGCGGAGGTGTAGCTTGCTGCTGTAGCTAGAAGAGAGAGAGCACCACGAGGTCAGGTCTTAAATAGCGGGGGTAGGCGTGGCTTAGTAATTGACCTCCGTGATGTAAGGCGGCGCTGGTTGACCCAGACCACGAGGTATACACTGGGGAATTCGCGGGGTCGGGTACTCAGCGACAAACAGCGTTTGTAGGGGAGAAATCCACTACATTATCACTTCTCACGGTCATGCAGGACAGAAGTTCATACACAAAGAAATACATCATATTCATTGACTGTATATACTGGTCAGATCCATGTGGGTAATGTCACTGTTCACTGCCATGCAGGACAGAGGTTCCCATACAAAGAAATACATCATATTTATTGACTGTATATACAGGTCAGATTCATGTGGGTAATGTCACTGTTCACTGCCATGCAGGACAGAGGTTCGTAAGATTTGAACAAAGATGTTGCAGAGAAATCAAATGAAAATGGGATAATCTCGGGAATATTAAGTTTCTAACATATTTCTTGGGCTGTCCTTTGGGAAACTGACAAAATTTTCAATATAAAAATAATACAAGTATAATCTATGTAAATGCTTGACCAATATGAACTTACATATTACTGAATAAACATGGCATTGTCTATCTGATATCCCTAATATAAAGCTATGAATATCATACTAATAAAATAATCTGAACTCTTGACAATTGTATGGACGTATATTAATCTATTATATATAATTTTTACGTTATAGATTAATATACGTTCATAAAACAACAAAATGGAAAAATTAAGTCATAATTATTTATACACAAGCTGAAGCAAGATGGCAGCCTCCATATCCCGTATTTTGGGTGAGATATTCACTATTATAACCAATAAGGTGACACATTTTACAGTTGAGATAAATAAGGAGTTCAAACAAGAATAAATGATCATAAACTGTTAGGTAGAGCTTGTTAATATATTGAATTATGTAACATAACATGGATAAGGAAACTGTGGCAAAGACTCGGCCTCTGTAACTTATGATGAACGGCTTAATAAATCTCTGGAAGTAATATCCGATAGATAAAATCACTTGACACTTATCTTTTCTTGATCAAAATTCCTTTACAATCTCCCCCAAGTATAAAACTAGAATGAAATAAGTTAATGTGTACAATAAGTAAACTCATTATCCTTCAGTAGTCATCAAACATAAGACCTTCCTTCACCTGATGATTAAACGAATCTAGGTAAAAAAGTCACAGGAAAAAAGTCACAGGAAAAAAAGTCACAGAAAAAAAGTCACAGGAAAAAAAGTCAGAAAAAAGGTCACAGGAAAAAAGTCAGAAAAAAGACACAGAAAAAAGTCACCTTACCTAACCTAACCTAACCTAACCTACGTACATCACATATAAATTGTGTTGTCAATATGTAAAAGTCATGTATTGTCAGTTAATAACGGTTTTAAAATATTTTTAGTTTTATTACCTTAAATGTGACTTTTTTTTCCTAGCCAAAATTGTGATTTTTTTCCTGTGACTTTATTACCGGCCACCGATTAAACACCGTAAGGTTAAGATGCGGTAGAAGTTACGGACGGGAAGCTGTATTAATTTTACACTGGATATGTGGCCGGTTGTCGGTTAGGTAGGTGTTTTTAGTAAGGCCAGAAGGAGTTGATAGAATTAGATGAAACTCTGTGGAAACGTTATTTACAATTTGTTAATTAGGTAAATGTAAACGAGAATGCACTGAACTTATTAGAACTTGACCTAACCTAACCTGGGTAAACGTTTACTGAAGTGCTGCGAGCGATTTCTCCAGCAAAAACATTTTTTTTGCTGATTTTTTATTGGAGATAGTTTTGTTCTGGTGAAAAACAAAAAAACTAATGTTTTCCTAACCCCCTAGCAGGGAGCTTCACCCCTCGAGTGGTTATATAATGTCAGTATTTAACTTCTCCTTATTTAACCTAACTTAATGTACAGTATTCTCCTATTGGGGAAACGCTATTTTTTGTTAGAGTTGGGTCATATATTATATAGCTTGGTAATGCGATTCAGACGACCCACACACTGTGCACTCCCCCTCCCATGACTCACCGTGTGTGTGGTATTATAGTATAAATTGTAAAAGAAACACTTCCCAAAAGAGAACACTGTCACTAGCTGTTAACAACAAAAATGATGGTGGAAAAGCATTGTGTTCTTGTTAGTATTATATTGTAATTGTTGCTGGAGATTAATGTAACACATGATCCAGTACTGTACACCTGTAAATTAATTGTACAATTATCTTCTACAGGATTACACACTTTGGAGTCGTGTGCTTCTCGAGTGAGTGTTAGCTTAGCAAACAAAAGGTCTCTCACCAGTGTGACGGCTCAGCCAGTTCCTCAGTCTGCGGGTCTGCTTACAGTGAGGGAGAACTTTGAGGTGAAGGAAAACTGTTCTTAATGCAAATGTCTGTAGGGAGTGAATGAGTGGCTGATGTCTTTGGTACTGAATGAGTGGCCGATGACTTTGGTACTGAATGAGTGGCTGATGGCTTTGGTACTGAATGAGTGGCCGATGACTTTGGTACTGAATGAGTGGCTAATGGCTTTGGTACTGAATGAGTGGCTGATGGCTTTGGTACTGAATGAGTGGCCGATGACTTTGGTACTGAATGAGTGGCTGATGACTGGGGCCAAGATTTTTATGAAGGTTGGGTTGGGATCAAGTAATTTTTTTTAGGCAGCTAATATTCGGGGTTGTGATCTCAGGCCTTCAAACCCTCACTTGTGTGTTTGGCATCAAAACTTAGAATCTTGTTCACTATGTTATCAGTTTCAAGAGAGATATCCATTGGCTTTTAGGTACAGGTACTGTATTATAAAGGGGGTGAATACTGAAAAGCTTTTGCTGCTGATCAACAATATGTACAGTATGTTCTAGTCCACTACTTAATTGTGCCACATAAACCAACACATCAGTTCCAGCTACTGTATACCATCATGCAGTAAGGAACCGTTAAGTGGTTGCTGTGACACTACAGGCAGCTACTGCACTCAATTCCTATCATTTTAAGCCCTTCCCTACAATATTGACTGCTGGCACAATACTGTATATGGTCCTTCATGTTAGCTTTATATATAGAATGCAGTATTTTTATATTGTTATGTACCACTTATTTGTTGGCTAGCTAACACATTTGTCAATGGCCAACATGCCTGGAGCTGTGGCTATGTGCTGTACAGTAAAAGCTTTGTTATCTGGTATAGGGTGAGGGGATGAGAGGTGCTGGTTAACAAGAGTGTCATATTACCAAAGGAACACAGTGCAGGTACTGTATAATATTCACCAGTCATATTTTAATACCAGTATGGTACTCTTCATTTTTTTTTAATCTTTTATGCATCATTACTCTACAGAATACTGTACTTATATTTAATCTAATATCAATCTTCACTTACTACATCACTTGTAAATGCACTTGAAACTAATAATGTACAGGACTGTGCTTAAATAAATAAATGAATTATTTGTGCTGCTTACTCAAGTATGTCAGATAATAAAGCTTTTACTGTAATTTTCCAGTTCATTGAACAACTTACCTTTCATCAGATAATTGCAAGCCAGATGCAGGATGGGAACACATGTTGTTATGCTCAACTGCAAAAATTCTTCAACCTTCTCTCTTTTAGGGTACCTTCATACCATTGGATACTGTATCTTTCTAGAATTCAGAAGGTTAATTAAGGGCAATTTACTTTTCAAGTTAATTAAATTTTAAGATCCTAGTCATAAGTGTGTCCTGGGGCTTGCAGGTTCATCCCCTTCTTGACTTGCTCTTTACAGCTCCTCAATTTCAACTTGCTTATAAAATGGAATTTCAGTATCACTTCTGTTATTATTGTGTACAGTACACATGTGTGTGGATTACATACTGTACACTACATTCATGGTGTGAGACACGTGACAGGATTCTCCAGGCTTTGACCTCCTCACCTAATTCTGGGAGAACCCCAGATAATAGAGGACAGGATGTTTGTCTGCTTTGTGGGTAGACTCCCGGTCTTGTTTATCAAGTTGATATGTTAATGTAATGGTGTATGAAAGTGGAAAAGAAAATATGGAGACTCAGTCTCATTGGAAATAAACCAAGCAACCACATTTAGAACTTTTTTATACAGTACTCTACAGGTATATACAGTACTGTACAGTATTCAGATCTTGTTAAAGTTGAGTCATTTGTCTCACTCAACATGAATTAAGTTTATTTAAATCTTTTGAGATTTCATAATATTATGATGTACCATTTTTCTTTGTTGTTCTTCATACTCTTCAAGTAATTCAGAAGTTAAATAGCAATTAGAGCATCACATCTCTGGTATCCTCTTTTGGACCAGTAAGGAATGGGTTCCTTCACCTTGTATAAACCCCATTCAAATTCCTTCTCACTTTCATACCAGGACTCATCACCTTATACCTTAAGCAGTCACTGTTTTATTCCCAAAGGTCCCCTTTCAATTAGTTGACTATGAAGTCATTTTAATTGGTATCCTTGTGTCTAGGCACTACAGTATATTACTTGTTCTCTTCACCTGACTACTAATTCAGTTCTCTGTTAATACATCCATATTTTAGGTCAACTAATTCATGTGCTATTCTTTCAATGATTACAGAGATGCAACTTCCATACTTCCTCTGCAATGTGCTGGGAGAGACCCCACGGCCCAAGGAATTGGTTAAAATACAACGAGCGGAAATTTCCACCAACACCACTTGGAGAAGAAGAGAGACCAGCTGTGAGTAACATTGACCCCTTAGGAACATGTACCACTTTGCTCTTACCTCTTGTTGTTATGCGAGGAGTACGAGTAAGGATGATCTGTATAATCAAGTTAAGTCCTGGCTAGCTTATGGGTGACTTGTCTGAGGATATAGAACACTCAAGTAAGCCACCCTGTAATGTGGGAGCTGCCTGGCTATGGGTTCTGCCAGAAAAATTGGTTTAAAGACTAATTTTTGTATTATTTCAGTTTGTATGCCACTTGAAAAAGAATATCAAATACAGTCCTTCAAAGATGTGGTATGTGGCGTCCTTAGTACGTGGCCTCAGGATTGATGATGCCATCAACCAGCTCAAGTTTGTTCACAAGAAAGGTTCAGTGGCTGCCAGAGAGACCCTCGAGGAAGCCCGTGATTTGGCTGTCAAGGATCACAATGTTGAGTTCCCAAGTAATCTCTGGGTCTGTAAGTATGAGAATATTTTCTTTCGTGATCCAGAGGGAAAAGCTGACCAGTTGAATTTGGTTCCTCAAGTAAAGCATTCTTTGTATTATTTTCCTATGTTCTTTCTTACCCAACTTGTGTTCGTCTTTTCTAACCTTTTTGCAAGTTTTTCACATAAATATAAATGAAGCAGCTGTCTTTCTTTCTTTCTGTATTTTCAAGCAAGACTTAAATGAAAACAGAACTATTAAGTTGACATCTGTATGTGTTTATAAACCCACCGAAACATGTGAGGAAGATAACGGTGATTCTATCCATCCACTCTATCAGTCTATCCAAAACAAATTTGGTAACAGTTCAGTAACTTTCCAGACACTTAGTACATTAATTTCATATTGCTGTGAAAATGTAATAAGACAGATTTTGTTATGGTTATTGAGTGTGTTGTTATCCCAACAATTTTTAGACCTGTTGCTAGTTTTGATTGAAGGGGCTGGTTGTTTCCAATGACTCTTGGTGTGTTTGTGTATAGTCCTAAAACTGGAAGGAGTGAAGATGGTCAGTGGATAAAAATCTTTAGTAAAGACAATGAATTTGGTCATTCCTGAAGTCCATTATGGAACAAGATTGTTTAATGTATAAGAAATAATCCTAGAACAAAAGTGCCAATTTTCCAGACACATTTAAAGGTCTCTTTTGTAAACTGTTTTAAGTGTTAGGTTATAAACCTGAAAATTAGCTATAAACTTGTATAGAACAAAAATAAAATGTTTATGGGCATTTTATTCAAATATTGTGCCAGTTCTGAAATAAAGGCAGATGGAAAGGACAGAAAATTGACAATTCCATCAGATCTCTCTTAATTAAAAGCTACTAAAAGGTTTGATCATATTTTTTATAGTGTATAACTTAGCTGAGAAACTGCCATACAGTATCACTAAAGTGAGTTCGGACTGTGTGCAGTATTCCTCCAGCATGTTTGAATGTCATGAGTTGACTTTGATAAATTTTGATTCATAGTCTGGCACTGGTCCAACTGGTCTGTGGATTGCAAACGAGGTTAACTCAGAACACTGATAGATGGCATTAATTTAAGCATGTACTGTAGTTCATCCCTTACTGCAACTCTAGTCCTTGGAAAGAAGTCTGGGAACATAAGTGTTACTGCCTACAGCTGATAGCTTATCAAATCTTGGTGCTACAGAAGCTTTCTTTTCCTTGTCTTCTGTTGGTCATACAGAATTTCCAACACCAGGCATCTGTTCATCCTTCTCCATACTTAGAACAGCTCTTTCTCCTGACAACTCCACTTCATAGTTGGGTCGTGCCTACACCTTGTACACAAAAGCATTTGCTCAATTTATATTAACAGTAGTGTTAATTTATCCTCAATATACAATAGCTGGATTACATTGTCTAAGTTTTCTTCTTGCTACAAACATGTTGGCTTGATCTTCATATACTGTACAGTATGTCAGTGATATTGACCAACATAGTTTTCCATTGTATGATAACATCTGGACTTAACACCATGTATATTGTACAAGAGTTATGATACAATATACCAATCTCAGTTACTTCTTTCTTGATTTACAGCGGAATCATTTGTTGGCAAAGGGATGGTGATTCGAGGTTTCCGGCGACATGCACGATCCAGGTTTGGGAAAGTTGAATACAAATACTGTCATTATTTTGTAACGCTAGAAGAGGGTGAACCACCAGAACATTACTACCCACACCGTAGACCATTGACTCCACAAGAAATGTTGCAGGAGTGGATAGATAATCAGCGACAACGTACTATAACAAGATCTCTGTAAAAAAAATTTAAATAATGTAATAAATCATATAAGATGTGAATACATCAAACTCATACTGTGAACAATTCACCTTAAAATATTCAGCCTCAGTAAATGTTTGTGTTTGTGTACTGTTATTTAAACTGTACATCACTGAAACCACTACTCTATAATGGCTGGGCAGGTGTTGAATCTCCTGATACTTAGTTTTCAGCAGCTAGTGGGTTACCCTAACCATTGGCAGAATACTAGGCTACCTTAGGGTTGGTCCCAAATCAGCAGGCACACCTAATATATTGCTAAGTGTTGGTGGCTTAGTGTACAAGGAGGAGACTAAGTCCTCAATTCATTTTAGGAAGCAAATCCAGGACTATTCTCTTGTAAGACAAAATACTTTGTCACCATTTACATGAAAATAAGGCCCTCTGCAGGTAACAGGATACAGTTCATAGGACAGTGTTTTTACTCATCAAATTCACTGAATTTATGATAAATTTGCCACTTATTGTAAGTTTACTGTAATAGGACTGACATAAACAGCTATTGTTTTACATCATGTGTTCCAAAACAAATGAAACTGTTAAAAGCTTCATTTTTTTCTTCAAGAGAACCATTTGTACAGTACTGTTATAATTCACATTAATTGTTGGGGGGCCTGTGCACTCCCTTATTAACATTTATATAAGTCTGAAAATAGACAAGGCTTGTGTAATTAGAGCCTGATAGAAATGCGAGATCACACTCACCTACTTGTATTACTCTAAAGATTTTGATAATCAAGACTTACACTGTGACAGCAATTATTAAAGAGAAAAAGACATAATTATAAATTGTTAATGCTGACAGGCTTTTGAAGTCACATTGGTGAATTAGAACAAAAGTGATCAAGAAATATTAATTGTGTGTGTTAATGAGGAGCCAGTGGCAAGAGCACCAGGGATGTTGGTGAGTATTTGTCAAGTGTTACCCACTCCAAAAGTACTTTTAGGGCTAGCACAGCATTTACAAAGGAAAGGATGTTATTACTGTACATAATATTTGTTAATAAACTTTTTTTTTTTTTTTTTTTTTAATCTGAAACCTAAAACTTGGTGTATGTACAGTACAGTATATTTCTTGTCTCTGACACGAATATAGGTACAATCGGGGTCAAAAGTCTTGAACACTTGACAATATTTGGCATGTAAGTACCCAAAGATCTTGGGTATTAAGGAGAGTTTTATCCCATTTTGTGGTTCAGGCAAAATATGTAATGACAAGTAGTGTTATTAGTATATCCCAATCATGAATGGGATATACTATATAACTCAGAAGTAGATGCCAGATATTGCTAAGTGTTCAAGACTTTTGACCCTGACTGTACAGTGTACATGTACTATACTGTATCAAATTTTTTTTTTTTTACCTTTACAGTACTCTTTACAAAAATGTATGACAAAAAACAACTGGCATAGTGCCTTAAGCAAAGGGGTGTAGAATGTGAAAACTCCCTTCACAATGGCTACAACACAATACCCTGTACTATACAGTACAGTATATTGTTTCCATGCAATTTTATATGTGACTCATCACATTATTACCACTTGGACAATGAGCATTATTACCACGTGGACAATGAGCACATCCTTTCACCAGGAACAAGGTGTTACCTTATGGAGTTGGATATAAAATATTTTTCTTAGAAAAGTTACTTGGGTAGAATTGTTAGCTTTCCTTTCGTGTACTATACAGGAGTACAGTATTTGTTTGGTATGGCTAATAATTCCAAATTGTCAGTGTACTGTACACTTCACCTATTAACCAGAGGAGCACATAATATATGCCTGTAATTATGCTGCGGGTTCATTCATGACCATCAGAATATTTGCAAACAAATAACAGAACCTCGTCTGATGTATTTATTAACAGACCATTAAGTATGATGTACTACCTGTATTGAAAATGAAAACTCAAGAGAAATTCCATCAAACAAAAGAACCAATGAACATGTACACAACCATCTTTGTATACATACTCCAAGCCAATCATCTGAAGAAAGTGTACAGCCCGTCCAAAATTGGTTCCATCTTCATACAGTACCCTCTCCTTTTTTGCAAATCTCCTGCATGTATTAAATGAAACTTACAGGTTCATCGTGAGACTAATGGTAAAGCAGCCAAGTTGACCAGGAAAGTCATTAATATGGCTGTGAAAATCCAACTATTAAAGAAAGCCTTATCCATTTGAAGAACAGTAACTTCCTCTACTGCTAAAATTCTATCCAGTCTCTCCCAATACATCACTGTCCTGTAACAGAAGTGGGTTTATATAACATTGTCACCTGCATTAGTGTTTTTCAATCTTATATTTGTTGTACAGGAGCAATTAGTTCCATTAGCTTTAATGGGTGTAGGTTAAATTTAGGTCCAGCATTACATCATCTAGAGTTTCTCTGGGCTGTGGATTAAGAAAATAAACATACTAACGTAGTTTTTATTCTTAACTCGTGTACTTTATATTCTTAACCACAACAAATCACAAAGCTCCTCACAAATCATTGGGTGCAGCTGGAAATGTGATCCTCCTATTACTGTTCAATGTAACTGGTCTTCATTTACAGTACACCAATTTTACATATAACAGCTTTTCTAGGAACTCAACTTCCCCTTATATATGAGGGCAACCTGTACAGTAACTTTTATTCTTATTAGATACAAATAAGTATTTAACAGTATACTCTACTGTATTAAATTCTACAAAATTCTATCAAATAAATTAAGGCATGTGTATTTACCCACATCCATACATACCTATACGGTACCAGTACTGTACCTGCTTATACTCAAACAGGATGTACAAGTGTACATCCATACCCATTTCAGTATGTAGGTGTACCAACACCTCCCAAATCCCAGACCAATTCACGCAAGCTCAATCTCTCATTGGGAGGATTCCCTTAATGGGTGAGCCCTCTCCCCGTGTATACCTAAAATAACACAGTACTGTACAGTATAGTATGAAAAAACTTTATTATATCTTCCCTTACCATCAAAACACACATAATGATAAAGAATACTGTATTGTACAGTACAATAATAGCTATAGAAATTTAACTTACCTTCATTATGGGACTTCAGTACTTGCACTTCTTTATGCTGGCCTGGCATAAATATGGCAATGTAACAAAGATATTGCAGATACACAAAAATCTCAAGACAGAATATTTACAGGACAAAGCCAAACAGCAAACCGATGCTCGTGCAAAACTATACACAGAGCTTACAGAAGTTCATCACACTAATATTTAATCTAAGCAGCATAAAATATTGAAATGCATTTTTTTTGCATTTGAAAAAGTAACTATTCAAGTTTTGTTTCTCATCTTAAGTTATTGTAAAATAGGCACTTCAATATCTTGTGCTGCTTGCATATAATGTGTTTGAAATCAGAACGGGACTTTATGGACACCCTGTATTTCATAAATTACTATCGTCTATACAAACCCACCACACACTGTAAATTGGTAGCTGGAGTGTTAGTTCATCTTGTACACTTAACATATGTACCATACAACACAATGAACTTATGTAAGTCAAATACACTACAGTATATTACTTATTGTAAGAACATTTTATTAAAAATCTGATTACATAGCATTTCATAAATTACTACAGTATTTTCAATACAAACCCACCAGATATTAAGATATTTACAAATAAATCTAAACACTACATATTGGCTGAGATGCTCATCCATCCTGAATTATCTAACACATGGTCAATAATGGACAATGATCCCATTATTGGATCTTAATGACTGAGTCTGCTAACTATACTGGACAAAAAGATGTCCCTTATTGGGAATATCCAGTACTGAGAAGTCCATTATTGATATGGTTTACTGTTTACTAGAAAGAACCCATTTTGGTAACTACCCATACAGAGAAGTACTCATACACATACATGCCCTTAACAGTACATGCCCATACAAGTAGTGCATGTACCCATACCAGCATGCTCCCGAGAGTAACCTTACACTCATAGTGGTATATACAATACACTACTCGCAGATACAAAACTCTGAACTATATTAGATACTCTCTCTTCCCTATTACTGTTTCATTTCAATCATATTTTACCTTCTATGCTGTCAAGTCTAGCCATAATAGTCTTCATCATAGTGTTGAATGTGGTTTGTGAGAGGTGCAGCTGCTCGTGGAGGTCATCCAGACGTGTAGTCAACCCAGCCAAATGGTCCATGTTCCGGCGATGGGCAATGCTCGGCGTACCAGCACAGGACCTGCTGGAGTATGGCCGACCTCCAATCACCTGAAGAACAAAAACATACTGTACGAGGATAGGGAGAATAATACAGCCAAGGTCTATCATCCAATCAGTGCCTGTGAGACATGAACTATTCTAAATACTACAGGTAAGAAGGCAGATACACACACCTTTCTTCTGGGAGAATTACAACTACAGCTGTATAGTCGTCTCTCTCTCTCTCAATCATCTTTTTTTTTTTTTTTGCTGACAGAACTAGCCTAAGAAACCCCACCCCCTTGCAGCTCATTGGCTCATACATAAAGTTCGATTAATATTGATGTATTGTAACTAAATCCACACATAGCTGTTAAGGATGCCCAGTTCTGGCTCACTTTCAAGCTGAATTTAATATATGTAAAGATATGACTGCTTCAAAACATTAACTTTCAAGATATGAGTGGGAAAAGTTTGAAATACAGAATATTTATCATCGAAATTGCGAACAAATTCATGCTTTTTGAGGACACATTTAGAGTAAATCCATCTCTTTTCACTAAATATTATGTATATCGAAACAAATGACACTAAACATGAAAAGGAACGGATATTGATGGCCATTTTATAAAGAGTAGAACCAAGTGTAAACACCACATTAATCAGCAGAGAGGGGACTGCATACACAAGTAGTTAAGCATATTATATACATATGTAAAGCTACTTTATATGAATTTCATTACGGTAGAGTTTTATGTAATTTAGCCCGTTTCTTGCATGAGCTTACAGCGTAAAATTCTGTCCTTGCTTCTCTCATTTATCTCTTCCTTGTGTTCACTTTTCTTTTTCCTTGAAGCTCTTTACACTAATTCTTTCCTCCCTTCCTCATTTTCTTCTCCTCCCACCATTATCCTCTTCCCTCCCCTCATACCTTTGCCTGTAAGAGTTTAATTTCTTTTTCTATATCCTTGTTAGAGACTTCCTGAGCAGGGGGGTCCTCAAGCTCATTCTCGTCCTCCTGATTAGACTCATCATCCCCATCCATCATAACCTCCACTCTTGATCGTCCCTGCACGCCGTCTGTGGGATGCTTCTGATGCTGAATAGAGATTAGCTTTTCTATGTTTGTATTTTGTTGTTCAGATGATTGATTGGTTAGTAATATAGACTGGCCCTTATTCTGTTTCAATCCATCAGTCTCATGTATGATCCATTCCAGGTCTTCTTCACTGTAAGATTTAATTCATTATTGTATTTGGTCACATGACTGACATAAGCTTTAAACATCACATGACTGACATAAGCTTTAAACATAACAAAATGTGAGAATGAATGCAGGGCACAACAACCCAAAACATGACTATACGTACCTACATGTCATGACAGGAATCATAAACTGTATCCTTGAATAAAAACGTAAAAAAATTATACATCAATATTGTATACAGTAAAGTACCTATGTCTTGTACAAGCCCTTCTGAACTACTATACAGCTGTATACCTGTACAAGCATAGACACCACACCTGCAAGTACAGTAGATATAGCATCACTAGTAATGGGACAACACAGAGAAACAAGGATTATTCTTGAACTGAATCATCTGAAAGGGACAGAAGACATGAAATCATCATCTGTACCTGTCACAAACAGGGTACCACAGGGCAGTGTATTGGGCCCGCTGTTGTTTGTTTGCTTCATAAATGACATGCCTAACGTTGTACACTCCTCCACACAAATGTTTGCGGATGACGCCAAGTTATTTCGGGATATCAAGAACCAAGCGGACTGTGAAGAGCTGCAGAAGGACCTCTGTGCAGTCCAATAATGGTCGAAGAAATGGCTGCCGAGATTCAATATCACGAAGTGTAAGATGCACCTGGAGCGTACCAACAGTAAGAATGCATATCGTATGTCCCAACAGAATGAAGAAACTGCACTACTTGAGACTGAATGTGAGAAGGACCTAGGTGTGTTTGTTGACAATGAGCTGAAGTTCTCGAGCCATTGCGAGAAGAAGGTAAATCAGGCAAATAAATTATTAGGTCTTATAAGAAGGTCGTTCAGATATCTAGAAAGTCCGTCCCTCGTAATGATCTTCAAGAGTGAAGTGCTACCCTGTCTGGAGTACTGTCACCCTGTCTGATCCACAAGATATGCAAGGGACTGTCAGTTGGTTGAAAATGTTCAAAGGAGGACCACCAGACTGGTGCCTGCACTTCGGCACCTCAACTACCCTGAGAGATTGGAGTGCCAGAACTTGCCTAGCTTATACTACAGACGGGCAAGGGGCGACCCAATTGAGGTGTATAAGCATCTCAAGGGGCACTACTCAGTCGAGTGTCCTGAGCTGGCAGACACTCGCCCCACACGGGGTCACAGCTCAAGATTCAAGAAGCCGCAGGTCCAGAAAACTGTGAGGGCAAACTTTTTTGGAGTGAGAGTTGTGAACTCTTGGAAAAATCTACCAGAAACGGTTGTGACGGCACCGGGTGTGAGCTGTTTCAAGACCAGACTTGACCAACACTGGAGCAGATTCAGGTACATTCAGGAGCCGGTGCATGCCCTGTACTTGTCAACAGTGCGTAACAGAGACGTGACTGATCGCCCAAGCAGCTAACGAGCTGATCAGTGAAGAGGATAAAAGGAGAAAAAGTACAGTATTACTTATACTCTACTGTACAGTACAGTATTTACTTCATAGGTCCATCCCCACAAAATAATAAAACTGTAAGTAGTGTCATTAGATTAATATTACTATTCCAGTATTACATCATTAACTGCAGGAACAGACAGTGGAAAACTTAAAAATAAAAGAAAAGGAATTATAACATTGGAAAAATTACCATACCAACAATGAATGTTTTATGATACAACAAGACTTTACCATTCTCCTTCTACTCACATTTCCTCCATCTCTCCCTTCTGTTCAATGTATTTTGTTATTTTGTCAATTCTGAAAATAAGAAATGTTGTTTAAGTATTGCCAGTGTAGTACAGTACATACATATCTACCTGCTCCAATATTCAGTATTCCTACAAATCAACACAAACACTTGCACTGAAATTTTAATTAACTTTTAAGTTTATGACTCAAACTGGCAATTTCCTCATATGCTTGGGAACCCTCTATTGACTCATCTCCTGTATAACTTAAGAAATAAAACTGTCTACAAACTAGCATCAAAGGGTATAATTTTTTGGTAATATTACAATTCCACCAGCAAACCCCTATACTGTACCCAAGATATACCAGTAATGTACTACTCCCTTGATGGAGACCCAACACTGGAGTGCTCCTCTGTTTAAAAATCCACTGTCAGTTACCCCAAGTCCCCAGGTTTGTTAAATGTAACCTAAACTTAACTTAACCTGAATGTTAAAAATTCTATGGTTCATCAACAGTAATTTTTATTTTCTTGCTGACACATTTTTTTCTTGGTCAAGACTGAAATCATGAAGTATTCTTAAGGCAGTTATTCTGTTACAATGAAAATACTGCAGTACATTACAGTACAGTACAGTATGTTGATGGAAGGACTGTGCGATTCTGGGGATGCAGCACCGAACATATGTACTGTACTGTACTGTACACCTTTGTAGGTGGACTTGTTAGGAACCGAGACCTTCTTTCTCTGGTTTTGTCCAGCATACAATGCCTGCTCACAGGAAATATTAATGTTTTGTAGAACAAAATTCTGAATCAAAAGTCACACAAGCAGAACCATTTGCTCATTTATACATCACCCTTACATTGCACAATTGTAGCCATTTTCAAGCTGGTACCTTGACAACTGTCAAAGACATTAATTATACAAATTTTGACTATTGACAAACAAACGAATAGTATATAGCATAAGTCTACTGAGAGGAAACATCTGGTTCTGTGTCATACATCCATTTTCAACTTTTGTTAAATTTTTCAGGAAATTCCACTAGGAACTGTTGAAGATGTAAATCAAGCAGACTTTTGATTACAGGAGATATAACACATACACACAATGATCACTATATCCCTACAGCCATTACAGATAACAAAATATCAGTACAGGTAATGATAAAAATATCAGTTGTACCCCACTTAACGCGGTCAATTGAACCCAGAGGGTCCCGTGTTAAGTGAAATCCGCGTTAAGTGAACAACAGAACATATGGGATTAATTCCAATAGAAACCGGCCCGACCCCCAAACTCCACTTTTTGAAGGCACATACCTATGTTGTAGTAAAAATAACATCTTAATTTTATGATGGTACATGCACACAATTAATACTTAAGAGAAATAGAGAAATACAGTCGCCAAGTTAATGTCCATTCAAATAATGGACTCAACTCCCTCCCCCTCTCACACTACACAGCCGGCTAACAGATGGTCGGTCGGTCCCTCCCTCCCCCACCAACCGTCCCAAGGAGATGTGTGGGATAACCTCAAACTAAAGTTAGGAAAATATAATTGACATTGCTGGATTCCTTGTAAGACCAGGAATATTTTGAATATAAATGTCATATATTTTGCACAAAAGATAACATAGTTACCTAGAGAAAAAATTTTATCTAAAAATTGTAAGTTTAAAGCAAAATATATGATGTTTATATTCAAAATGATCACCAAATTATAAGAATTCCAGCAATGTAAATTATATTCTGACCGGGTAATTTGTATGAATTTTATGAGCTAAAACAAATATCTTCAGTTAATAAAAAAAAAATAATCTTCACGACACTATCTGTCAATCAAAGTACCCCACCTTGCCTCCCCCCCTCTTCCAACCGCGCGGTCAGTCCCAACCCTCCCCCCCACCCCCCACCAATCCTCCCTTCCAGAGTTTTTAACATTTAGTATTAAATAATACCTCAGATTAAAGTTAGGATAATATAATTGACATTGCTGGATTCCTTGTAAGACCAGGAATATTTTGAATATAAATGTCATATATTTTGCACAAAAGATACCATAGTTACCTAGAGAAAAATTTTTATCTAAAAATTGTAAGTTTAAAGCAAAATATATGATGTTTATATTCAAAATGATCACCAAATTATAAGAATTCCAGCAATGTAAATTATATTCTGACCGGGTAATTTGTATGAATTTTATGAGCTAAAACAAATATCTTCAGTTAATAAAAAAAAAATAATTCTTCACAGGGTAACAGATGGTCGGTTGGTCCCTCCCTCCCCCCCACCCCCCACCAACCGTCCCAAGGAGATGTGTGGGATAACCACTAAATTTTAATAAATAATACCTCAAACTAAAGTTAGGATAATATAATTGACATTGCTGGATTCCTTGTAAGACCAGGAATATTTTGAATATAAATGTCATATATTTTGCACAAAAGATACCATAGTTACCTAGAGAAAAATTTTTATCTAAAAATTGTAAGTTTAAAGCAAAATATATGATGTTTATATTCAAAATGATCACCAAATTATAAGAATTCCAGCAATGTAAATTATATTCTGGCCTGGTAATTTGTATGAATTTTATGAGCTAAAACAGGCAGTCAGGCAGGGTGGCGGGTGGGGCAAATCTAAAAATAGCGTCTCGGACACTCACCGCGTATATGTGGAAAAAATCCGCGTTAAGTGAAAGTTCAGCTTTGGCAAGGCACCGCGTATATGCGAAAACGCGTTAAGTGAAACCGCGTTAGGCGGGGTAAAACTGTATTGGTAAAGTATATTACAGTTGTGATCAATTATCATGACTACCCACTTCTCAGACATTCTCTTCACACGATTGTCAACACTGCACTCCTCATCCAAGGTGATCCTGACCAGGTAGGTAGAGATGGCCTCCTTCTCAAAGATCCTTAGTGAATCCAATGTGCTCTTCATGTAGTCTTCCACTGCAAGAGGACACATGGAATAACTGCCTGATAACACATAAAACATTGACACATAGAATAACAGCTTGATAATGCAGTACATACAACTAGGGATGGAGTGAATACAAGAGTTCAGTATTCGAATACAAATACAGTACAGTACTTCTAATTTCCAAGAACACTAATACAAAGAAACTTTATGAAAGTATTCTTTTTCTTTTGAATGCATTAATGAAGACTATTGGTTAAAAAACGAACTTTTTATTGCTTTAAGTATGGGGTGTAGTGGAAGATGAGTTTATGATTAGTATTCAATACATCAAACCTGTCCTGCGTAGATATATTTATTTATACTTTGCTAGTGCTGTACTTACAACAGAAACAGCATATCACCATTAGTTATCATACAAAACCTACTCTACACTTCTAGACAGGCTGCAGGCAGGCAGTGTTGTCACTATTTAGCCATTAAGAAGTCATTAAGTGTACATACATAGTACATGTTGGATACACAATTTTTTTTCTTTCCAATTACTTATAATAATGACTATGATACAGAGTATATAAAATTTTAATCCAATTTCAAATAGGAGTCAGAAATTACAGTTCAAACAATAACTTTAAGCAACAATTTGGCATCATATGGGCATACATCTCACATCATTACTCACCACAGTGATGACTGTTAAGGGTTGCATGTTATTTACTAACAGTCTGTTTAAATATTTAATTTCATTGCATGACACAGTATATAGCTTCTCGGATGACTTGGGTCACAGATTTACTAAGCCAAATGTACATCCAAAATAACTCTCTCTCTCTCTCTCTCCATTCGTCCAAATTCAATTCAGCAGCCAAGTACTGTACTGTATATGGTTATTTCTATCAATAAAACAATTATTATTAGTCATATTATCTTCGGAATATGAATACTTTGACTGAGGATTCAAAAAGGAATGCAAACACTGTGCAGTACTTGGATTTCTAATAGTAATATATCCGAATCCAAATACCCTGAAATGCTGTATTCAAATGCATTCAATTACTAATACCAAATACAAATACGCCATCCCTGCACATAGCACATGGGATCTAAGTTTATATACCGAACTACTGCTCCTTCAAGACCCTACCAAACACTCACAATTCTCCCGGTGTTTCCGACAAAAGAGCTTCCAAGTGCCTTTGGAGACCCGCCAGATGTATTCAAGCACAACAAATGGTGGGATCAGGCTCGGCTTCATGTCATACTCCCGGATCAGTCGCAACATCTCAAACTTCCAGATCTCCATACTGTTCTCCTGCACCTCATCAAACACGTAACTGTAGAGGGGCTGAGGGTGAGTGGTATCTCTCTTGCTGTTTTACATCTCATATAAATGGTGTTGAGAAAAGAAGAGAGTAAAGAGAAAAGAGAGTAGAGAGAAAAGAGAGTAAATAAAAGAGAAAAAAAAAGAGAGATTTTATTTGGATGAAGCCTGACAATTTTTGGCAGCACAGACACAAGGTGTTAAAACACGTTTTATATTTTTGGACGAGTGAGTGATAGTTTGTATTTTGTATTAGGAATGGTTAAGTTCTGGGTTAAAGATGGTTTAAGTTTTGGGTTAGGTATGGTTTCAATTTTGGGTTAAAAAGTGGAAATTTTGGGTCAAGAATAGTAAAAGTTCCAGGTTACATATGATGAAATGTTTAGCTAAAGTATCAAGAGCATTGAAACTCACGTAAAAATAGCAATGAGGAGGTTAAGGAGCATGATGTTGCCTATGATGAGGTAGAAGAAGAGCATGAGGTTGACGACCCAGGAATAGTCCTTCGAGGACTCACACACACACGACACTTTCTCCTTACATGTTGTTGTTGCATTAGTGCAAAACTCATTGATCAGGCATGATTTCTGATGGCATACTTCCTGGTCATCTCCTGAGGCATAAAAGCATTTATTGTATGATACTGGCAGAATCACATTAATGAGGTGTCAAAAGAAAGAACAAAATTTTTATGCAGAAACCCAAAGTAGATGATAAAGCTTAGGATATTTCCAAAGGGTGACAATCACAAATTCTAGAGAAGGGTGGTATATATTACCATACTATGTCATATTCTTGATGATGAAAGTTCTTAGTGCCCAGGGCTTCTTGTACACCAGTTTATATAACACACATGCACAAGTTGTTAGTATTGTAGTGATCTCAACATGGATGCCTTACCTTCTGCCTCATCCAGCAGCAATTCTCCATACATCTGCCAGTAGGGTGTAAGCAGGACATCCTCCATGATGCTGGATACAGAAGTGGAGTTGAGAGAGCCAGCATCGCGTGAGGGGTGCAGCAGCGCCTGGGATGCTATACCATACCCGAGGATGAAGATCACCAAGAGAGCCAGGAATACCAGCACCTCTGATATCTGATGGTGAGGTGTGTGGGTGTGTGTGTTAGGAAAGGAATTTGATATTTATTATGAGTGGAAGATGTGAGGGTTAAGCATTACATTAAATACTAACATCTGAGACCATTATGCCACCTTAAATCCATCTTCCCTTCCCTAATTCTATCTATTCATTAACTATACCCTCCTAACCCCTACATGCTCTTTCCTCCCACACTCCATCTATTTCTAGTCCTTCCCTCATAAGTCCTCCTAGTATGTCTACTCTCAACTCTCTTTTCCATCTAATCCTTTCTCACCTTTTCCATTTACTATTATTTCCCCTCTCACTTAATCTCTTCAGTTATTTCCCTTCTATTCCCTCTTTAATCAATGTCACTATCCTTTCCTCTGCATTATTCCCACCTCCTCTCCCCTGCAACTCACCATCCTGTAAAAGATAACCAGTTTAGGGCCCAGGTGATAGTTAACATGGTACATCCTGAAGAGTCTGCAGTAGAAGACATTGGTGTTGACGGCATAAGCAATGCGTCCCCACTTGAATGTCTGCCGATGAAGTCGCAGGCCCAGTGCCAGAAAGGCCAGGAAGAAAGCAACTATGTCAAATCTGTTCCACACACTGCCTGCCCAGTCAGATATCTTGCCTCGCAGAGTCAATGATTGCTCCGAGATTATCTGTAAATGGCATGGGGAAACAAGCTCAGGCATTATGAAGACTTTTTAAAAGAATTCTGGACCAATATTTCTATGATAATATCTATACAATAGTGAGGAGGTAATGACTAAGGTGAAGTGCCAGAATGACCCTGCCAACAAATGCCGAGAAACAGGTTCAGGTGTTCACAAGTGTAATCATGTATTGCCTGTGGCAGCATATCATAAAAGCAGTACCCCGGAGAGTGATGGATAAGCAGCATAACTCATCAAAAATTACAATAAAGTACTGCAATAAAGGTACTATTTGGGAAAACTAATACTTTAAATGGGAGTCAAACAATATGATGGATAGAATTAATGCAATGTAGAGGTTGTAGGATAATACTGACTTGTGGGTCTTTCAGATGGACAAACTCTCAAATCATAGTTTATGATGATAAATTATTTTACATCTAAGTTTTATGAATACAGTATTGCCACTTAAATTTTGGGAAGCGATTACAATAAAATTAATTGACACAGCATATTGCTATGCTTAATTCTAAACTCCTGATTTTAAATCAGAGGTTACAAAATATCTCTTGTTCACTTACTGAAATTCTGTTAAGAAAATCTGTAATTACAGTCAAATGAACTTTTCTATGCCTCACCTCTGAGATTTCATCAATGACGTAGATACATATCCAGACAAAGAGAAACTTTTCGGTAATTGACATCTCATACTTGAAGTCAAAGAGGACAACATAAGCATATACAATAAGAAAAATCACAAAGGCAGTGGAGTGGGCACAGAATTTAGAGATGGGTGACTTGTAGAAGACGACCATCTTCTGTGGGATAGTCAGCTCTCCTCCGTTGTCCCCCAATTTTTGGAAACTGCAACGAAAATGATCATTAGTTGGATCATCTATGATAAATACTGTACTGTATACAGTATTGTTTTCTGATGTACAGTACACTTGTACAGTCCCCTTCACTAGTGTGTTTACGGCACTCGTCAAGTTTTGTGCAGTGTGGCAGCCGTGTGTTTGTTTACATTCGACAGAAGGACAGTCGCAATAGTAAACATGCTATGGAATCAAAATAAAACAATATTAAAACAAATGTTTATATAACAAGCCCCTATAAATGCACTAGTGAATGGGACTGTACATACATACACACACATGTAGAGAAAGAGGTTTATGCTTGCATAAAGTCATATGTGTAAAGTTAGACTTTTTATTTACAAATCATATGACATGTACAGTACAAGTTACCACACAGATCAGAAATCAAAATTCTCCGACTTTCCTCTGAATTGACTAAAATTTTTCATGGCCAGAGGAGAGGTCACGGCAAACTTAGCTCCCGGAGATTAATGGTCAGTAATGGTGTGATAATTTTAAAACATCATTATGGAAAATATTGTAATATTATTTTGTTCATGTTTGTAAGTATCATTTTAGTTTATTTCATTATTAGGATAAAACCACCATGTTATATTATGTTCATTGTTGTTTCCTCTTTGAATTGTTACAACATTTGCTTTTGTGTTATTTCAGATATGTAGTGAAATGAGTCAAGTAAAGCTTGGATGTAGCAGCCAAGTGTTTTATTTACCACAAATGGCTATCTGCAGTTTCCTCCATTCTTATGTTCTTATAATAAAGGCCTCCAACCACTCCTTTCCATCTATTTGTCATGTCATTTTTAACTCCTCCAACTGTACTACTACTACTTTGTTGTCACTCAGAATCAAGTATGACGATCATCCAGCTTTGATACAATGATATGAGTGATTAGGGATGTCACCTTCATTGGTGAGGTTTGAGGTGACTAAAGAGGCCAATATGGGAACGGCAGAGTTTTTCACAATGTTGTACATGTGGAGGGCTACATCTAGTGCGGGAGGGGCGGCAGCAGCGTCTTTCCAGCGTTGGTTCTTGTCTGCCTCAGTTTGCAGTCGGGCTAACTCGAAAGTATTGACACCATCTTATGTGGTGCTCCTCCAAACGTTATGATGTGGAGTAATCGTCTCCCAGGTGAGGGGGTCGATTTGGCACTCTTTCGGGTTTGTCTTAAGACTGTCCTTATACCTTTTCAGTTGCCCACCAGTGTTACATTTACTATTCTTTAGGTGACTGTAAAGTAGCTGCTTTGGCAGTCTACTGTCGTCCATGCCGGTAACATGGCTAGTCCAGCGTAGTTGTTTATGGATAATGGTAGCCTCGATGCCCCTACAGTTAGTGTCAGCAAGAATACTGGCATTTGTTTTCTTGTCTTCCCAACAAACTTGGAGGATGGAACGTAGACTACGTTGGTGAAAGTTTTAAAGTGCCTTGAGGTGCCTCCTGTATGTGACCCATGTCTCGCTGCTGTATAGTAGGGTGGGGAGGATCACTGTTCGATATACGTGTAATTTTGTAGATAATTTCAGCTCCCTACAGCTGTAGACATGGGTACGGAGTCTGCCAAAGGCTTGAGATGCACATCTGATCCAATGTTGAATCTCTTCATCGATGTCTGCGGTGGTGGACAGGTGGGAGCCGAGATACTGAAAGTGGGTAACATTAGAGAGGGTAGTACAGTTAAGCTGGATGGATGGTGGGGGTGTGGCTGAACCAGGGGCAGGCTGAAAGAGAATCTGAGTCTAACGTACATTCACCCCAAGGCCGAAGTATGCATACACATCTGCGTAGGTGTTCAGGATCTCCTGTAGGTTGCGTTCAGTGTGAGCAACAAGAGTGAGGTAGTCTGCATACTGAAGTTCAGTAATGGAAGCTGCCGACACCTTTGTTCTTGGCCGGAGTCGTCTTATGTTGAAAAAGATCCTTCACCTGGTACTTGATGTCCACCTCATCAACTAAATTGGCACTGGCACGAGTAAGGAAGGCAGCCAAGAAAATGGAAAAGAGAGTTGGTGTCGGTACACACCCTTGTTTAACCCCCCCACCAACTGTAATAACACGCACGCACGCACACACAAAAAAAAATCCTTTTAAAATTTACATAATCACAAACATCTCTAATAATTAGTTCGTGCATCAGAAGTATGAAGAACAGCCTACCGAAAAAAACGTGGCCAAAAAATTAGAAGTGGAAAAACATTGGCAATCATAACTGCAAAGAAGGGCGCCCTGCTCATGCCACGCCGCCAGTTGAGTTCTACACTGGCCTGGGCCGCAGGGGTGGAGATGAAGATCAAGTCATTGGCCATGACTGCCAACTCAAGGCAGTCACTGTTGCCCCATTTGGCATTCCTTCGCTCCACCAGGCCCAAGGCATTGATTACATCTTGCTGATAGCACACACCCAGCAGCTGTAGGGGACATGAAACAAATCATGTACTGTTGAAGCAAGAAAGATAGAGCACATATACTGTAGTGAAGAATAGGCATGATTTACCTACAGAAGGATGGGAACTTAAATTATGTGGTGAGATGTGAGGAGACAGATAGAGAAAATAGGAAGAGTGAATGAATTGTTAATGGAAAGATATAGAGTGTTGGACACTTCTAATATATAATAATTTCAACATAAAGAAAGCATTACAAGATAACACTTTACTGATATTTACCTTATGGCCACCCAAACAAGGTGGCCATGTTGAGGGAAGAAGGCCAGTGGCCTGTGTAGCATCCCTCTCGTTCTTACTTTACTTTTATCCTCTAAACCACTGATCAGCTCGTTAGCCACTTGGGCAGTCAGTCACGTCTCTGTTACCCACTGTTGGCAAGTACTGGGCAGGAACTGGCTCCTGAATGTATCTGAACCTGCTCCAGTGTTGGTCAAGTCTGGTCTTGAAACAGCTCACACTCAGTGTCAAGGACTATTTTGAAGCCAAGTATTGTTCTTGATTCTACAGCTTGAGCTGATAGACTGTTCCATAGGTCTACCAGTACCATCTGTATCAATAAATATTTTCTTATATTTGTCCTGCATGACAACTTTGTGAACTTGAAGTTGTGTCCCTAGTGCTGGTGGTGCATGACATCACCAAAAAAATGGCCCTGGTTCATGTTTTGCACCTTCTCTCGGGATGTCATGTACTTCTGCAGGTAAGGTATCCATGCTTGTATACAGTATAGTGCTATGGAATAATTCAGACGAGGACATATGAGATTCTTAAAATTAATGGATAATTTTCTTGTCTCTGGAGTATGACTTATACTTCCTAAATCTTGGCTGGCTTTTTTCATTGATGCTCCCACGTGTGCTGATTTCAGTGATTGGTCTATTATGATACAGTACCTAAATGTTTCTCCTTGACAACAGTATTCAGGAATGTGTTATTAGCAGAATGCTGTTGTTGTGATTAGGGATGTTTGTGATACACAGTCTAACATTTTGTAATGTTAAAAAGCATTTGCCAGTCTTGCAACCATTTAAATAGACTGTCTCCCTTCTACATGGTTGTGACTTTGTATTGATTTGCTATCTTCCCAAATATCTTTCTTGTTTCTCACCTAGAAACTTGACAATTTGGCTTTACAAATTTTATTGACGTTGTTAATGTAGATCACAAACAGGGTGGATCCAAGGATAGATCCTTATGACACTCCTTAAGAATAAGAAAGGCACAGGGGTGATTAACAAGTTTTTATGCTCCTCAGTCAAATGTAATGTACATATACTGTACGTAGTTAGCAGACGGCTCCCCATCTTTTTACTTTTATCCTCTTCGCCGCTGATCGGCTTGTTAGCCGCTTGGGCGATCGGTCACGTCTCTGATTACATTTCCTTTTCATTTATCTTTTTCACCTGAACCCACTCCAGTGTTGGTCAAGTCTTGTCTTAAAAAGAGCTCACACTCGGTGCCGTCACAACACTCTCTGGTCATATCCCCAAGTTAATAAAGCCACAATTACAGAAAATAATCAGACCTAACTTCTTTACAGTAAGAGTTGTGAAATGTTGTTATTAACTGTTATAAAATGTTTTGACAGCACTAAGTGGGAGGTTCTTTAACCCCTTCACTAAGGGGATGCCACTTATAATACTTGCTTTGGCTAACACCAGGCTTGACCAACACATTCAAGAGCCTGAACATACTCAGTACTTGCCAACAGTTCATAATTAAAAAATAACTAACTCATTGGTTAGTGTGGTAAAAAGGATAAAGTACTGGAATACGTACACTATACATAATGTATATGAAGAAATCAATGTTCAAAAGAATAAAACATATTATATTATTCAGATGAAATTATGGATCGACTTATAACATATCAGCGTGAGCCTTACTTTATATGACATAGTTTTAAAAGTATTGTCCAGGGATCACCACCAGGGGTATAACTGTGTGGGTTGTCACAATTCATTTTCATCCCAGCATCTGTGAATTTTTAGCACCATTATAAAATATTGTACACTCGCACGCCATAGTTTCGATGCCCCCCCTACCCCCTACTCCTAACTTGATGGAAGTCGTAGCATTGGCTTCATACCGAACGTCCCCTCACTTCCCCCCCCCCATCGTTCAGTGTCGCACCTTGGTAGCTCGAAGCTTTGCTGGATTGTACGAGTAGCAGTTCATGATGTAATATTTGAGAGAATATCTGCACAATACAGGATTTTAGTGACTTCACAACACTTTATTTACCATCACTATACTTAACATCACTATACAAGAGGGACCGTTCGGTTTGCAGCCCTGAATACGACTTCCCTCGAGCCAGGAGTAGGGGTAGAGGGTGCATCGAAACTATGGCGCGTGAGTGTACAGGTCTGCCATGTTTCAATATTCACAGAAACATTAATGTTACTATTTGCTTTATTACATTTGATTTTTTTTTATTCATATTGTTCTTCCATACTGATTTATCAACAATCGCAATATATTTATATACAGTAAACCCTCGAAGATCCGGACCAGGGAAATCCGGATTTCAGAAGACCCGGACAAAATTTTGGGGGTTCTGGGCTAAGAAGCCTCCTAGAAGTTTCCCTAAGAAACATTCCCAAACCAGAGCAAAGAACATTTTAGGCCCGTGGGCGCTGCTTGACCCGTCAGTTGCTTGGACACAGGAGCCCGAGGAGGTAACATAAACAGAGTTGACAATTGTTGTTTGTGGGAATATTATTTCATTCACTCTAGTGATGATACAATGTTTCTTTTTATGTTATCATAGGTAAATGCCTGGTTATATATGGTAATGTTTATCACTACATTAGTACTGTATTTTGGGTGTTTTTTATATCATTCATTATTCACCGGAAAATCCGAACAATTTACTTTTTCGGACAGGTGGTCCCCCTTTTAGTCCGAATCTTCGAAGGTTCACTGTACTGTACTGTATGTGTATTCTTTTAAAGGTTACCATCTGAGCTGAATATAATTGGTTGGCATTAGCCAAATAAAATATTAATAGTGGTGTCCCTGTAGTGAAGGAGTTAGGTCTGTGTCTAACTTAATTACATTACATTACCTGCAACTGAAACTCATAAACACTGGTGTCATACAAAAGAATCAGTAAAAGTAATATACTTTGTACAGGAGTTTGTCATCACCTGAGGCATCTTGACTGCTCTGATAAAAATATACAGTACTGTACTTTATAAAGCCAAGATTCACAGCATGAAAACTCTTAGGCTATAGACTTACATTGACAGCAAATAGTTCAAAGGTGTTCTTGTTTTTATTGTATTCCTCAAGAATGTCTGTGTTCTTGGCCCCAAGAGAACGCCACAGTGATTGGTACAGGCAAGAGGCAGCAATGGCGGCACACAGTGGTGAGTTACACCGCTGCCACAGGTAATTGGCCAACCAGGCACGTCTGCTGAAAATGGCCCACAGAAGCAGCTCCATGTAAGGGTCCTGAGGGATAAGACAACTACAGTACATGCCCCCCCCCCAAAAAAAAATGGAAACACAGATGATGTATGTTGAAGATAGAAAAACTGTACAGTGAAGAACAACTCAGTCAGAGGCAGTATCACAGGTTTAAACTTGATCTGCTTTCAAACAAACCCCCTATCCAAACCAGTTGCCAACTCATGGCTTTCCTCAATTCATTAGATGGCTTATATCGGTAACAATCCACACTGGAGGGGAGTCCTGGTCCATACAAGGTAGAAAAATATCTTGAAGATTGAGGTACAGTCGCTCAAAAAAGAATCTGAAAAATATTGTTCATGCCAATATGACACATCAGGCGTATGTTTTTGGTAAATGGTAGAGGACCAGGCTAAAGGTGGCAGCACTGCAAGTGAATTTAATTAATATGGTTATATTAACAGGGAATGACAGTCTAAAAAGACATTACCCATGTTAGACACATACAGTAAACAATATGTGTGTGGTAATGCTTAATGTTCATGTTCCTCTGTGCAACAACAACGACAACTAAATGCACATGTTGACTGTATCCATACGTAGCATTTGGTATGCATACATGTACAGTACTAGATATCAGGGTACGTTATATTAATAGGTAAAGTAAACTGTAAGGGCATCTCACGTTTATTGAATTAATATTTGGTGTAACCACCTTCCACATCCAGAACACATTGTTTGGGTTCATAGCAACATGGCAACTCTTCCCTGTCGTCAATACTGCAAACATGCTATGTATGGTGATTATACTGCTTTCATACAGGTATGACTATAATGCAATGTTTACATTTTACATGTTGATGGATATTTGTAATTATAAAGATAAACTACCCTGGTTATAAGCAGTTGCCTACCAACCCTACTGAGGCAACAGTGCCCAGACAACAGGGGTTGTATTGTTCATTTTGACATCCATCGGACCCCACTTTCAGATACTTTCTTGAGCAAATGCACATGTGTGTGAAGTGTAGGTCATAAACATGGGACCAAGACCGGTGACCCCAGCATTAGTGCTCGGAGACCCGAGAAGGTCAGCGAAAAAACACGAGCAGCCCTTGAGAACTGATATACTGTAAAGGCAAGGCTTAATAGTCTTTAAAGGAGAATACTTAAAACTTGAATACTCCATGTCAACCATCCCAGAGCCTGACACTTGACTTTTGTAGTACATAACCAGTCAGGGAAGAGCTAGTCTAAAGTTTCTACTCTTGATGGCAGTTACTGTAGCTGGAAAATGAAATTCAAAATGGAAGACTGACCTTGAAATCAATATGGCAGGATATAACTTTGATGTGAAGTGTTCTGCTTTGACAGACACAGCTCAAAGGCTTCTTGGAGGCAACTGTTGCACCTATCATACAAGGTGTAGTGGGAAGGGAGGGGGATTATCATACCTACATGGGTTTATAAATCAATGGTCACTAGCATAAGGGGGACAGGAGGACTGTACTGTACTATAAATGCCACCTAACTTGAGTGTGTGCTAGAAATTAAAAGGTGATTAATAAATGTCAATTATCCCAAAGAAAACTAACTGATTGACAAGCAAACAAGTAGGCAGACAGATAAACAGACATATCATTACCTCAAAGGTCAGATAGTTAATGGATGGATTGTCAGACTGGGCCTGAGGGGTGTCTGAGGTGTAGATGTCGTCATGGTGGCGCCTCATCATGGCCTGCAGGACGTTGTGAACATGGAACAGGTAGTGGTAGTTGTTTTGTGATGCTCGCTGTAGCAGCCTCATCAGGTGGGAGTTGGGTATACACTGTAGGATGATGACCACACTGAAGTTTAACAAATATTATCACCTTATACTGTATAGTAAAGGTAAGGTAAACATGTAGGTGATATATGTGGTGTAGTGTTATATGAGTGAAGTTAGGTTTAATAAGTTAGAGATTTCTTCAAGAGACTTCATCTTGTACAAGTGATGGCATATTTAATGAGTGGCTTTGTTTCGGTAACAAGTGACATTACGATACCTCAGTGATGTAATTTTTAATGGTGTTTATAATTTAGTGATTTTATGCCATATTTGAGGAGGTGAACAATGTAACAGTTTATGCAGTTTGTGATGTTATCTGAAAAACTGACAAAATTGACTTTCTGGTGACATTCTGAAAAATACTGAGAAAAAGACTGACCGAGTTCAAGAGGTGGAAGAATACTCATCTACCTTTCACCCCAAAAAATCTTATCCACTACTGTATTCAGTTATACATTACCAGCAGGTTGGTTTTTAATACATTAATTGTACTATGAGGAAGTAGCAAATGTTGGGACCTTCAACTCAAAGTAATCATTCTGAGAGCACTTGGCTATACACAGTATGTTTTGTACCACCTATGTACACACAATCAAAAAGTAGCTTTACGGAGGGGTCCGATGAATTTCAAAATGAAAACTATATCTCCTGTTGTCTCGGAAGGGTTGCCAAAATCCTTCGTCTGTTGAGCCATATTGTCTAACACAAAAGTGTAGATACTTTTTTTTTTTTACTGAATGTATATGGAAGAACATTAACTTCATCAGGTATCGCTCATTCTGCATCTTACATGAATCTGGGATAAGCTTTCATGACATAAAAATATACAAGAATCATGAGAGACGATAACAGCTTTTAGCTCATAAAATGCAGATAGTTTCATTCTTATCACAGTCTCATCCTCGTGACTCATGTTATACTGAGAGAGAGAGAGAGAGAGAGAGAGAGATATACAGTATACACAATACACGAGTGATTCACAAAAAATCTTTCCCCATGACACTCACTGCCTCATTATACAGGTGTCGGAGCTTCTTGACGGTGAGGTAGTCTGCCATGACCAAACCGTTCATGGTGAAAAGCTTAACAAACTCCACCTTCTCCTCCAGAAGAGCAGTAGTCATCAGGTCCTCCAGTGCACCTGATGGCCAATTTTTCTGTGCTGGGGACATATGAAAACTGCTGAGAGATAACACTGCTGCTCAAGGCTTTACATTAACACGATAGAAATTTCAAGATAAAATAAAAGACCATATTGTTCCCCACTAACTGCAAGGTGCTAGTGGTGGACACTCTGTGATCAGAACCATGGTAAACCCAATTCTTCATGTCCTTTTCCCATATAAACTAATGATTCATAGCTTTTACCAGAGTTACCTTAAAATTCAAGGTAGTTATCGTGGGTAAACAGCCTCTCCATCACCTTGAGAAATATAAGGTAATTTATGACACCAGAACTGAGTGTTGTCTAGGCCATGTCATAGCTAATTCACTGTCTCCTCACCCATAACTTTGCTGTTGATTACACTACTAATCTTTTTCTTTGGCACGAAATATGTTTAAGATCTTTGTTAGTTTGACATCATCACCTTTCCAGTCTCCCTTGATATGCAATGTTTTCCTCAAATATAATTGGAGACCTAAGATATGAGATGTTGGATATAATTTATTTACAAGGTTATAAAATATTTATAGCTTGAAGCAAATCTACAGTAACAATTATTTCTTTATACAGAGCAAACATTAGCAAAGACTTACACAGATGATGGTAATTAATGTACTCGTGGATGACACCATTGCCATTCACCTGTGAATTCTGAGAACCCTACATAAGGCCTTTCTGTTAGTCTTATTTCTTGAATCTCAATATTTCTACCAAACTGCAATATTCTTACCCCCTCTCTCTCTATTGAATCAATACCCTATCAAAACTGTAAGGGTCTAATTAATATGTAAATGACTTTAATCTTCACAACAATCTCTTTTTTTCAATTCTATCCATCAAACTTCCTCTTCTCAGCTGTGTCATGACTTACCAGGGAAAATCTCACACTCCGCTATGTCAGGACGGTCCCATAATAGTGCCAGGCTCAGTTGATCCTGCATTGATGTTACATCCTCACCTGTTAACAAATGCTTATGTAAATAACACTAACCATTGCCTGTAGTCTCTGGTATCATCTCTCACCAGTAATTTTATCAATTTATATTTGATGTACTTTTCATTTCTCATTACACTTCTGATGTATTTTTTATATCATTAGACTTGCTTCTGACATACACTGTTAGGAGTAGTAGACAAAATACTTGCCTGTGAGTAAAGCATACAGGATATACTTGTCCATGTCCTCATTTGAGTTGATGTCAAAGATTGTAATCATGTTGACTTTGGTGCAACACTCAATCAGCAGGTCTGCACACTGGTGGCCAGAGACAAGGTTCATTACGGGAAGTATGAAACATGTGTAAGATACATACAACATTCTAACCAGACCTATACTTCATCAATATGTATTTTAAATGTACTGTATTACATATTACTAACTCACCTGTATAGTGTGAATTATCTATCAACACGTTCTTGTCAATCACCTGAAAGCTAGAATATACGGTACATCACACAGTCACACTATGAGAACAATTTATTAAGAGCGTCAGCTTGATTGATTCAATGACAAAACATTACTGCTGCTATGTTTAGTAATTTGTTCAGTATTATCCTTTAAGATATAATATTCTGAAACTAAACATCACAATTCTACACCTCGCCTCATCTTTAAGAAAAAGAAATGAAATGACCACTATTGTAATTCATCAAACTTCCTCTCCTTACTAAACCATTTGTTTTCCAAAGTGACTTCCAAGATCAGTAACCATATACAGAATATCAAATATGCATAAACTAACTTATAATTTCTTATTACAGTATTTTCATTACAGTATTACCTCTGAAATATTGGGAACAATGAACATATACAACTACTGTACACATTACTGTATATTTTTTCAGGCAATGTGACCAAAGACAGCTGACATTGCTATGAGATGCTTATTTCCAGTACAGTCCATTAACTTATTTCCAAGCTTAATTTCCCCACAAACAGGTTAAGTATCTTTTTTTTTACTTTTTACTTTACAACCTCAATTTTAATCTACAACGCACATCTTTAAACTGTATGTATAATTTTTTTTTCTCAGTACAGTAACTGCATTAAGCTGAAAAAAGGCTTAAAAATTTTATAAAAAAAACAAAGCATCATTAACCTTTTGTTTCTCAGGGAAAGATTTGATTTCCCGCATGGTAATGGAGATTCTGTTGACGAGCTGTGCCCGGTGTCCCTTACGCATGATGAACCTTCCGCTGTCGAACAAAACAACATTTATATACAGTAAAACGTCGATTTAAAGAGATTCAATTTAAGATTATTGATTTAAAGCGACACCCGCAATTAAGGACAATGTTTTAATTTAAAGCGAATCTTTCCTATTTTGTGTGAGTCAATCTGGTGCATCATATTTTAAAATTAGCGCCTCATGTTTCTCTGGGTACGCTACACTGTCCTAAGGGCAAAGCTGTACTGTACATGTACTCAAAATAATGTACTAATGATTACTAAAATTTTTGTCTAGTGCAAACTACCTGTATAGCAAGATTATATTCAAATTAATCACTATCTTATAAGAATTCCAGAATGTTAATTACTGTATATTCTCCCAGGTCAGTTTAGTGACATTTTATAAGAGAAAAACTTAAGTCACTCCTGAGGAAAAGTAATCAAAGACGTGACCGATCGCCCAAGCAGCTAACGAGCCGATCAGTGGTGAAGAAGACAAAAGAAAGAAAAATATAAATAAGCACTAGACCTTGGCATCAACTGTCAAACATATCACCTCACCTAGCCGTTTTCTATGTGCATACCGTACTTACAGAACAATGCTTAAGATCCCACTATATCATAGCCTTAAGTCTTTATATACATCTAAAATCACTTAATTTAAGACTAAAGAAGAAATAGAATGACAAAATACAGTAATTGACAGTAAAAAAAAGTGACATTAAGGAGATAGATCTTGGCATTGTGATAGATCATTCCATGAAGGAGGTAGAACAACTGAGGCAGCCGTGAGAAAAGCAAATCGAGATTTGGACATTATAAAGCGAACCCCTGAATCCAAAGATGTTAGGTAGGGAGTCCATGTATAAGCAAGGTGTTTACCCTGACAACAAGGAACTCAATACCCTGACATAATCCCCAGTTGTTAATGACATATCAACTACGGTAATTGTCAGCTGCCATCTATTATGCAATATGCTGTAATTATACATTACCTGGGAGTGTGAATGGTCATGGAGACAGCGTAGGCAAGTAGATCAGCAGCCCTACCAGTGCCAGCAACCACAACGATGGGTATGTCACGCTTTAGGGCCAAGTTACACTTGATGATGGAGTTGACACCTCCATCCAGGAGCAGCAACACCACTGGCACCCCCAGCCCCTCTGGCTCTGGCTTCCGGATTCCCTCCTCCAGGCGAGTCCTGAAGATAAAGATTACCGTGTTTTCTGGTGTGGTGTGTGTGTGTGTGTGTGTAGGATCTTTTGGAAAATCATCCAATAAAGTCTTAGAACATCATGAAACCTCGCAAAAGAGATTAACTTTTGGTTATTAGTTAACTCCTGGGCTACTGTACAATACAGTACTAGGGTATATCATCTGACTTTCTTAACATAATCAAACTTTACTAAAATTAGGTTAGGTAACATTAGGTAAAGTTCAATTAAATTTGGTTAGAATTCCATAAATCTGTAGAAAAAAAAAATGTCTCCTCTTACCAACTTGAATCCAGAGTCAACCACTGGAGAATTGATCATTTAAGATTACTTGCCTAACTGCAACAGGCTCCCGAGACCTACCATACCACACAAGGAAAGATTCACAGTAACCTAATTCTCAAAGGCAAGGCACACTTCAGGTCTGATGTTTAAAATAAAAACTATACTAATCACCTGTCCCAAACTATAATCGGTAGAGATGCTGTCCTACTGAGCTCTAGTGCCAGCTCCTCCCCTTTGGCCTGTTGCTGTCATGAAGCTCATCTCCCAAAAGTCTGGGATTGTGGTTGTTGTGAAAGTTGTAATAATTGCTTCAATCAATACCAGCCACATTAGAAGGATTCAAATACGAGTGTATTAAGGTTGATCATAAACACACAGTACAGTACATGTCCCCACAGACCTTTTAAAAAAAAGTAAAATTACACCCTTCAAATAAGTAATACTTTATCTCCATTAGACGGAATCCCTCTTAACCGGAACTCTCCAATAGCCGGTATTGAAATTTTTGGGGGAAAATTGTTCTCAAAGCCAGAATTTTCCAGGAAATTCCAGCTTTGGGAATGATTTCCGAGTTGCACACTTTCTGAGAAAATTTCTCTAGTACCCAGATAATTCCAGAAAATTTCGGGGATGGGGGATTTTTTTTTCCGGATTCGATTGATGAAAATAGGTGCATTTTCCGGAAATTCTGAAAAAAAAAATTAGGGAAAATTCCGGGGATGGGGGATTTCTTTCTGGGTTTGAGAGTTGCCTCATTACCCGGAAATCTCTCATTCCCGGAAGTGCTCGGGACCAATTACAGTACTACAGGGTATTCTGGCTAAGAGAGATACTGTATCCCTGTATAGCCAGTCTTATGTTTCTTTTTTTTTAAAAGGGATTACACCACCAGGGCACAGGTCAATGACCCACATCAGGGCCTGGAAGCAAAACCATAATAATAATAATAATAATAATGATAGTAAAATAATAATAAAATAATAACAATAAAATAATAATATAATAATAATAACAATAAAATAATAACAATAAAATAACAATAATAATAAAATAACAATAATAATAAAATAATAATAATAATAATAATAATAAAATAATAATAATAATAATAATAAAATAATAATAATAATAATAATAAAATAATAATAATAAAATAATAAAATAATAATAATAATAAAATAATAATAATAAAATAATAAAATAATAATAATAATAATAATAATAATAAAATAATAATAATAATAATAATAATAATAATAATAATAATAATAATAATGGACCATAAAAAAAATCAATAGTGAGAAACGATATACATTATGTATGTTGTGTTGTCAAAGAAAAAGAAACAATTGAGACCCTGCAATTGTGTGTAAATGAGGCAGAAAGACAGATCAGTAACCTGGGACTTGGGTCACAATTTTTGTGATGCCATATAGCAGCAGGGTCTACCATAGACAACACATTATGCTTCCAATATCTTCCCAGGCGGTAGTACCTCCCTGTTTGATAGCTGCCTACTACCTACTACTTCTCCTAATATTTCTTACCCATCACAAAGTTCTGAACACACAATACATTTTGGATTAATGTGCTAACCTGAAGTCATCAACACCCCTGAAAACGTTCCTGTGGCCATCATCGACGAAGAGGAAGTGGGTGTGATCTCCATCAAGTGACACTGGCTCTAATGGGGCAGCATTCTCCTCCACCTTGTACCTGATGATGTAACATATACAGTGGGCCTGGTAAGGAATTGGTTGGGTGACCACCTGGTAACAATAGATACTGTTGCCATTTAAACTAAAAAGGATCCCACTGGAAATATGCATCTCATGGCTTTGTCAGCTATCCTTAGTCAAATTGCCCCCAAAAAATTATATATATAAATATATATAAATATATATATATATATATATATATATATATATATATATATATATATATATATATATATATATATATATATATATATATATATATATATATATATATATTACTCTACAGTTTATACTATAGGGTATATGGTAAAAACCAAAGTTTAGCTGCCTGCCTATACAAAGATTTAATGCGAGTGCAGGAGAAAGTGGCCCTAACTTCTGTGTATTTTACATATTTTTTCATTTAAATCTTTTAACATTTTCTTGCACCTTCAGGTACATATGAGTGAAGATGCCAGTAGAACCTGGCAAGATACGGCATTAATAACAGCTCACTGCCGAGGTACAAGATAGAGTGGTTTTCACACAAGTTCATGAGAATAACTTACCATCATTTCCTGAAAGCCATTCAACATCATTAAAATCCTATAGACAATACAGTACAGTACTGTATTACATCATTTAATATACAGGTACGTATAGTACTGTAGTATACAAAAATGTAATATCTCCATTAACCGGAATTCCCCAAACCAGAAACTCTCCGATAGCCGGATTTGATATTTTCTCAGAAAATCATTCCCAAAGCTGGAATTTTCCAGAAAATTAAGGCTTTGGAAGCGATTTTCTGGGGGGCACATTTTCCGGACAATTCCGGGGATGGAGGAGTTTGGGGGGTTTGAAAGATGACATAATGGGTAATTTCTGGAACTTCTGAAAAAAAATTTCCATTACCCGGAAAATTCCAGTGAAGAGGGATTTTTTTCTGGCTTTGAGAGTCGTCTCGTTACCCGGAAATCTCTCGCTCCCAGAAGTGGTCTGCACCAATTGTTCCGGCTAATGGGGATATTACTCTATAATGTATTTATATTTGCTCCATGATAACTTAAAATCTATCTTAATAACTTGAAAATCATTAAATTGGTTGTATAGTAACTAATAAAGGTATTCCTGCTGCATAACTTGTTTTCTACCTTCAGAGCAAAAATACCAACTAGAAACATCTTTAACATGCATCAGTCATGGAACTTATTTTGAGTGCTATATTAAGATGTCCGTTAATTGTAAAACATTCCCAACACCTCGTCCTCTTTATAAACACATGTGCTACCCATCATGAACAACCTATGAATAGTTTACTCTATTTACATGCACCATCATCTTCAATCACAGTTTGTTTTTAGTTAAGTGGTCATAGCAGGATGTTCCACAGTTAGTGTCATGCCATATTGCCACACATCATAGCCAGTACACTCACACCCAACTCATTATCTCTTTCTCTGACACAGACAACTGGTTCTTGTGTTCTTTACAGATTCATTGAGGTTGGACAAAATGACCCTAAGCATGAAGAGCTATGGACAAATGCATCTGTTACCCAGATCAGTGATTCTTAAACTGGGGGGCGGCGCTCCCCCCTTGAAGATTCCAAGAGGGGAGAGAGCGGTCAGAGAGAAAAGTCTGGTCAGGAACTGAAAGCGTCTCGTACACGATTGCTCATCCCTCCCACTCTATAATAACCAAGGGTTGCATCAGGGGTGGGGGGCGTGGGATCTAGGACTTATGCAGATGGGGGGCATGAGGCAAAAAAGTTTAAGAACCAATGGCCTAGATTATAAGTAAGACTGTGCTTACATATACTGTACAAGTGGATATTTCCTAAATACTGTAACCAGTGACTGTGTAATGACATACCAATGACTGAAGCACCTAATAGTTTAGGAACAAATGGGCTACATTCTATTCACTCATCCATACAAATGTTTGCAAATCTAAGACAATAAAATTTCAAAAGTATTACCTTCAGTCACGGTCACAAGAATGGGTGCTGAGGTTCAACATTATGACATGCAAGAGAATACACCTTAGTTATAATGACAGTAACAAAATATACACAATCCAATGTTAACAAGATATTTCCATAAAAATACTAGTGAGTTAGATCTGGGTGTTTACACTGACAACGAACACAAGCATCAAGGTTATTAGCTTCTAAATATAAAAATTATGAGTGAAGAGCTCTTGGGTGTTTAGTTAGTAAATACAATGATCCTAACTTTGTACATCAGGTGTGAAATTTCCTAAGTTATCCAGATTTTCAGCATTAACTTCCTTAATGTATACCATTAAGTGATGAGTTTACAAAAGTCTAGGTTATTAAGCAACTGTTCCTTAATGTCTTTATATAGACAGACTTACTTGACAGAAGTAAACTGGTTGACGTCACTGTTCATGAGACTCTCCCTGTTCTTGATGTATCCCCAGGGCAACACACCCAGGCACCTGATGCCTCGTATCATGTGCACACGTTCCTGCATCACCATCACAGTTAACATTATTTCCATCATTATCACCATCATCACCCCAACAAGAGTGTCACCACCATCATACAGCAGATGTCCACATAAAGGCTAAACCCATATATGTACCTCCTCTCCACTTATCAACATACTGTACTAGCTGGTCAGACTCTTCTGTTACACACTGCTTGGCATGTACTAAATGTGTACCATCATTTACTACAAGAACTCAGCCATGGAATGACTTTATATCAAACACTCATTTATTATTGGAGTACAATACTGTTCTCAGTATTTACCATCCTGCCATATGAACCTATTGTTTGCTCTCTGTGCTTTGCTGTTATCCCTCATTTAGCAATATTTTTGCTTAATATTTGGGGGTTTTCAGGAACACAACCCATCGTTGAACGAGGAATACCTGTACTGTGTCCAGGAATAAGCTTAGGTTTTCTATATCATGGTAACTCCCAGTTTGTTGCACCTTCTTATTGTAAAAGGCAAGGTGAAGCTATGAGCAGTAACCCACCAAGGTGCAGTACCAGACCTCTCATATTTTGCTTGCTTTTCCCTAAATAATGCTCATACATTACATGCACATGGCTACACCTTTCTAAAAGCTTGACCTCATTGCTTGTGATAATACTACTACATAAAGCTCTACATGAACAAAGAGAGACAGATAGTTAAGAACATGTAATCTGAGAGTGCTATGTACAGGGATAAATACATCATCTTGCTGTGTACACACTTTACATCATGCTAATTACTACTACTGTATAATGAATATTAATGCACAGAATAAGCAGAGTTATTGATTCCAAGTTTCAAGGTATAGCTATATAAAAAATAGCTGATAAATGATGTAGTGAAATAAAGGATTTTCTTCCACCCACCTCAGAAAAGAAGTTCTTCCGTTTTATCTGAAAGAGTAATTAAAAAGTTTATTGTCATGAGCCATAAAAACAATTACAGTATTTGTATTTATCATTGACAAACCTATACTGTAGTATTTTATTAAGATATAATAAAGTCTATAAGAGAAGAATTACCTTATCAGTACTGTATTTACTTCTATCTTTCATTTCTTTTTCTGTCACTTGATGTATAGTTGCCTGCATTTATACCTGGTACAGAGGCTGGTGCGTTTTGTAAGACGTGGCAGCTTTGTGTTTGTTTACATTGTATTAAAACTCCCGGAATAGCCTTAAGGAACCTCACAATAGTAGCCAGACTAAGGTTACTATAGATACACATTCTACAGAGTTGCCACATCTCACAAAATGCACCAGCCACTGTACCAAGTATAACTGCAGGGGACTGTACAAGTAAATGGACCAAGTTACTACAATACTGTATGATTAAGAAACCCCATATGATAAATTAAGCAATAAATTAACTTTAATAAGGAACCATAACAAAAATACTAATATACAAGACACGACATAGTAAAAATAGTGACTTGATCCTGATATCTAGTTCACAAGAAATATAGAAGTATCAACAAGGAAACATGAAAATGACTAAACAGTACCTTGACGATGAACTGGCCCCGGTTGACGGCCTCTCCCACACTCTTCATGATCCCCACATGCATCCCCCCCGTCAGGAGCCATGCATTCGTTGACTTCACGGCCTACAACAACAAAAACAAAATTTGCTAGGAGTGAATAATGCATACAAGAATGTAAACAAACACAGATGAGGATCTATGTGGTTATAATTTGACCAGTGGTGAAGAGGATCAGTACCATAAGTAAGTGGTACATTATTTTCTTTTCATCATTGTCTTTTCCAAATGAGTTATCCATCTAGTTTTCTTCATCTTTTCTTCTGAGGTAAAAATTCCTCCACTACTGAATCAACATCACTGATGCTTGATCACAGTTCTCCAATATTTCATTCTACCTTTAATAAACAGTATATTACAAGTATCTCCGAGGCTAAATTTCTGCATACACTGTACTGTATTCTCTTATGTACTGAAGTCTCTCTAGATGAATTGCTTACATTCCTCCTCATATAACCTGACCTCAAATTTCTAGAATTGTACAGCATTCTGTTGTATAATAGTGATCAGAGATGATTTTTTTTCATATGAAGAGGCAAACAAACCAATCATTGGGAAGAGGATGAAACTACTACAGTATGTCTACCAACACCTCTGCTGTTGTCTGGGCCAAATCCTAATTATTTTCTCCACTGATGGGCTCTATCATGATTAGGAAATAACTCTTGAATAAACCCAACAGATTCTTCTCTTTCACTTTTGATGACAGGTTCTCCCAATCTATTGTATGGAGGTTGAAAAACTTATGGCAAAAACTAACTTATTATAACCCCTTGTGCACGGGATCCCATCGTGCTGAATAAAATCACCTAGTGTTACCAAAATAAAATACAACATTAAAAGTGGCATCCCCATAATGAAGGTGTTAAATAAGAGAAGCTATCAACTTTTCTATGCAAGAAAATTAATACTTATAAAATAATAATAATAATACAGTACAGTATCAGCTGTAAAGGGAAAACTTAACCTTTATAAGACCTGAAGAGAATATTTCCTTCTTCTTGCCATCCAGCTGGAAGTTCTTAGCACCACCTGTGACGGAGATGACCAGCTGGGGTCGGTTGGGATCCATTAGACACCAATAGTCAGTGAGGAGCGTCAATACATTCTTCACATTACTAGTTGATGACAGACGCACATACTTCGATGGCTTGTTAGATCCTGGAGGAAGGGGAGAAGGTTAGGATTAGAAAGCTGGTGAAAGATTAAAGTGATCCCAGTCCTAATGAGGGCTTCAATTTAACTTAATGTAGTCCATCATGATCCAGTTTTAAGGAGACTCATTCCTTATGGGACCTAACCCTAATTGAAGTCAATCCTAAAAGTTCCGTTAACTTGGAAGTTATTAGGACTGGGGCCCATCTTACTGTAAACAGACTGTCACCTGTGTTTTGCCACCCATACATAATATAGTCAGAACAGTATTGAATGATGGAATTTGACTTTTATGAAGACTGAAGTTTTTAGAAGATTTACAAAAAAAAAATCATGAAACAGCAGCACACTTACACACTCAGGAAACATGTTAGTGAACATAAATACTCAGGAAACACAAGACACATATTCACCTAAAGGAAACAAGAGACAAACATATATTCAGGAAACCGTAAACAATTGCATTCAGGAAAAAAGAAGTGACATAGATTCATCAAATAAGATGGAATAGGATACATTCATTAAGGGAATAATAAGACTGAACACAGTTGAACTCGGGTAACTAGTGGCAACATACTGTACATACACTCAGAAACTAGTGGAGATATATACGATAGTTACTCAGGTAACAAGTGGGGACATTAGCATTAAAGAAGCAGGATAGTCAGACACATGCATAAACTTGCCTTGATTGGACAATCAGTCGGTCGTTGAATAGGATGGTTATTTTTCATAATAAACTGTGCTATAATATTATCTATATGAAATGCATTGATTGAAAGCTAAACTAGATTAAGTGAACTCCTGTAATCATGATAATGTATAACTTTTCATCTATCACAACCCTTCCATGCCCTTGAAATGTAGGTCAAGGTTTTATGAACTTTGAAGGCAAGTACTGTACCACAAATATTTCATTAGGTATCTTAATCACATGTAATGACAAACAAATAGAAAGATTATTAGAGGTGGGAAGGGGAACAACAAGACCCATGACCCAAGTCTGAGATGAAGGGTAAAACAAGAAAAATTTAGATACAAGCTCCTAGAAATACTGTACATACTGTATTTACAAACTGAGTGTTGAGGATCTTTTGACACAAAAGTAACAAAGAAGGACTGCCCTCACCAGCTGTTTCATTCATGAATGTAATGCTGCCATAGGCATTGGTGGGAAGCTCATACAGGTGGGTATCTTGCCTCCAGGGACTGTCTGGTGCAGGCATCACTATCCGGGGCAATGTGTTGGGCCTTGATGACTGCACAAGGGACACACTGATATGGTGAATCATGTACAGCCGACTCGTGAGTCAAGGAGTAATAGAAAGACAAAAAAGTGAGAGAAAGACTGTGAAGTATCTGCTATAATTTGAGAAGAAGCTTGAAAGTTTAACTGCTGAAGATTGTCTCTGATCATCCAAGTGGCTAACAGGCAAATCTGTGGCAAAGAAAATACTGTAAAGCAAAGTAAAGTTGTTCTCGAGTTACTGCAGATACTATACCTAAGAGTTCAGCATCAATGGATAACCAGATTTTTTAAAATACAGACAATAATAGAAGACTATATATTTAAATAGGCTTTTCAGTTTCTACTACTCCCTTTGACTGGATCGACTGTGATCTTTTAACCAATTTTGAAATAGACTCGGCTAGTTTTATAGGTAGCTTGCCATGTGGTACTCCAAAGGTGGATGAAGTTTAATTAATTATTTATCTCTATGTAATCTGATGGAAAAAATATACTAGTAGCTAAACAGACACTTAAATGTACTGTACTGTCCACAGAAATAATTAAGACATGTAACAGATTCTACTTCAGAGTTGGCAATGGGCTCAGTGAAGCTCAGCCCAAACTTATTATATAACAGCAACCTTAATATACAGCAAATTGAATGAGAACACCAAGGGAACTAAACATACAGGTTGGATAACATTGCACCGTGACCTTGACGTAACACCGTTGGCCAAAAGGATGTTTTCCCTTGAGAACACACTGTTGTCTTCACCTTGGCCAACCCCAGTCTCCAACTCCTGTGGAACAATACAACATTTATGGGAAAGTTCAAATCACAGTGATAAAATGATAGTGAATATTAGAAGCAAGTTTACACATCAATTGAGAAATATTACGAGTCTTTACCCATTCCTTACAAGCCCTTTTCAGCTGTGGCATAGGTAGGCTGGAACACAAGTACAGTTACAGACATCTCCTTCATTTGCCATCACTCCTTTATTACTGCTAGAACAGATGAGCTCCATTAGGATATTTTCCTTACACAAGACAGCTTCTCTTCTTCACACAACCCACCATCATCTATCATCAGCACTTACATTCCCATAAACCAGACACCATGTTTCTCATTCATTCATACATACACATACATGTTCCCTGGATGTTCATATCTCTCTCCATGCAGTACTGTTACCTCCTTTACCATATCCTTCCTCCTCCTTGGAATTCCTCTCCCCCCTTTCACCAAACACTTCTGAATTTAAAACTTTTTGCCTGCCAATCATTTGCTTCCCATTCTCTCAATATGTCCATGTACAGTACTGCCTCAGCAAACCCTGGTGAGCTCTCCACATCACTTCCACTTTACTCTTCTTTTCTCATTCTCTGCAAAGTATGTAAAAAAAAACACACACACACTCTTACTTATACTACTTTCAAGCACAATATTCTAGTTGCGTTTTACTAAATTTTTCCCTCTTGCATCCAGTGTCCATAATTTATATCCTTAGAGTAGTGCATATTGAACTGTTCCCCTGTACTGTACATCCCTGCCTTTACCTACTCTGATATGGTTCTCCCTCACCATTCACTTCTCAATGCACTTATTACCTTCTTTGCCTCAATTATTATATGACAATTCACAACCCATTGCTGCTTGAGCTGACTTATGCACTCCAAGACAGATGAAACCTCTAACTCTCTCCATTCTGTCCCCCACCCACATTTCCTTTCTCCCCTTTCAACTGATTTTCATTATTCTTTTACCTTATTCTTCATTCACAAGTCAATTTTTCTCACAGTAGTTGCAACTTTTCTTCTGACTATTATTGGCAGTAAATACAAGAATCAAAACCAAAAGCTGTAACAATAACAAGTAAATGATAGTAAACACATGGGGCACTATAACACCCACCTGCAGGGAAAGTTTGGAGGTGGCGGTGGGTGGGCGGCTGGAGGTCTCGGCAACGGATGACAGCTGGACAGAATTCCCTCTGGTCAAGCTGCTGAGTGTGTTGAAGATGTTGTTAGCAAGGCCAGAGGTCTTATGCTGTTGCTTCCGATCAACCTTCTCCTGGATGTTCATGAGGGTACCATCCTGCAACACCCAACACCACCTTTACCAGCTGCAGTCAACACATCACACAACAACAGTACTGACAACATACAATACATATCACATGACACAACGTAAGGGGATGTAAATTAATATGTGTTTGTTATTATTTTTCCCTATCTTATTAATGCATATACTGTACCTGTATGTGTGAGAGATATTTTTTATCTTATATAATATTTTAGACATCAAGTGTTCAAGTTCTCACTTGATGTCAATTTGACACAACACATGGTGCAACATAAAACTTATACAGTACAACAAAAAATGCAACTCAAAATTATGGCACAACGAACCAATCAGTGGCAAAGCGAAGAGTATAATTAATTGCTTGGGCAGTCGGTCAAGTCTCTGTTACACACTGTTGGCAAGTACTGACTCCAAAATGTATCTGTACCTGCACCAGTGTTGGTCAAGACTGGTCTTGAAGCAGCTCACACTGGCTGCCGTCACAACACACACTGGCAGATTGTTCCAAGTGTTTACATTTCTCACTCCTAATAAGTTTTCCCTGAAAATCACTCGACTGATGTCAATATTCTCAACTTTGCTGAAATGAAGAGCTATACAGTAATCAGAATTAACCTAAATTAGCAATTTGGATTAATAGAAATTTATATAAATATTTCATAAAGCTCATACATTCACACAATAAGATAAACTTATGAGTAATAAAAACTCCGATATGCATGGTCAAATCGCAAGAGTAAACAAACTTTGGAGACATGACAGTAAATAAATAACAAAGAAAAACCCAGGATACTGTATTTGAGTCAAAAGCGTGTTTAATTATTGGGTCTTATAAGAAGGTCGTTCAGATATCTAGACGGTCCGTCCCTTGTAACGATCTTCAAGAGTGAAGTGCTTCCCCATCTGGAGTACCGTCACCCCATCTGGTCCCCGAGATATGCTAGGGACTGTCAGTTGGTTGAAAATGTTCAAAGGAGGGCCACCAGATTGGTGCCTGCACTTCAGCTACCCTGAGAGATTGGAGCGCCTGAACTTGCCTAGCTTATACTACAGACGGGCAAGGGGTGACCTAGTTGAGGTGTATAATAAGCATCTTAGGGGGCACTACTCAGTCGAGTGTCCTTACTTGGAGCTGGCGGACGCTCGCCCCACAAGCAGTCACAGCTCAAGATTGAAGAAGCCGCAAGTCCAGAAAACTGTGAGGGCAAACTTTTTCGGAGTGAGGGTTGTAAACTCTTGGAACAATCTACCAGAGAGTGTTGTGACGGCACCGAGTGCGAGCTCTTTCAAGACAAGACTTGACCAACACTGGAGCGGGTTCAGGTACATTCAGGAGCCGGTGCATGCCCAATATTTGCCAACAGTGTGTGACAGAGACGTGACCGATCGCCCGGGCGGCTAGCGAGCCGATCTTTTGGTGAAGAGGATAAATGAAAAGGAAAAGTAATCAGAGACGTGACCGATTGCCCAAGCGGCTAACGAGCTGATCAGTGGCAAAGAGGATAAAAGTAAAAAAGTAAAAGTTAACATAAATTTTGACCAGAGTGTAATTGGCTGAAGCACCATTCACAAGAGGTACCGGTATGGCCAGCATAAGGACAGAACCAGACAATGTGATGTAGTCGTGGCCAGAATTAGGCTAGGATACAGACACATCTGGCAAGTTAGTAACGCTGTACCCATACCGGAACACTCAGCATGTAAACTTTGTGATAAACCTTTAAAGCATACACTTGAACACTATATTATTCAATGTGACACTGTCAAAGACTTCAGGCCACCTGACTTACTGTATCTTGAACTATGTAATTACTTCATTGAATCAGGTGTGCTCGAGGACATTCTTGCTGTTTATCCCAAATTTGCTGCTAGCCCACACTGATTAGTCTTCAATTAGAATATGACTCCAATGTATGTGATCCACTGACCTATATATACTGCTAATGAATATGATGTATTTCCTTCTTTGTGTAAGAACCTCTGTCCTGCATGGCAGTGAACAGTGGCATTACCCACATGAATCTGACCTATATATAGTGTCAATGAATATGATGCATTCTTTGTGTATGAACCTCTGTCCTGTATGGCAGTGAAGAGTGACCCATATGAATCTGACCGATGTATATGTATGTATGTATGTGTGTATGTGTGCATATGTGTATATATATGTACATGTGTATGTATATATGTATATGTATGTATATGTGTATGTGGGTGTGTACATATATGTATATGTACTGTCAATGAATATGATGCATCTCTTTGTGTACGAACCTCTGTCCTGCATGGCAGTGAACAGTGACACTACCCATATGAATCTGACCTCTATACATTTATAGCTGTTAATGAATATGATGTATTTCTTTGTGTATGAACCTCTGTCCTGCGTGGCAGTGAGAAGTGATCCCACCCTCAGTGTCAAGACCTGACTGAATTACTCAGAATAGGCAAACTGTACTACAAGCTTTGTCAATAAATTTGTTAAACTAAACTAAATTCACATGCCAAAGGTTCAACTACAGAAGAATATCCTCATCAATCAGTGTATGTACCATATATGGACGCCTTCATTTCTTCATTGGAAAGTAATTTGCTACTGAAATTAAGCAAAATTTTGGCCTGTATTCTCTTCACACACTATAAATGGCCAAGATTGCAAGGACCAGATTGCAAAGATCATTAATTTAGTTGAAATTGCAAACTTAAAAGCTGAAGCAGCCATGCACCTGATTTGAAATTTGGTCTCAAAAGAAGAACACAGATGATAGACTTGAGGATTTTCTCAAACACACTGATCTGTTCCCTTCCATTAAATATGCAAATATGATTGCCTCGACATTACCTGTAACAGTATGCACAGCGTAGAGAAAAAATCAGCACAATGAGAGGAGTAAAAACCTGGTCAAGATCAACGATGGCAGAAGATCGTTTATCAGGACCATACAAGACGAGTGTTCATTGAATAAAGATTTGAGAGAAAACAAGACCTCATTCAAAATGTAATTGGTAAATTTAGACAATACCCAAGACTCTTGCAGTCTTTACTCCACAGTAGCTCTTGGAAAGTACAAGAAACAGAAAAATGATGAAGAAAATGTGTCACTTTTCCTTTAAACTTTCCTATTTTTCTATCATAACTTTCATGATTCTTGTTCTTCTATTTCTACATTGTTTACTTAATGGCCACTCACTTTAGAATAGCCATGTAGAGGGAAGGGAGACCAGTGGCCTGTATAAGATCCCTCCACTGTTCTTGATTCTACTACAGCTTGGGTTCCACAGGTCTACCACCATCTGTGTGAAAAAACTATTTCCTTACGTTCATTCTTCATGATCCCTTGGCGAGCTTGTTATGTCCCCTCGTGATGGTGGTGTCTGACATCACAAAGAAATGGTCTGTGTTCATGTTTTCCATCCCTTTCAAGATTTAAAAATTTCAGTGAGATCTTGTTTATACTAATTATAAGTCTTCAAGTTCCCAAACCTATCCAGAAACAGCTAATATGACATAAGAATTCTAAAGACAACTGACCAATAGGCATGCTCGTCTCTAAAGACATACCAGTCCAGTTAAGTAAAAAGCCGATTCACCCATGATGGTGCAGGAATGGAAGTTATTAGCAAGCATGATCTCCACTGAAGGCTCAAGCAACAAAAGGACCAATAAGTGTACTCACCTCTGATTTAAGTGGTGGCGGGGCAGTAAGGAGGGAGGAGAGGGGGATGTGCTCATTCTGCAGGAGGCCACAATAACACGAGCCTTCAACTTTCGCATTGGCATTCTTCACATACCTGCCAGGTGATAAGTTACACACATAACACAACATATAGGGGCAGATCCAGGAATATCAAAAGGGAGGGGTTCAAGAAGTTGTGGGTGGAGGGGAACATGGCAAGCACAGTGAGCTCACCCAGTGGGGTATTTGGGGGGGTACTGTTATCCCCCCCAAAAAAATTCTTTTGAAATCTAACCAGTAACATAGGCATTTTGAAGTAATGTGCACTTGATATTAGGAGATGTTCTGAGGTCATTAGTAATTCATTTTTACTAAACATAAATGAGAGTTTACAATACAGTACTGCATTAAAGAAAAAATATAGGAATTTTCTGATGAAACGGGGAGACTGGACCCCCAGGTGTCCCCCAGTAGCATTAGTGAAATAAGTTTAGGACTAATTTTGAGGTGAAATAAACTATATACATACTGAATTGTATACCTGCATTGTCTATATACAGTACATAATTCATTGTAAACACACACTCCAAATAGAATCTTTATAGTTGGGTCTGATGAATTTCAAATTGAACACTGCAACACCTGTTTTATTCTATCATACAGGTAAATCAGAAACATTACCACTGATAATAATATTCAGTTGACACTTGACAAATTACCGTACCTAGAAATTTGGAGGTTAAGTGACAGTGCACGACAGGTTCAGCATAGAGCCTTCCCTCACCTGATACACTCCTTGCGGGTGAAGTTGGAATGCATGAAGGAGAGGTTGATATCCTGGGTCTGTCTACTTTTGACGCGCCTCTCCTGTGCTCCCTTAGTTCTGCGCTTTAAGCCAATCTTCTTCCTGCAGAGACAAAAAACTTGGTTCTCAATGGCTACCACAGAAACTGCTGATGATCTAATGGCACAGCTGAAAACATCATTGGTCTAACAAGTCCAATGATTTGGATGGATATATTCTGACACCAACTGCATAAAACACTCGGAACTTTGTTAAGCTGTTGTCATCTAACTGTAACGAGGACCTGCAAGGGTTAGGTTGAGTAACTGTCATCCAACTCTAAGCTTACTTAATCACTTTAACTAAAGCACGTTTATAAAAGCTGTATATTGGCAATATTCCTGGTTTGGCTGATAACCAGTTTACATCTAAATGACAGATACTCAAATTCTTTTAAAGTTGGAGGATCAGGAGCCTTAGTGAGACAAGGATCCCCCCCCCCACCAACAGTTATCAGGATCAAATATAAATAACAGACCTTTTTTATAACACCCGTACTGTTAGTAAACTGATAACTGGTGAAATGATAAATTAATCATCTTTTAGACCCGACCTCCCTGATATCTCTCTCTCTCTCTCTCTCTCTTTGGCCTCACCTCTGTAGTGTCCAGCGCTGGTCATTCATGGAAAACGAGTTAAGGTCGTTTATCTTATAGGAGCTGAAGGGGTCGAGGGACATAGGACTCACCACCGAGCCCCCCACTGTTGACCTGGAATGAGCGCTCATCTCCCGCAGTCTGCTCCGATCACCCCGCGACCTAGTGTGTACAGCAGTAGTAGTAGTAGTAATAAGTGTAATAAAACTGTACTGTACTATTACTACTACTAATAAAATAATAATAATAATAATAATAGATTAATAACAACACTAATAACAATATTTATAATAACAATACCAACACCAATAACAACACTAATAACAACATAAACAATACCACCAACTACACCAACTACACCAACTACATCAACAACAATAACATAAATCTCTCTCTCTCACCTGCACCTGTCTAGACCATTAGTGTGACACCGGGCCCACGCAGGAGACACACTCATGGGTTGACTGATAAACGTAACCCATGATGTAACAGGAAACACTATGGGTGAGTATCATATCTGTTATGTGTACAGTACTGTTATCTCCCCTTAGTACATATAACAGTTACAAATAAAAAAAAGAAAATTACCTTTTTTTTGGTGTTAAGGATCCTTAGTTATTTCATGTGTTAGTGGAGGTGGGGGAGGCTGGGTGGGGGGAAGGAGGGGTGGGGAAGGAGGGGGGGGAAAGGAGGGGTGGGGGGAAGGAGGGGTGGGGAAAGGAGGGGTGGGGAAAGGAGGGGTGGGGGAAAGGAGGGGTGGGGAAAGGAGGGGTGGGGAAAGGAGGGGGTGGGGAAAGGAGGGGGGGTGGGGAAGGAGGGGGGCCTGGGTGGAGGCGGTGATGGTGGAACTGGAGGTGTGGTGGTGAGGGTGGATGAGGTGTTTGTGGTGGTGGGGGAGAGTGGGTGGGGATGGGGGAGAGTGGGTGGGGGAGAGAGGGTGGAGATGGGGTGGAGGGAGGGTGGAGGAGGTGCAGGTGATTAAGGAGGGGGTAGAGGTGGGTAAGGAGGGGTGGAGGTGGGTAAGGAGGGGGGGTGGGAGGGGTAAGGAGGTGGTGGAGGGGAGGAGAAGGAGGGGGTAGAGGTGGGTAAGGAGGGGTGGAGGTGGGTAAGGAGGGGGGGTGGGAGGGGTTGGTGTCTGGTAATGCACAAATAATTCCAGGAGTGTTTAGAGTGGTGGGGTAGGCACCATTGATTATGATTTGTCCTTGGCCTCGTTGCCTTGACACCACCACCCCTGTTACCCCCTCTCACTACCCCTCTCCTACCCCACCCCCTCCCTCCCCCATCTCTACCACTACCACCCCCTCCTTCCCCACCTACACCACCCCCTATTTCCCCACCTCCACCATCCCCCCTTCCTCATGTCCACCACCCCTACTTCCCCACCTCCACCACTACCCCCCCCAATCTTCCCCACCACCACACCAACCCCCAAAGTTAGGTTAGTTAGATTTCTATAGTAGTTAGTGCTCATGGATGTTACGTCGTCTGGTGCTTTTAAACTATTGTAATTGTTTATATTATTCTAGATGCGTTTAAACCACACCAGATGTTTATAAACCATTCTATATCTAAATTGTAGATATCTTTAAACCATTCTAGACGTGTTATTTTATACCATGTCATATGTTACCTGGCGGAGGTGGTGGCGGAGGAATCATACCAGCGATCGGGTGGTCGTGGGCTGGACTCGGCAACAGGGGGCAGGCGAGGTGAGCGAGGCATGAAGGGGCTGATGGGCCTTTCGTGGCTCCCCATTGCTCTCTCTTTTCTGCCTCAGCTGTAAACAGTTTTAATTCTTGTTAGTGTACTAATAAACGATAAATGTGAATATGACCTGAGTACCAGACCATTTATTACTGAAATTCACTTGATGGGTGACCTGACTTACCAGCCAAATTTGGTGAAAACATGTGGTATAGAATAGAAGTAAACATTTAAGTTGTAGCAATCCCCTAACAATTCCTTTCTGGGACACATCGTCTTGAACTTTGACATCCGACCCCAAAATCAGTTGTCTATTATAAGCTTAAAGACAACTTTCTAGAATCTAATATAATTTAGTGATGGTATGATGTGTAGAACGAAAACTCAACTGGAAATCTAAATGTTACCCAACATACAGATTAACTTGCTAAAAATCCCTCCAGATAAAACTTGTAGAAGGTGAAAATAATCAAGGTTGGTGCACCATAACTTTAAACAACACGAGAGAGCACAAGATATACCACAAGAAAATAATGTACGTATTTGTTTTCTTGGTGGAATAGATTGTTTGAAATGAAGCGGACTTTCTTCCAGGTTGTTTTAATATAGTATTGTTCTTTATGTGTTATTTTGATATGTGAAGGTAACAAAGGTTCATGGACAATATTCCCCGAAGTACTATTGGCATTAATCGATGTGCGTTCCTATGCGATTACTCTTACTCGGGAATGTTCTTTAAGAGTAGGTGATTGATTGATACGTTTAATGATACAAAAAACATTAATACATCTCAAAGGGATGAAGTGACACAAGTCATCCCCACCCCAGTCCTTAAGCGTAGGTTTTATAGTCAAAGGGCCATACAAAAGATGGCACGTAAATTTAATGTAGGTTACCTGGATAATTAGTAAGCTCAGAAACAATGGCATAGCATTCAAACAGTAAGACGAACGCAAACAATTCTACCCTATGGCAAAACTGTTGAGGTGGCAAGAAAGATGATTTGTTGATGAGAACAAAACAGTTCTTTTTCTAATTCGTTCCCATTAAGTCAGGAACATTTTGATCTAACGAGTATATTGGTCCTATCTTTTATAATTGTTAATTGTTGACGGACTAAAGTAATTGTTGTTTCGCGCTTAATAACCTTAAGTCAATTGCTGAAGCGTAGTACTAAAATTATAACATTAATGATGGTGTAGCGGATTTACGAGAGAAGGAAGATGGAGTAGGGCGCTATATTTGTCTTCATACAGAACATACTGTAGATTCGCACATCACAGATTATCCCCCATTTAGTTGGATTTTGTCTAATCAATCAATCAAAGCGTTATCCTCATGTCTAAGGTTCGGTGGCTTGAACTATTAAGACACTTCTCGCCAAGTTTAAGCTGGAGTCTCCAGCCTGGAGGAATGTCTTCATGTCTGCTACACAACATAACCTTTATCAAACTTTACTATACTGATCTTGGGGGCAAAGATGATATATTACAGTACAGAAAATATGTTTGGTTAGGCTAATGAATATTAACTGCTATGCTGTCATATGCTTTCACTAAATTTGGCTGGTAAGTCACCCAAAATTCTGTAGACACCAATTAAATGTGTTAAATGTTAGAACTTCGTAATAATGTAATCAGCTGTAGACATACTGAGCCTTAATAAACTAATCATTTTCTAAAAAAATAAATTAAAGTTGAAAATATATTTATCAAAAGTTACTAATACAATTTTGGAATAAAACTTGTATAAATTGACGTAGTAATTTTTTACAGGTGGACAACCATGGAATTTTTGTTAAGCAACACATTGTTCGACAACCAAAAAGCACCAAGACTAACCTAACCTGACAAATCTAACCTAACCTAACAAAGTAACGTAAACTGTTGTGTTAGGCTCGTTGGTTGTCTACTTGTAAAATAATACCGTTGACGTATTTCAAATATCAACGACATATCACAAAAAAGAAAAACAATTGATAATTAAAAAACAATAACAACTATCAGTAAACACAGCCATCGAATTGAACAACAAGGCAACTGTTTAAAGCTCACCAGGTGAAGGGTCAAGAAGACGGCATGATGACAGCTTACGAATACTGACTCTGTACGGACTATGGCCCACTGTGGAGCAGTGCAGAAGGTGTGGCGGGGAAAGTTGCTCGTTGTCCTGGAAATGGTTCTGGAATGTCGCGTTTCAAATGTGCAGAAAGTGCGTCAAGCAACACGTGACGTGAGCCACCGAGTACAGTAGTCAGTAGCTCGGCTGGTACTCCCCAGTATTGCTCATGTTAGCGTCTTGCTCTTGCTATTGTTTAGCTCCTATCTCTATCTGGTAATTTTAGAGTTTCGATTTTGCTAAATCTTCATTGTATAAACATTAAGAGAATTTTTTAAATAAAATGTATAGGGATGAGTTCATGTTGACAAGGTTAACTCTGTATTGATGTTTGTGTAGGAAAGTATTTCAGAAGTGCTTCGTGTTGCTAAGACAGATTCTTAGACCTTGAAGTTTTTGTGAAATAGATTTTACTTTCTTCGTAAGTTATACTATTGCTGAAATATTATCGGGCAGAAGTTTATTACTGTAAAGAGTTAAATATTTGTAGACTATCGTTTGCTGAAGGTGGGGGTATAAAACCTTTTCATAAGGCAACATAAAAGATGTTTTTGTTAGTAGTTTATTATGTGCTCAAGAAAAGTTTAACTACAGAGCAAGGTTAAATTAGGAGCTATCTTTTTCTGTACTTAAGTACAATAATGGTTCTGTTGGCGGCCATTATATTGAGATTTACCGTTACTCCTCCAATCCTGTTTTATCGACACCCTTCTTTACACACCAAAAAAAAAAGAAAAGTGAAAACCTCAAAATATTACCTATTTATTGTTTATTTCAGTGGTCCGTAATTTGTGTTGCAGACGTCGCCTGTACCTTATCCTTGGCCTGACTACTGTATACTGTACGCCACACTGAGCAACGGTAGAACATTGATCATTGTCCACTAGTTGCTAGACAGGTTGAGTGAGTGTAAGAAACAGCTGGGAGGGGGGTGTTTGTGTAAGTTACAGTACAAGTTGGTATAATAATAACGGACCCGGCCATTCACTATTCTCTGTCATTCACACCTCTGTAATAACATGTGATATCTAGAAAATCTTATGTAATAAGGTTGGAGTAGACTCTCATTTCTCATTTATTTTTTCACAGGTTTGCATTATTTACTACTTTGCTGTCACTCGGAATCGAGTATGACAATAAAAAATCAGCTATGATACAATTATATGAGTTATTAAGGATGTCACCTGGGCTGGTGAGTACTGAGGTGACTAAAGAAGCCGTTATTGGACCGGCAGGATGGATCACATGTGGGGGCTACATCTCGTGCGGGTTATACGGTAGAGCAGTACTGTATTTACACACAATGGCGGTAAAGGTGGGTGATCACTGGGTAATGACGTCATCAGTGAGTAGTTAATGGCGGGAATGTGAATGTTAATGACAAACTATAGAAGATAATTATGTTAACCAGTAATTTTCGGCATTTTTCCAACAGGGTTTTGGAAGGCCTCCAGACATTTAACAGCTTAGCCTTGACCTCCAACTCTTAGACCACAATACTGTACAGTACTTGTATATGAAAGATAAAAATTATGATTTTCGCCATTGACTTTCTTAATACACCCTCTCAACAGGTATACAGTACTGACTTATAACTTAATTCTTGTGTGTGTTTATTAAGCTCGTTAACCAGTTTGGTGAATTCCTACATATTTTTGTAATACTATTTTACTCGAATTTGTATTTTAAGCAAACATGGGAACTGAACTTAAAATGAATGATAAATTTTCAGGTAATATAACTTTTTATACAGGAAGTTAATAGCACAATACATGAGCTTTAGTGGTAATCTTAGTATACACTATAATGTAGCTTTAACCGGTGCCTTGTTGAGAATTATATAGTTATTCACTTTTCATTTTCTTACTGATTAAGTGCCAATCAATTGAGCATTATTTTTTATGGATGACTTACCATAACAATAATTATGACTTGCTGAATAAAAATACACCATTCAAACTATAATCTTTATTGGCTTGTACATGGGTGAATTTTGTGTGTGTGGGTGGCAAACTGTGGACAACAGACTTGAAGCACATCTGGCTGGTGACTGCTCAACTAACACAAGATATTCAGGCGGATGGGATTGAATTGGCAAATTAACATCTTTCAGAATATATGCGCTCAGCTATGACAAACTACCTAGCACTTTGGAGAATGGAGTGTTCAGACTGTTTCATGTATGTACAAAGATATGCATTTTTTATTTGTCTCATATACTGTACAGTAATGTTAAATTATTTAGCTTATAACGTCGTTCAGTTTTATTCTTAGCCTTTGGGGTTGTTAAAATATACATTTGTTATTATTCAGCATAAAAAATAACTAAGATTTCAGACCTAATAAAATGTGTGGATCGGATCCTTCCCCCTACCTGTTTTTTCTTAACCTCCATTCACAAAAAATAAAGTGGATCATAGTCTGGTGTAATTCATTATGAATTTATGTACACAACCAAATCTATCTTAAAATTTTATAGTAAAACAGCAAGCCCACCCAGCTGGGGACTGTAAGCCCCCCCCAGATATTTTTTTGATCTGACCAATATCATGAGCATTTTGAAGTCATGTGCACTTGATATTAGGAGATATTCTGAGGTCAATAGTAATTTACTTTTTACTATACAAAAAACACCTGAGTACAATACTGCACCATAACTGTAAGCCCCCCCCAGATATTTTTTTGATCTGACCAATATCATGAGCATTTTGAAGTCATGTGCACTTGATATTAGGAGATATTCTGAGGTCAATAGTAATTTACTTTTTACTATACAAAAAACACCTGAGTACAATACTGCACCATAAGAAAAAGCATTGAAATTTTCTGATGAAAAGGAGGGTCTCGACCCCTCTGGATCCGCCCCTGAAGAGTGGGTTACAATGATCATCTCCATATAACCTTCTGTAACCTAACCTGACCTAAGGTTTTGTGTACAAGCAGGACACTGAGGCTGCGACCATCCACTAATTACAAATATTATTAAGATCTGATCATAACTTAGTGAAATAGATCTTGTCCATAATGTTCAGTCCATCCGCAAGTGTCTCATTGTGTACAGTATATCTAAAATTAATAATCTCAGTGTATTTGTTTGAAAGGTACTATAGATAAGGGTGTATAGATTGTACTCATGTAATTAAGTTTATGTTTCAATTATTCAAAGAAGTACAATCAGGGAGCTAAGTCAATGTAAACAGAGGGGGGGGGGGGTAAGTTGTCCCCTGGGTCTAGTATCATGTTCAAGAGTCAGGTCATGGTGCTAAATTAACTGCATCATTACACTCAAAGTAGAAGTTACTGAACTCAAAGATTGTCATTATACTTGATGGAGGCAAGCATTCACTCTCTGGGTTGTCATATTATTAAGGGATAAAGTCATCATACATAAGGGATTAATCATTTCTTAAAAAGACTCATTATATTCCAGAGGGTAAATCATCATTCTTAAGAGGTAAAAGTTATTGTACTGATGGGTTATTTCATCATACTTAGGGTTAAGGTTATTGTACTTAAGGGGGTGAATTCATTATACACAAGGGTCAAGTAGGGTCAAGTCATTGTGTGAGAAGGGATTTATCATTGTACAAAGGGGTTGAAGTAATTTAATTCAAAGTATGTCAATGTATTCAAGGGCCTAAGTACAGTAGTACCCCGCTTAACGTGGTCAATTGAACCCACAGGGTACCGCGTTAAGTGAACAACCGCGTTAAGTGAACAACAGATACGGGATTAATTCCAATAGAGACTGGCCCGACCCCCAAACTCCACTTTTTGACGACACACAACTATGTTGTAGTAAAAATATTATCTTAACTTTATGATGGTATGCACACAGAATTAATAATTAAGAGAAATATCAATAATATTAGGTTTTTTAACACTTACATTAGTAGGAAAGATGGCTGGGCACACGGGGATGGGGGGTTAGTTCCGAGGCAGAGGGCAGATTATTGGCCCTCACCTGTATCACTTGTATCACTATCCACCACAGAGGTTTGCAGGGCCTCTTTGTCAAACCCCTCAAAGTCCATATACTGTAAGTCCATATCCTCACTATAATTATCACTATCACTGACTTGGGCCGGCTGTGGTGGGTGGCGGGTGAAGAACTCGGTAATGTTTTGATGACTGGGCGACCTTGTGCGCATCGTGCCCGCGCCGCTTCCCGCGTTTATGAGTAGATGAACCGTGTTAAGTGAAAGTTCGGTTCTGGCGAGGCACCGCGTATATGAGAAATCGCGTTAAGTGAAACCGCGTTAAGCGGGGTACAACTGTACATCATATTAGATGGGTTAAAACCATAATACCCAAAACTTGTCATTATACTAAAGGGTTACATCGTCACCCTCAGGAATTCAAAACATTAGGGGTTCATTTATATAATCTGAGGTTAGTTTTACGTACATCTCATTTTAAGGAATTTCTTTTAATGGTACAGTACTAAATATAGTTTGCCAATACCTGTAACCTCACTAGATCCAAGGACAATTCTATAACATACACCCATTCGTTGTGTTGTGTTGCATAAAGGAACATACAGTACTGGAACAAATATCATAGGCAGTGCCCATCGAAGACAAGAGGGCTCTATCAGTTAAGAACACAGGACAGCATGAGGTTTGTAAAGTAAGTTCTGAGGTTTATAAAGTAAGTTCTGAGGTTTGTAAAGTAAGTTCTGAGGTTTGTAAAGTAAGTTCTGAGGTTTGTAAAGTAAGTTCTGAGGTTTGTAATGTAAGTTCTGAGGTTTGTAAAGTAAGTTCTGAGGTTTGTAAAGTAAGTTCTGAGGTTTGTAAAGTAAGTTCTGAGGTTTGTCATGTAAGTTCTGAGGTTTGTAAAGTAAGTTCTGAGGTTTGTAATGTAAGTTCTGAGGTTTGTAAAGTAAGTTCTGAGGTTTGTAAATTAAGTTCTGAGGTTTGTAAAGTAAGTTCTGAGGTTTGTAAAGAAAGTTCTGAGGTTTGTAAAGAAAGTTCAGTAAAGTCTAGAGATAACATTTAGTCAGCCAGGACAATAGTTAAAATAATGAGGTCAAGTAAGGTCATGATTAAAACAAGTCATGTAAGATCAATATTCTGGTTGCCATATGACCCAGAGTTATGCAAATAATGCTGAGTAATTAATGGACATCGTGTTGTATGCTAAAAGATGCCAAGTCTATAAAACATAGCCATATCCTTCCTCAGCAAGAGCTTAAACCTAATAGGAAATCACTGTACACCTTTCCTAACTGGGCAAACTGCTGATCACAGTAAGTGGTAGAAGGTTCAGTGTCTAGGCCAGCTCACCACAACAGAAGACTATGTACCACTGAAGCACAAAGGCCTCAATTCTGGACCCCTGTCTACAGCAACAGCTAACTAACTGTGGTGTCTCTTGTTAATGCTAACTAAGGTTTAGAATACACCATTTCCACCTCAAAATAGACATTACTACTCCCAGATAAGCAGAGGTCAGTGTGACTGAGCTTTCATTGGCAAGAATAATTAGTAGCATTCATGACACTGCAAGTAACATGGCACTATGAAATATGGTTTTCAATCCACTTAAAGTAGCAGAGATTAACATCATACGTATGAACTGGAACAATATTTGGCCTAACTTTACTTGACATAGAGAAACTTCTACCAGCTGTGATCTCCAACTACAGCACACACCCTATGGCTTCAGATTGTGAATGGTTTTATCAGAGAGATCTAGAGAACCTTTCTTCAATTTGTTCTATATTCTACATTTAATGTGATAGTTCCCACTGTCAAAGCAGTGTGGTGCAAGCAGAACTTCACCAAACACCTGGGCTGCTGCAGCACCTCTCATACTTTAGCACTGAGGACCTCAACAGCATTGCTGACAAAGTTACTAAAGAATTCTGCACAGTAGTTGTCTGAGTAGCAGGCAGGTTTATGACCATAACTATTTATAACATACAGTATGTTGTTATTATATCATGTTAGACATTCAATACATACACTCTATTATGACTCAAGAGTCAAATGAAGATGTTACACAAAATTTTCTTACTAACCAAAACATTACTGTACATGCCACTACTGTAATGTACTACTGGGCACGAGGCATCACATGTTACTACAGTACTCATCTGATACAGGTGTGTCTGGAATACAAATTTCTGTCACCAGATTACAGCCAATCACAGTGAGGATAAATATCAATATAATCTATAACATGAAAACTTTAAACATATTTCATAGTCAAACAGTGTTCTCCTTGAGCAAAGATTTTTAGAGGACTTAATAACTTTGATCATCATTCCCAATGGATCATATACGTTTGCAATATCCCTCCAATGAATTTCAAATAAAAATCCAAAGAAGAGTCAATGTTGGATCAAAACATCACTGAAACTTCTAATACACTTCACTTTCCCTCTGGACTTCAGGTAGTTCCTTAATATCTCAGCAGTGATGTTAAAAGTTCTATGACTGCGACAAGGTAACAGTGGCTCCATTACACTACTGAGCCTTACAGAACAGTTTACCATCAAAGAATGAGTACAATATCTTATATACATATGGCTGGCTTTTGGAGCACTGAAGGAACTCACTGAAGTTGACCAAAAGATATAAGTGATCCTCAAAAATGGGTAGCCTACAGAAAATGAGTAGTTATTAAAGACAGACAGAGCCCATAGAGAATAGGTAGACTCTTACTAATGAAGGTCCTTGAAAAACAGTAAGGGGATGCCAAGTGTGTAGTTCTGCAACTGATACATCAACATGTCCACTCATACACTCAACAATCCATACCAGACAAAACTGGTGGTCATGACGAATGCTCATATGTTTCTGCAACACTTGTTATAAACTGTTCTTTGTGGAGCAAATTTGTGTAAGATGTTCCTCAAACTTCAGATTATTTCTGCCAAATACTTACAGTAAGTGTAGTGTAGAAGTGATATATCCATAGCACACTAAATGCCACAGAACAATGTTTAAGTGATATGTATAAAAGCCTGGCCAATACTTTGCAAAAGTATCACCTCTCAAATTTCATATTGTTGACGGTTTGCATTAAAAGGTATACAAAACTGTTATTAACCATCTGTAGCAGCCACAAGTTGAGCATTTTTTCACACTGTACTATATATATATATATATATATATATATATATATATATATATATATATATATATATATATATATATATATATATATATATATATATATATATATATATATATATATATATATATATATATATACCGATTAATTTTCCTGCAAAAACTGTAACAAGATTAGATTTCTGGGACAATAAAAATTATTGTACTGTATACAGTACTGTACTTACAATATGGATGACATAAACAATATTTTACTCTTGAGTGTACTGTACCTGGACAATATTTGTTGCTGAATATTCTTATCTAATTATAGCATCAAGAAATACATCTAAACAAAACATCCTGAAGAACATTGTTGTCTCAGTAATCAACTGTTGATCCTTCGTGGAGGAGATGGCAGTAAGACTCACCAGCGCCACAAGTAAACATGTCTCAGGTAACAGCACAGTGCTCCACACACCACCACAAACACCACCCACTGGAAATATTCACTTTCCAAATATCACTGGAAGTATGTAAGTAACCATCATGAGCCTGACTTATGTATACAGTACCTTCACTTCGGTAATTTAAAGACCGGACCCACAAACAGGCTTACGATATTGCCAATATTGGACGTCAAGTGACAGATCTCTATGCATCACCAGCAAACAAATGACAAAAGAGGAAGGACTTCTAAATATCAAGTCTTGAAGCTGAATAAAAGATGACCAGATAAAAAAAAAGTAAAAATTTTGGATAGGTTGGGTGGGTTAGACAACTTTTTTTCACCCTTGGTTAAAAAAAAAGGGGTTACTGATATTGGTTGTCATTTCTCATCACTATTCTCTATTGATGACTAGTTTTCCTCTATGGATTCCAATTACTGTATAGTTTCTTCTTTGTCTTCCTCTTCAATTATATTTTATTCTTGTGTCTCCCTCTTCAATTATATTTTCTTCTTGTGTCTTTCTCTTCAATTATTTTCTTTTTCTTTTATCCTCTTCACCACTGATTGGCTGTTAGCCACTTGGGCAATCGGCCACATCTCTTAGGCACTGTTGGCAAGTACTGGGCATACACTGGCTCCTGAATGTACCTGAACCTCCTCCAGTGTTGGTCAAGTCTGGTCTTGAAACAGCTCACACTCAGTGCCATAACAACACTCTCTGGCAGGTTGCTGGTTTCATTCTCTTTGGACATTACTGACATTACCATTAATCATACTGTATTTTTTCCTTTGTTTCTCTCACTCTTCTTCTAACAATAACAATCAATGATTTTAACTTGACAAATATTGTATTATCATAAACATCAGATGCTGGTGATAATTAGAGGTCAGACTATTCTATCTAAACAGAGGATTCATGGTACAGTACAATACATACTAGAAGGGTTTCAGGTGGTGTTTTACTTTTAATCTTTATACTCCTAGTTCAGACTATATATACTGTATGTATACACTGGCAAACCCTCCACAACTTACACATTTTTCATGGAATTGATGTAGCAGACTACTGTATCCTGACTACTGGATGATACTTTAATTGGTCAACAAAAGCCATTTGACTCATATACAGTATATATATAGTTAGCTTTCTCTACAACAACAACATGCATCTCTTCTGTACAACAAATATACACAAATATTAACTCTGAGGTTAGGAAATATTTCTTTGGCCTTTGCACTGATAAACACTAAACAACTCTTATAATTATATTAATATACATGTGTTCTCTCTAAAGAACAATACTGGCCTTAAACAGGTATTCGATATGATCAAACCTAATGTAGGATTGCTTGCATAACTGTAAATAACACAGCCATATAATTATGATTAGTCAATCTCATGTGATCCAAAAAGTCTTCACATTTGACAGGACCCACCAGAGGACCATAATCTGGTTGTCACAGGATAAACAACATTTAATTAGACCCTCATTACACACAGAATGAACCACAGATATATTAAACTGTGATATGGGACTGGAATTTGTCCTGTCTAATTCACACTAAACAATTATGCAGGCACGGGATTTAACTCCCCCATATCCTGCATTAGTTGCATGTCCATTCTTGGGAAGCCTTGGCAACCGTCTCCTGGGAGATGAGTCTTTGCTGGGAGTGGAGGCTGAGGAAGCAGGCTTGGAGGAGGTGATGGTGTCAGTGGAGTTGTTGTTGGAGGATTTGCTGGGGCTATTGGGCTGGGTCATCAGGCGGTGAAGGAGGATCCGGTAGGTGGCGAGAGATGGTGAACGGGCACCCAGGGACAACCCATCTTCCAAGGACTGCTGCGAGATGCCCCACTTCTGAAGTGTTGACACAGCCTCTATCTGTAACCATCATATAGTATAGTATTTATATTAACTGCTGGGAAGCTCTTACTGCTATAGCTATAATCAGTCTGACACACACATTTACTACTTACAGTTTACTACACATTTATCATCTTCATGCAAAACTTAGCTTTACTTTTTACTTTTACTTCTATCCTCTTCGCCACTGATCGACTTGTTAGCCGCTTGGGCGATCGGTCACGTCTCTGATTACTTTTCATTTATCTTCTTCAATGTCATTTTGTTTTGGCAAGGCACTGTACATTTACAAACATTCACATAATGATAACTGGCTGAGAGTCAGATAATTGAAAAATTTGGAAGTTTTGATGTAATACTTTATACACTGTCCAGTACAGTGAACCAGTAATATACACACACCAAAATTATAACAATATTTCAACAATACTGTACTGTACAGTCAAAGGAGTCCTCATTCTGTTTCTTGACCACAGTACATTTAATGGTAGTTGACAAGCCTGAATCCAACTGTTCCGACAATACGAGGAGGCGCGCACTGAATGGTTCACCATTCATGAGATGTTTTCACCACTTTTCTGGACATGACTTTTGTCTTTGACTGTACGACATAGTAAGTAGTAAATGTAAGTAATTTTGTTGATTACGCACTCAAATGCCCAACAAAATTTATATTTACCTGCCAGGGGTTAATAAAAAATTACATTTAGATATAAGAACCGGACAAGAGACCATGCAGCAATGAGAGTTGCCATCAACTAACTGGAACTAACCCAATCTAACTGAATCCCTATTACTAGTCTTCACGTCTGTCTACAGTGAACAAGCTTTGTATCTCAGAGTTTACAGTTCTGTAGCTCATTGTTGTACTTCTTTACAGAAATTGTGGTGAAGAACATAGGAAGATGATGGTGTTCAGCAAGCCAGTGTTAAGATCGTAGGTGCGTTTTGAAACTGTGTGAGGTTATAGTTTGAAATTTATATCTTTACTTTAACCTCTTCACCACTGATCGGCCTGTTAGCCACTTGGGCTGTTGGTCATGTCTCTGTTACACACGGTTGCCATGTACCGACTCCAGAATGTACGACCCTGTGCCAGTGCTGGTCAAGTCTGGTCTTTTATGTCTTTGCCATAAAATGTGGATTTTGTCTTTCCTTGAACTGTCTTGGTACAAATGCTCTATGATGCAAAACTCAAGTAAATCTGCAGCATCAGTTATCTCTACCTAAGGCTGTGGTTCTCTTATTTAAAGCTTAGTGTTAATGAGAGTCTACCATACCTCCACATCACTTGAATCTTCCGTTGAGAAGGTGGGTGCCAAGACATAAGTAGGTAGTGGTGTGGGTTGGGCAGGAGCTGTGGAGAGCCAGGTATGAACAGCAATGGTGTCAGTGCCTGGCCTCTCATTAGGGTCCTGCACCAGGAGCCGAGCAATGAGGTCTGATGCTGCAGGAGACACGTGCTCTGGGGTAATGAATGCCCCTGCAAGGATGTGTCGCTTCAACCCAGCCACTGTGTTTGCCTGTGAATAAATGCTACAATTACATCATGTTATTATAATAAACAACTATTTGAGTCCACTGAGCCCAGGTATATACTTGTGTGGGTAATACTCAAACCAAAGCATCAGCAGGGTGTTCAGTGGCAACTATTTGCCAATCTAGGCCACTAATAACATCAAGTAAAAATTTGAAAACAAATTGACCTTCACAACCTTCGCTATGCTGTGTGTTCCAAGTCAACATGTTAAAGTTAGGCTCAATATGTTACATAGGATAGTACAATACACTGATGAGTACAATACTGTATTCAGGTGAATATTGTTGAGTCCACTGCACCATGCTTGAGTACGATGATACTCTATTATTTATTTTAATTGTAATTCAGTAATATACTGTACTGTACTGTGCCTACTCTAGATGGTACTTATGCCTGCTGGGCCCCTTACACTCTACCACCTTTGTAATAGACTTACAGTACTGTACATCACTTACACATATTAAATCCCAATAGTTTGAGAGTTTCTTTGGAACACACATACAGTACATATATACAGTGTCTTTAATCATACATATGAATCTTGTGTGTGTGTGTGTGTGTGTGTGTGTATACATTAATCTTTTGAAGTATGGTATGAAGGACAGGTGACCTAGCATGAATGGAAAAATGGCTATAAAGGGTAGATGACCTGCTACAAAAGCAGTTGTCTTACCTTGAAAGGCATGTCAGCAGTTAAGACAAAGAACAGGAGGACCCCCAGGGCCCAGATATCCACTGCTGGACCCACGTACGACTCATCCTGTTCAAAGTAATTTAAGAATTAATCAAAATGCTGGAATGATGATGATTTTTAACTTATCCATATTCTGTGTGTTAATATAAAAGTAATATATACTGGATAGTAGCAAATGCAAGATTACATTTCCCAGGAGCTGACAGGAGGAGGGGCCTGCTTGTTGCTCACACACTGTCTCCAACACTCTCACCCACCTTGTATAGTTCAGGGGCAGCATAAGGTGGGGAGCCACAGAAGGTACTCAGCTGCTGCTGCAAGTCATTAACACGTGTGGAGAAGCCAAAGTCACCCAGCTTGACCTGACCTGGCCCAGCCAGGAAAACATTCTCTGCTTTGATGTCTCGGTGGATGATGGAGAGACCATGCTGTGGAGGTGATCACAAGAGGTCTGAGGTTATACTTTCTGGAATAAAGCTCATTTACTGCACAGTATTTGTAACAAAAATTAGGAAAAACATTACACTTTGAGAATACCATCAAGGATAAGCTGTTGTTTCCACTTCTTTTATGATTCAAATTAAACCAATTATTTCTGGTAATGTTATAATAATAAATAATTGAATTTCTGGTAGAAGTCAGCTGAGGTTTTAGGGATAAACTCGGGAAAACTTGTCTCATATTATGAACACAAACGGCTTAGAATGTACATAAATTCTGAAAAATACTGAGGTCAAATTATGTAATGGCGATTTGTCAAATGGGTCCCTGTCTAGTGAGCCTTAGTTCTTTTTTACACTTTATCCTTCTTGCAAATGATGGCTATTACAGTACCACGAAGTTCACTGAAGAAAACCAACGTACAGCACAGCCCCTAACCCAGAGTCATGTCAGGAGGTCACACAGTAAGATATAACAATTCCCTGAAACTCATCATCAAAAAGCAACGCTGCAGCCATTAATGCACAAGTTTGTTCGCACTTCAAGTGGGTTTATTGCCAAAGTCTACAATTTATAGCAAGTTAAAATGGAAATCACACTTGCACTTACATAAAATAAAATTTGTAGATCACAATTACGACGCTCTGGTGAGTTTATAATTATTTTTAGTTGAGCTGATTATATATTTCTGTGTAAAGATTTTAGTCACGTGAGCTGCCATGTAAAACAAAATCGGCCAGGTTAGAATTGTTAAAAAGAATACATTACACATCTTGATTTGTGAGACATAAGTAGACAGTCTAGAGAAAGAAACAGTGCCTCTATTTACCATTAAGTGTCCTGAATATTCCATCAATCAGAACACAAAACAAAAAATGCATGTTCATCAATACATAGAATCGAGGACAAAAGTCCGCTCCCCTTTGTGAACCCGAGTCAAGGGAATGATCCTCTCAACAACTTACCTACATTTGTGAATCTGTACCGATACTTTCTCTCTCTCTCACTGAGGCAGCTTAGTGGAACAGCAAACACAAATTGACTATATAACCGAGAATGACAGCTCACCAGGGTGAAAGTTCATCAAACTATTCCTGTTACCTGATATAAAATTACTACTACTGAACACGAAGTAACGAGACAGAAACAAGAAATATTGTACCTGCACCTACAAAAAGACTAAGTAAGTACACTGTAAGTAAGTAATTAAGTAAGTTGGAGTAACAGGCCTTGAACATGATGTAAACAATAAGGTTGGTTCTGTAATGAGCCCAGGGAGGCCTGGATGTAGGGAAGACTTCAGACTTACCAGGTAGGTGACGGCCGAGAGGACCTGGGTGAAGACCTTGGCCGAGTCGTTCTCCGGGAGGCGACCCTCGGCCGTGATGCGGTTAAAGAGTTCACCACCAGGAGCGAATTCCAACACCAGGTGGATCCTTGATAGAGTCTCCACAACCTCGAACAACCTATGGAGTGGAGGCATCAGTGTTAAATTATGGTGATGCATTCTGATGGTGCGTTAAATTATGGTGATGCATTCTGATGGTGCGTTAAATTATGGTGATGCATTCTGATGGTGCGTTAAATTATGGTGATGCTTCTGATGGTGCGTTAAATTAAGGTGATGCATTCTGATGGTGCGTTAAATTATGGTGATGCTTCTGATGGTGCGTTAAATGGTGCATTCTGATGAGTTAAATTATGGTGATGCATTCTGATGGTGTGTTAAATTAAGGTACAGCACATTCTGATGGTGCGTTAAATATGGTGATGCTTCTGATGGTGCGTTAAATTATGGTGATGCATTCTGATGGTGCATTAAATTAAGGTACAGGTAACACATTCTGATGGTGCATTAAATTGAGATAATGCATTCTGATGGTGTGTTAAATTATGGTGATGCATTCTGATGGTGCGTTAAATTAAGGTACAGGTAACACATTCTGATGGTGCATTAAATTGAGATAATGCATTCTGATGGTGTGTTAAATTATGGTGATGCATTCTGATGGTGCATTAAATTAAGGTACAGGTAACACATTCTGATGGTGCATTAAATAATGGTGATGCATTCTGATGGTGCATTAAATTAAGGTACAGGTAACACATTCTGATGGTGCATTAAATGATGGTGATGCATTCTGATGGTGCATTAAATTAAGGTACAGGTAACACATTCTGATGGTGCGTTAAATGATGGTGATGCATTCTGATGGTGCATTAAATTATGGTGATGCATTCTGATGGTGTGCTAAATTAAGGTACAGGTAACACATTCTGATGGTGCGTTAAATGATGGTGATGCATTCTGATGGTGCGTTAAATTATGGTGACATATTCTAATGGTGTGTTAAATTATGGTGAAGCTTCTGATGGTGCGTTAAATTATGGTGATGCATTCTGATGGTGCGTTAAATTAAGGTACAGGTAACACATTCTGATGGTGCGTTAAATGATGGTGATGCATTCTGATGGTGTGTCAAATTATGGTGATGCATTCTGATGGTGCGTTAAATTATGGTGACATTCTAATGGTGTGATATGGTTAATGGCGTGACCTTATAATGTTGGGGTGAGCGACGGCATCCATGTTGGAGATCTCCCTGGCCAACATCCTCTGTGTTTTCTGGTCCAGTTTGGCCTTGTCGATTACCTTCACCGCCACCTTGT